CTCTCTCTCTCTCTCTCTCTCTCTATATATATATATATATATATATATATAATTTATAAATATACGCAGGCAGATGCGTGATGGGGTGCGGTTGCCAAGGCGACGGGCTCCGTTGGGATCGGTCGCACGTAATTGTTTCACGCCGCCACGTACGAAGTGTGAAGCAGATTTTAGTCCACGCAGGAGAAGTGCTGTTACGAGAGAAAGGGCAGGGGAGATCAAAAAGCAGCTGAGATACAAAAAGAAAAGCGGCACCAACAATATCAAAAGAAACAACAAATAGAGTCGGCGGCGATGTTCGCTACATGTCGCCTAAAAACGGAATCTCTTCCAATGCAACGGACGCAGACGAAGCGTTGGACAGGCCATAATAGTATAGTTTTGCTGCCCGCTTGGTCGTGTGGCGAGCGCAAACGACTGTGGTGCGGTTTGGTTACAAACCAGAAAAGGGCAAATTGGGGTTCGTCGTGTTCTTGGCGATAACGTCTTTAGCTTCGCACAACGCGAAACGTGGTAAGGATCGAAAGATGGCGCGCGAGGTAAAGAACAGCCAGTGCCGTTAGGCAGAGAAACGACTGGGCGTCGGAGCAACCACAACACATGCTTCGCTTCACCGACCACAGGTGTGAGCAGCAACCGCAGGAAGAGAAAAAACCAGAAAACGAAGAGAAGAGAAATTTCAACGTGACGATTCCTTCTGCTTTTACCGCCCTTTCCTCGTTTGTGGTCTTTAATGAGCTGAAACGGCGCTGACCCACCGCTCCTGCTGCGCGTAGTCGAGGTGGATGCTCACGTCTCGCCACATCCCACTCTTCTCCATCAAGTCCGCAACTATGTGCGCCTGCAAGCCGACCTCGATTAGCATGTTTGGTGTGTCACGCAGTGCGGCCGGTCGCATGTAACGCGGCTTTAGCAGTTTTGCCCCATGCACGCACAGCTCTTTAAAGTACAAATGCTGACGCGACTCGCGGTAGTCATCGCCAACGAGCGCCATCTTCGACTCCCAGTGCGTGATGGAGCGAGGTAATTCGACGTACTGTTCTCGCAACACGTAAGGCGGGTTGGACACAACTACGTCAAACGTGCCGACAAACTCCGGCTTCATCGTGCCCAGCGGTCGATCCTGTGCTACAGGTGGCTCTTTGCCAGCGCTGCTGATCTCGTTTGTTGTGTCAGATGCAGTGGACGGAGACGAGCTGCCTGGCTCGAGAAAGTGCTCAAACATATCACTTTCGATCGCTTTGTAGCGACTGTCCGGAATGCCGTTGCGCTGCGCATTCTGCTGCGACACCGTCACCGCTTGCGGCAGGATATCTAGCGCCGTGACGACCGCACCGGGGACGTGTTTCGCCAGCGCCACACCGATGCAACCAGTGCCGCAGCACACATCCAAAACGTTCAGCCGCGGTCCACTTGTATTGTCAACTTCAGTCGCAGACGAGCGTCGCACGCGATTGAGGTAGTTGTAGACAAGCCAGTGGGTCCACATCTCCGTCTCCGGCCGCGGACACAACAGGGGCTCTTCGCAGTGGATGTCGCAGCCGAAAAAGGGCTGCGAGCCGATAATGTACGACAGCGGCTTGTGCAAGTCAACTCGCTCTAGCAGCGCCGTCTTTACGGCACGGCGTGCGCCGTCGCGTGAGAGGTGCCTTGCGTTTGCAACGCCCGCCATCCATTCCTCCACCCACTGAACCTCCAAGGACGCCTGGTACAGCATTGCAGGGTCCATCACGGTGGTGCCCTCGTCCTTGTAGAACTTGTCGTAGATCATCTTGGTGAACATGCGCCGCTCTGGCAGCGACAAAAACTGCGTGTCGGTGTTCGCGGGACGGCACAGCCGGTCCAGCTTCTCGATGGCATCGTCCGTCGTGAAGTCCACCACAGAGGGTTCCGCCGCAGCCCCACCGTCGCCAACGGATGGAGATTCTCCTGCTGTCTTGGGTACGTTGCGGGTCTCCGCCTTGGCATCGTCGCCCGCCTCCGCCTCCAGCTCAACTGCACGTGCGGGCACATATCTCACGGCGTGTGTTTTTGCGTAGCCGGGGTCCAAGATATGCCGCGCCCCGAAGGTGATAGTTGCCGCAGAGGCAGCGCGATGCAGAAGATCGTGTTGCGTCGTGGCAGAGATAAGCGATGCGCCCGCAGCCGACCGCCGGCAGCAAAGAGAGGTGCCTTTGCAAGACGACCGCAACGTCAGGCGAAAACGAGAAGGGACAGCTGTCCCCGATCGAACGGGGCAGCGTGTGGGTGCAGGAGGCAGCCTCGTCACCCCTGCCGCGCCTTCCGGGAGCCACTGCGGCAAGCGAGATGGGAACGAGCCGTGCATTATTGGAGTTACCACCGCTGTCCGCTTACGCTGATCGTTGCTGGCTTTGTGGAAAGGTGCAAAGCAAACTTGAGCCGCGGAGCAAGGGCGAAGATGTTTACCGTGAAAGAGGGGCCAGAAAAAGAGGACGGTAATTCGAACGGTGCGGATAAAGAAACGCACGAGCAATTCACATATCTTTCGAGAAGTTGTAGCGAAATCCAATGCGCACTGCGCGGCGGAGAAAACTCCACATTTGTTTTGTCCCAACTGTGCTCTTTTGTGGATCACAAACTTCTGTAGGACTTCGCTTTGCTTTTAACAGATTGTGCGGACAAGAGAGAACAACACAGGTTGCATTCACCCCGACGATTCACAAAAGAGAAGCAGGCACGTAAAAGATGTGAAGGAAAGGTACTATGGCAATAGAGCACCCCAAGAAATAAAAAAATCTACTCCGCAGACAGAACGGAAAAAACAAGCGCCTTTAAATGGTTGGCATGTGAGGCCCTTTCGCCGTGTCGTACGCCAGTACCGCGACTCCAATGCAAGTGATGCAAACACCTACAACGGCGTTCACGACGCACATCGCTTGCTTCAATCGAATGAAGCGGTAGCGCGACGCTGCGCTGTTGAGGGCCACATCGGTCGACCCGGCGTTACCGCTGTTATCGATGTCTTGCTGCTGCTGTGTGGAGTAGGCAGCCGCGGCAGTCGTCGCCGAGCCAAACGGCCCGTTGGGCGAGAAGACGCACCACCCGACCATCCCCGGTGCCACCATCACAATAAACACGCTGAAGAGCGTGCCAATGATGTGAATGACAAAGTCGATGCCCGACACCGTCGCCGCGATGAGCACCGTGGTAAAGACAAGAAAGGCCGCCTCAATCACGATGGCAAGAGTGGTGGTCAAGTCGGGCGAGCCAACGTCGCGGTCCACGTCGACGGTGCCGGGTGGGCCGCGCGGAGAGATGTACGCCTCGTCACTGTCGTCGGCATCGGCGTTGTGATGCATTGCGCTCACCGCGTTGTAGGCCGGCGTCCATCCCCCGCCCCCGCCGCCGCCCGCCACCGCAGTAGCAAGGGGAGGATGGGTCGCCGTCGGTGCGGGGCCGGTGGCCAGCGAGCTGCTCGGGAACACTTCATACCCGGTGGGCGGCGGCGCGTTGGTGGTCGTGTGCAGCAGGAATGACGCCTCGCCTGGTAGCTCCTCTCCCTCTGCGGCTGGGGGCGACGTGGCGCCGTCACGCCTGGCCTCCTCGTCTGTCAAGATGGCGCCGGCCGCCACCGCCGCCTCGCGCATCAGCGCCGACTGCTCCGCCCACGTCAGCCCGATCATCATCAGCCGGTGCAGGCCGCGCCGCGTGCAGATGGACACAACGGGAAAGACGCAGGCAAAGTGCGCAAAGAGCCCTAGCCGGCCAATGTTCATGGGCACATCGTCCTTTGGGTAGTTGGACACGACGTTACCGCCGATTTTCCGGTCGGCCACCTCGTTGCCAAAAGTCAGGTAGCCAAAGAAGCCTGTCATCGCGTAACACATAATGATGATTGGAAAGGCAACGGCAACCGACCCCATCATGCAGCGCGGGCGGCGGTCCTTCAGTTCCTTGTAAAAATACGGTACGTTGTAGTGGTAGCTTAAGGCTAACCCAAAGGTCGAGAGCGTCTGCAGCATCTTCACAGACAGGCTCATCCAATGGATGCTGCCGTAGCTTTTCGGGTCCACGTGGGGGTAGTCGCTGACGTGCTTCGTGTGGTAGCGATAGAGAATCACGAGGACAATGTACAAGATGGTGAGGAAGCCGAGCAGGGAAGACCACTTCAGCTCCTCCATGTTGCGCGCACAGCTCAACACAAAGAACACGACCCCACCCGCGGCAAGCCAGAAATACTTGGAAACCAGAAAACCTTCCGAATGGGTAATGTACGACACCACCGGCGGCATCGAGTCCGCAATCACCTTAGAGTAGATGACCAAGGTGCCGTAGTTGCTGCAGAACACCACAAACTCCATCAAGACCGTCACGATGCGCCGGCAGCGGCGGTAGTGCCACTCCTGCCGCGCGTAGGCATCGTGCAGGCCGGCGTAGGCGCTCGTTGTAGGGAAGCTGAAACGGTCGTCACCATCGGCATTCCCCAATGAGGACGCATTGCGAGCGCTGTGGCGGCTCTGGTGACAGCCACGACGGTGACGATGCGCGTCTTGCGCGTCGGCCGTGGCGTCGGGTGGGTTCGCGGCATCGCGAGAAACGGACATGTTTGGCTGCGTCGTTGATGGGTGCGCGGAGCCGCTTTCGGCTGGCCCTACTGCCGTTGCCCGGGCAGCCTTGGCATTGCTGTCGCTGCCGTCACCTTTTTCATCGCTCGGCGCGACTGCACCGTTGCCATCACCATCATCAGACGCGGTTGGCAACGGCGCGGAACGTTCCTTCCCTTTCTGATAGAGGTATTCCTCCCACAGCTGCGGCGGATACAGCGCGAAGGCCACCACCTCCGTGATGGAGTAGCGCCCCGTGGCATCGCAGCCCACCACCAATAAGTACACGCTGAACGCCGCAAACGACGCGAGAACCAGTAGCAGCGCCAGACCGACAAAGACGGAGGAATAGTACAGGGCCAGCGGCAAGGAGAGCACACCCGCACCGATGACGCTGCACAGGGTGTTGATGGTGGTGCCGGTCACCGTGCCGGTGCGTACTTCGCGAAAAGATAGGTCGGCAAAGGAGAGGCCAGTGGCGACGCGATGGCTGATGCGTCCCGCGAAGGACTGCCGCTGCGAGGCGCGAATGTCATGGACGTGCACCCCGCTGAACGACGCAGACCTCATTTCGTTGTCGAAAGGATACAGTAATGAATCTTTTCTTAGAAAGGAGAAAGCAGAAGAGGTGAACGCATGAACAACAGCACGGGAAGATGCAGAAGACTTTCAGCTTCGACGCAAGCAAAACAAACCGATGGCACGTGTCGGAGGAGGCAGTTACATGAAAATATGCTCAAATGCAAGAAGAAATGAAAGACGGCTCGATATAAATGCCGCCGTGTTCACTGCAACTCCTACCCGATGCGGTCAGGCACACGCAGACACACACTTTCCCGTCGATGTTTAAGAAGACCTTTCGGGCAAAAATAGCAAAGTAGAAACAAGAACAAGTGGATAAAAGACCAAACCAGGAGAAAAGAAAAAACGGGAAAAAGCGGTACGCGTTGTAGAACTTGAATTGTTAATATAGTTATAAGGTAAAACGCCGAAAACTACGTAGGATCCTGTAGCAAAATAACAGTGATGCGCATCCGCAAATGCGGAGAAGAGTGAAAGAGAGGAGAAATGGGAGTTGAGGCAAAAGTGGTTCCTTTTTATTATTATTTGAAGGCCCCAGCAAGTCTTTCGGGATGTACAAACACAAGAAGAAAGGCAAAGAGGTGCTCTCTACTTCTACCTCCCAGAAAAAGATATCTGAAACCGGCAGCGTAGAGACGCTGTTCCTACCAGGCTAGCTTCACTTTCAAAAGGAAGGTGGAATTCGTTTCTCCTTAAATAAGCGGACTCCCTTTTTATAATTCTACACTCTTTCCCTTTCCCAAATGTTTAATTGTTGGACGCCGCACTGAAGAAAGAAAGAGATGTTGAAGAAGAGAAAACCAAAAAAGTCAGTTATCCGAGCACGATGAAAACCCCGAGAGACGCAACCGAATGTCTCGGTCACCATTTCAGTGGTTTTGCTTCAGGTGATGGCCCCTCTATTAACGGATACGCGAAAGGAGCGATGAACAGAGTCGCTCTGTCTACCAGTCGCGCATGCTTCCTCTATGAAAAACACCTTCCACACACGCGGTTAGTGCCTTGGACGCTTCGCAGGACCTCGCGTTTGCTCGTCTCGCTGCCTCATTGTCTTGCCGTGATTCGTGTGCTTCTTCGCCTCTACCTCCAGCTCCGCCTCACGAGGTCGCGTGCTGGCGCTGCTCTTCTTCTTTTTGCCCGTCACGTACTTGGCTTCTAGGTTGCTCAACATAGACTGATACGACGACGCTTGACGTTGCCGGATGGCGAGCTGCAGTGCGCCAAGGCTTCCGTCTTCGTCACCTCCGTTCGCTGTCATCGATGGGTGGGCACGTCCTCCAGCCAGTTCCTTCAGGGCCTCTTCCGCTTCCGTCCTCTCCCGCCGCATCGCCTTTTCGATTTTGAGAATGCTCTTTGGCAAGCTAGATGCCTGCCAGGCTGCGGTCGTCTTCAATGTTCCCGCCGCCACCAGCTTCTCCACAAGACGGTGCAGACGCTGCACCTCGCTCGCCTCTCCGTTGTCAAAGAGCAGGTACTCCCGCACCATTTTGGCAAAGTTGCCATCACACTTGACGTACCCCTTCACCACATCGTTTACCTCCTCCTCTGAGCCAGCGTACGCCGCAAAGAAGTCGCGCACTTGGTCGGCGAGTTCGGCCGAGCGCTGCTGCCGCGTCGCCTCGTCTGTCATCGCGTGTGACGCATCACCCGCGGCGTCCGACACGAAGCCGGTCACGTCGTACACGGCACGTCGATCGGTGTCGGAGAGGACGGCGTAGGCGTTTGAGATTGCCTTGAACTGCTCTACGCCGTCTGGGTTGCGGTCGGGGTGGAATTGAAGGGCCAGCCGACGGTACGCGCGCGTGATCTCGTCAAGGGAGCTATCTTTTGCCACGCCGAGAGACGTGTACAGGTGGAACTTCGTAGCGCCCATGGCGGGCATTTCAGGAAGCTGCTTTGCGTTGTCGTGGTGGCGGTCAACGTTCTGGGTGTTTGGGTGTGTGGTCTATTTCTCGGAACTTTACCTTTTTCCGTCCTCGTTAAGACTCTCGTGAGAGCAAATGTATGGGTTCGTTAATGGTGTAGATGTGCAGTATACATCTGAATATTTCCGTCTCTTTTGTGTACACTACACGAATGGAAAGCACAAGAAACGACAGCGCAGTAAGAGAAGAGCGGGGGAGCGGAAAATGGGAAAAGAGCATCGCCCTCTTGAGAGTGTGCTAACAACAATAAAAACCGAGCAGCTCGGAATGCCTGTTAGACAGCGAATACTACATTCTACCGGTTTGCCACACGACCAGGCTTTCTTTTCAGATTCCAGCAGTCGCTCGTCAGTTGGGTACAACGCTTTCAACGTCTGCCTCTCGCGAGCAGCTGGAAAACAAAACACGGCACGCTACCGGTACGTCACCATGACGAAACAGACGGCCGCCCGCTCAAAAAAGCAAAAAAAAAGAGAAAGGATGCTTCTCCGGCTAGGCTGCCGCCTTGATCTGTTCTTCTTTTAAAAACTTCATTTGATTGTATACGTCATGCTAATGGTGTGGATGTTACTGGCATTTCTCTTGTCTTTTGCTTTTCATTTTTCCCCCTTCTTCGCCTTAGATGGAAGAGAAAGTAAAGTGCTGGGGAGACGCCTTCTCGCCCTCTCTCTCTCTTTCTCGTATGAGCGCTGCTGTCAACGGCGCCAAGGTAACGAAAAGGTATGGTGAGCAAAACGCTTGAGGAGGTCCCACAAAGAGAGAGAGGGGAGTGGAAAGAAAAAAAAAGAACAAGATCATAACACCAATGACTGGACAAACATGAACGAAGACGAGCAAACGAGCTGTGCTCACGGAACAATTGGACACGAAATGCCTTTCACGGCAAGCACACCCTCGCATACCCCTCGTTACTGCTTTCCCTACTGTTTCGCTACCTTAAAAAGAAAATGGAAAACACTGGATATATATGTGAAAGAAGACCAAGCGAGAACAAAGAGCTTTCACACGCTTTTCAGTTTCCATCCAGAGTTTCCAATGGTTACACCCTCGCCTTCCACGCTCCCTCGTTGCTCGCGAGATACAGGGAGGGCGGGAGTAACCTGCCTACAAAACACACTCACGTCGTTCCTTCCCAAAGCAGCTATCGCAACACGCTTCTTGACCTCCGGCTCTCTGCGACTTACTTCGCAGCCTTCACAGCGTCGATAAACTTCTTCGCGTCGGCATCAGACCAGCCGGCGTTCTTCGCCTCCGCCTGCACGTAGGCTTCGAGCTTGTCGGCGCCGTGCTTCTCGGCGTACGCCTTTGCCTGGGCGATGTTCGTCTCACGCGCTACCGCGTCCAAGTGCTCCGGACCCTCGCCGCAGTATTGGCTGAGTTCGCGGGTCGTGTACCGCGTTAGTCGCACGCGAGCCACCTGACGCTCCAGCACCTTCTTCTGCTCCGCCGGCAGGCTCTTCGCGTAGGACTCGATGTCAGACTGCCAGCTCGCGCCAAAGTTGTGCTCGATGTTGCACGCCTTCAACGGAGTGTTACCGCGGAACTGCGTCTCGCCGGTGAGGAGCTTGTGCAGCGCTACCATCTTGGGATTGCTAGACGCCGTCGCTGCCCCAGCAGCAGCAGCAGCAGCGGGTGCAGCCGCAAGACGAAGGAAGGAGCAGCGCATCATGATGAATGAAAAGAAGAGAAAAAAAAAGGCAATCCGAAGGGCGGAATGAATTTGGGCGGCAAAGACACGCTAGAGAGCAGATCGAGAAGGGTCAAAGCTAGAGTGAGGTCCGCAGTGTGGAGCATGTTGTGTTTGGGGGAGGGGTAATGTAAGACAGAGAGAAGGGAAAGAAAGTAAGAGCAAGAGCGTTCGGCAGAGTACCGCCACAACTGTTCACTAGCCATGCAGTAGCAATCGAGCCGCTTTACTGTTCATTTCCTCTGTTTTGAGCGTCAACCTTGCGGTTTTGATATAGACAAGCATTGCACTGTTGCGCCAACGATAAGCGCTTCAACAGAACAGATCCCTATACTCCTTTTTTTGAATCCTTTCTTTCAAAGGGTCCTGTTTTCTGAACACGCAGAGTCGTCGCATTTCGGAAATGCGGAGAATTTTCAAGGCCGATAAAACTTCTCCTTCGCTGCACCGCCAATCACCAGGACCAACCCAAGTGGCATTGATGGATTTTACTACGTGTGTGTTTTCAAACGCGTTTATTAAACAAAAGAGTGTGTGTGTAAAGCGCAACCTCCTCCTGAGGATTCCCCTTTCAAACTAAGCAAGAATAACAGAAGAGGAACACTGGGCGTGAATAGGGTGGTGGATGGCACGGAGTCAATGTGGTCACGTAAGAAAGAAAAAGAAACGAGAAAGATGTACGCCACAGCTTCACCAAAAGCCCTCGCCGCCTTCAGCAATCAGCGCTGATTAATAGGAAAAAAGAAAACACTTAGTAGTTCTCTGTAAACAAGGTAGAAACGACGAAGACAGCAAGCATCCAGCGTCCCAACACACAACGCATCCACAAACACATAAAAAGGGGGCCTCTTCTTTCTCTTTCGTCTATGCTCCTCCTCGCCTCAAGATGGCCTTACGCCCAAATGTCAATGTCCATCAGATCATCGCCGAGGTACTTCTCGATCGTCTCCTTCGGGTCGCAGGCCGCGCCGTGCGACATGACCTTCTCCACCAACTCACGCCCGGCGGCGCGGTTCAGCGGATCACGCTCGAACTTCCTCGTCCAAATGCGACGCGCCACGCTCAGGCTGTAGAGGTAGCCGTAGTAGCCGGCGGGGTAGCCGGAGAGGTGCTCAAAGGAGAGCGTGGTCAGCACCCCCGTCTCTGTCGGCTCCGCCACCGAAAGCGGCTTGGCGACTTGGATGAGAGCCTTCGCCATGTTAAAGGCACCACGGCCGAAGTCACCCATATCGCCTAAGGTGCGCTTGCCGACGTGGCCCTGATCGCCGTGCGGGAAGTACACCGTCAGCGGCTGCGGTCCGTGTAGGGCTTGATCGACCGCCGAGAGCACCACCTGGTCCAGCATGTCCAGGTGCTTGAACATGTTCGCCGCGTCGTTGCGCTTCTGCACAATGTCGAAGGAAATCGGCTCGCGCGTGTTAATGCGGTGGGCCCACAGCTTGAGGAACTCGTGGGAGGTCAGGAACTGCTCAAAAAGCTGCGAGAAGGTCTCGACGTAGTCGATGCTGGACCGTGTCCCGGCAAGGTTCTGCACCTGCGTCTGGCCAAAGATGGTGTGCATCGCGTGGCCAAACTCGTGGAAGACGGTGGTCACCTCGTGCGGCTGCATCAACGTGGCCTCGTCGTCGTAGGTGCCGTCCGGGCGACGCTGCACCGGCTTCAGCGCGCCGACGTTGGCAGTGAGCACCACGACGGGGTACTGCCGCTTCGGCAGCACGAGGCCGACCGTGGCGAGCGCGTCGGCGTGCGGCACACAGCCGAGTTGCAGCGTTAGGTGGCCCGCCTGGCAGTACTTCATCTCGTTCATGTACATGTCCAGCACAATGACGCCGAGGAACTGCTTCCCCTCATCGAACACGTGGTACTTCTTGGCGCTGGTGTTGAATATCTCCTCGGGGTTAAACGGCACCTCCTCCAGCTTCACACCGAACACCTCAGAACAGAGGCACTGAATCCCACGAATGCAGTTCGCCACCGAGAAGTACTCCGTCGCCGTCTCCGGCTCGGCGTCGCGGCGCATCGATACGGAAACGCGTGCGCGAAACTCGTCGGTGATGTTAGCACGGTTGCGCACCTCGCCGACGTTCTTTCGAATGCGGTCCATCTCCGCCTCCGCCTGCGGGCGATACTTGCTGGCGATGCTGCACAAGAAGTGCCACACGTTCTCCTGGTTCTCTAACATCGTACCGCGCAGCTGCTGCTCCGCAAAACTCTCAAACCCGAGGGTCTGGGCAAGCTCGTAGCGGCACTGCAGCAGGTAGCGCAGGGTACCAAAAGGGTTCGCAGAGCCCTGCTCCGTCAAGAACCGCATCGCCAGCTCCTCCTTCTCAATGTTCATCTCCGTCACTTTGGCACGCTGCACGTCGGGCAGGTGGATGCCGTTGTTCTCCATGTCACGCTTCAGTTGTATCACGTTGCGGATCGACTCGGGAGACAGTCCCTTCCGGCCTACTGGGCTATCCAGCTCCCTGATCACGTCGTACAGCTCGCGCCGTGAGTTGACCTCACACATGTACTCGTACCCTTTCTGGAAGGCCAGGGAGGCCGTCCGCTTGTACTTCTCATCAGGATGGATCTGACGCACAAACTCGCAGGGGTCTAGCAGGAGGCACAGGACATTGCTGGTCGAATCGATGAGGTCGTGCTTCGCCTGCGGCGTCGGCGCCTTCGGGACCGCCTTCAGCATCTTTTCGCAGATATCAACCGTGGCATCGACGGTACCGAGCAGGTTGTCGGGGCTGGAAAGAAAGTTGAGATTCGGAATGTCCGGCACGACACCGTAGGTGGTCTCTTTGGGTGCTGCCGTCGTGGGAGCCGTCGTGGGAGCCGTCGTGGTGCTCAAGAAACGCGCACCAAAGTTCGCGGTAATCGCGACGGCCTTCGGCGTGCAGTACGCGCGCGCAGCACGTGAAGGCAAACTGCGGAGCATCTTCGTGGGGTCTTTGGCTCCTTTTCCTTAAACGCCGTGTGTGTGTGCTTGTGTGTATCGAAGAGTCGGTACGAGCAGAAATGCGTCGTCTTTGTGCTTGCACGCGAAATTCTAATTCAACGCGGCGATACTGCCGGTGTTGGGCTTTGCCTCTCTTCTCTTCGCGCAAAAGCAGCGCAATCGAGCTTTCTTGAACGCTCAATGCGCGTACGTTTGCAGGGCGAAAGGGAAAAAAAAGAAAGGAAACACAAAGGAAACGTTCAATCGCAGCGCTGCGCCTTGTTTCCTTTCTGTGAAGCTTCGCGTGGATGAAGTACCATACATGTGTCGACACAGTAAGCGTCATTGGGAGGAGTCAAAGCGAGTGGGTGAGCAAAAAAATAATATATGTATATGAGGAAGAAGAAAACGCGAAGGGGAGTCAAGTTGAGAGAGAAGGCACCCAATGAAAGAATGCGTACTAAATGCTTTTCGTTTTTGTTCGGTTGGGATCGGCCTTTTTGTTGTTGTTGAATTCCATCGCCCTCAGCTGCGTCTGGCTGAAATTTGGCATTTCCTCCTCGATTTATTCCGTTTGCCTACCGCTTTCGTACGCAGGCCGCACTCCCCGAAAGCATGACAAGTGCGTCCAACAGTTATCTCCTGTGACGCTCACCTGTCCCACTCGTAAGGCGAGGACATCATCACAGAAAACAGCCAGCACTGCGGCGAACACGGAGCGAGTGTTTGCGTCTCTCTATCTCTGCGTATGTGTGCGCGTGTGTGTGTGCTCTTGTTGGTTCTTTCTTTCCAAAAAAAGGCAAATAAGGCGGACAAAAATCGGTGCCAATCTCTCCCGTCAAAACCAATACAACAGCTTTGGATAGTTGAAAAGCGGTGAGGGGGTGGCGGTGGTGATAGCGAGCGACCATCGAGAATCCGACGCAGACAAATGGTAGTACGTCCTGCACAGGCAGCATGATGGGCTGCCCACAACTTCGATTCCGATGAAACGAACGGTCCACCTCTCCGTTGTCGCACTCGGCGGAAAGGCTTTCCTTTAAAGCACTTCTACCCATAGTGTGTGGTGGTTTCTATGCGTGGAGGAAGACGATTAAATCTTTAAAAAGGAGACTCATCATCTCTGTGAGTGTGTGACTAGAAAAGTAAAATAAGCAAACCACTACAACCATCCATTCCATACGGCACCACAGCCGACATTTCACGCTCTCATCACACCGATACACGTGAGCGCACAAGCAAGACGGTACGAAGACCGCCGTTTTCAACAATCTGAGTAACAAACAGCGCTTCACATCCCCAACGAAAAGGAAGAGCAGCGACAGAAAAAAAAAGGTTTGCTTCTTTGTGTGAATGTGTGGATATGTGAGATAATAAAGCTGAGCTGTGAAACTGCTCCTTCTAACCTACATCCTATGCGAAAGGCACGTTCCACTTCGGCCGCGTAAACGCCGTCGAAAGCTGGGTGTGCGCCACGCCCTGCCACTTCTCATCTTTCAGCTCCTGCGGCGGCATCTCGTCACGCACCTTCACATACCACCGTCGCGCATTCACGCGGTCGCCTAGCTGGAAGTACGCCTGCGCCAGTCGGCAGGCGTATTCTAAATTCTTCGGGTCGTTTTCTGCTGCTTTTTTGTGGAAGCGCACACTCATCTCACGCAGGGTCCGCGTGTTGGGTAGTCCATAGTACCACGCGTACAACCGCGACGGGTCGTACCAGCGGAAGGAGCACCGGGCACAGAGCGCGCCAAGCGTGTTTGGGATCTCCGCATCCGTCGGCAGCAGCGCCATCCCCTTTTTGCCTTTCTTCATGATGGCCTGATAGTTTTCTACAAGGCCTAGGCCGGTGAGGCTCTTCATGTAGTAGAGAGCCTCTGACTCCCGTGCGGCGCACATTACGTAGGTGCGGTAGCAGGGGCCGTAGTCCTGGTTCTCGTTGATACACTTGCGGCTGACATCCACGCCCCGCTGCAGCAAATCCAGGCGATCGCACCAGTGCTCACGAGATACCTTGTTCTTCGTTTTGTCGTAGAGAACGGTGGTCTCCGCGAGCAGCGCCATCACTTCGGGGCTGTCGGGTTGCTCCTCGAACAGCCGCTCCGCGTAGTCGAAGGCGCTCTCGCCGAGGGCAAAGTCTAACAGCTGGTCGCGGAACTCCTTATAGGTGTAGAAATCCTTCGACTCACGCGAGACCGGCTTTGACGCACTCGTCGCCGCCTCCTCCAGTGCGGGTGCTGCGACGCTGTTGGTCGTCGTCGCTGCCGCCGCCGTGGGCGCTGGCTTGCTTCCTGACCCGCCCATCTCTGCTGCTACAATTCGGGTTGTTTTGTTGTTGTGTGTGTGTGTGTGTGTGAAGCCAAGGCGAGAAAAACAAACGTGACAGCCTGCTGCCGATCGGTTTCGCTTGTTTTCCTAGCCAAAGTAATAATAATAATATGGTTGCCAGCTTCACCCATTGCACGCAGGTTTGCGTGTCAGGAAGGAAGGAGAAGTCAAGTTAAGCGAACGCGGACAGCAGGAAAAACAGAACCGGAGGGCAGGAGAAGCGGAGAGGAGGGGGGAGGAAGCATAAGAGATGAAAATGACTCGAATCTTAGTGGAAAACGGAAAACGCTGCCGGCGAGCACGAAAAGAGCCGCCGCGTGTGGTGTTGCTCCGCATTGAAGCAATGCACTGTAGAAAGGGGAGAAAAAAAGAAAAACCATCACATGTGAAAATGCCACCTGGTGTTTTCGAACTAAACCCAATGCTACAATTTAGAAAACAGAAAAGAAGCGGGCTGAACTGCAGCTCATCCTCATCGCTGACTCTTCGTTAAATCAAATCGATTCATCGGTTGAACTTTTAGCTTTTTTTAAAGATATCAGCCGTGCTTTGTCCAAAGAGTTCACAAGTTGTTGTACCGCTGTCTCATCGAAGCCGCATTGCTCCGCAGAGAGATGAGAAACAAAGAAGAAAATAGTTTACAACTTGGAGCCAGGTGGCGATACTTCTCCACGAAGAGGCGTCAAGAAAGAGCTGCGCACCTGCGCCGGCGACATCCCAAGTCCAAAGAGATACTTCAATTTAATCGCCGTTGTTTCCTGCGTCATGTCGCCCGCACCGATCGCCCCCGCCTCCATCAACTGACGCCCCGCCTCGTACTCGGCAAGGTTGACGGCGCCGTAGCGGTTCTGCGTGCAAATGGCCACTACCAAATCGCGTTTCCTTGCCAGCGCCAACAGCCGCTTCATAAACCCGTTGCGCGTAGGCGCGTTGCCGCTGCCGTAGCAACGCAGCACAACAGCCGATGCCGCCGTCTTCTCAACAGCAACCAGAAACGACTCAGAAGGTGCCCCAGGTCCCAGCTCCAGCGTCAGCACCTTCACGTTGAGCTGCGCGCACACGCGCAGGCGCCCCGTAGGGTGAGGCAGGAGTAGCGGTCGGTGAATCGCCAACGACCCGCCCTGCATGGTGGCGATGGGTGGGAAGTGCGGCGAGTCAAAGGGGCGCAGGTTGCTGCGGTTCACTTTAATGGCGCGATTTGCGCGGAACAGCATCTCGTCAAATAGGATGCACACTTCGCACACCTGACTGCAGCTGGCAAAGAGCAGGGCTAGAATGATGTTGCGCTTCATGTCCGTGTAGATCCGATTGCCAGGGATAAGAGAGCCAGTGAAGATGACCGGCTTGCCAAGATTCTCCAGCAGAAAGCTGAGGGCCGTCGCGGTGGACACCATGTTGTCCGAGCCGCTTTCCACTACAAAGCCGCGGTATTCATGATATTTCAAGCGAATTAACTGCGCCAGCTGCATCCAGTCTTCGGGTGTGTGGTCCGCCGACAGCTTCAGCGAGTTCACCTGCTCTACGTCAAAGGGAGGCACGCCTCGCTTGCGCAGATCCTCGTTGCGATCTAGGATGTCGACAAAGAAGCTGCACCGGTCTACGACACTCTGCTGTTCTTGCTCGAGCAGGTCGGACTGGTAGCTGCGCATGTTTATGAGGAGCACCTTCGACCCACTCGTGTCCTCCTCCAGCGCGAGCTCGTTGGCCGGGTTGTGCGCCGCCGCGCGGCCGTCATCGTAGATGTACAGCATGTTTAGCGGGTGGGATGACATGATGAGAAGAGTGGAAGTTGAACTACGTTTTCTTTTTGGTTTTTAGGAGAGAAACGTCAGCGTTCAACCACAAACGTACAATTTCACACTCTTAGGCGGTATCACCTTTCTGCAGTCACACGAATTGCTACAGCAGTGTACAAAGAATGCTTCGGTTCATTGACTAGGCAGCAGCGAGCGAAAGAAGCACAAGCAGGCTCCGCAGTTTCGCAGGTAGGTTCGGTTGGTGTACTAGAGACACAGAAAAAAAGGTAGAAGACGCAAGGGAAAAGGGAGAACAAAAGGTATGGGAGTGTGGTCGACATTTTTTTTGCTCACTTGATAGGAGTATTTACACCGTTGCCTCTTGCTGAAGAGAGGCACACAGAGTATTCTTGCGTAGGAGCGCCACCGCCTCAAAAGGAGAACACGCAACGACAGTGCTACCAGAAAACGAGTCCCTTATGAACATTGTTCACCAGCGACAACAGAGAGAGAGTGGTTTCCTGCCGCACATTGCCATTGGTCCCGGGGGTTGCATGGAAAAGCACGCATGTAATCTTCTACCTAGAAGAAAAAAACACGCACTCCAATTTGATAGCCGTTCACATCACGGTCCTCAAGTACACATGCTTCTTTTTTTCTTATTTGCCGTTTTGTTTTGTGTTAGTTGAAATGAGAAAACTAGAAAAAAAAACAATGTGGAGCTGTTACTTCCACACGAGTCTTTCATCACGTACTACTCACACAGACACACCACAGGCACCGTCCTTCTCCGTCATGTTTCTCCACGCAATCCATCCCTCAGTCTCTCCACAACCCAATTCGAGGTAGTAAAGGAGTTAGAAGCTGGAAGGAGAGACAGAAAGAGAGAGAAGGTCAAGCCAGAAGCACCACGAGCTGTGCAGGACAAGAGGTAAGCGCCGTACGAAGAGCACGAACGCGTGAACGCTTTTTCGTTGCTGTAAAGGGGGCTTCTTATTCCTCCTGGTCCTGGATGTTGAAGTACTTGAGCTGGTACGTCTCCTTGCCGGTGGCGAGGATGCGGATCCAATCGCGCAGGTCCTTCTTCTTCAGGAACTTCTTCGTCAGGTACTTGAGGTACTTCTTGCGGTACGCCATCGTGGTGGTGATGGTGAGCACGTTGTCGTTCATGGACAGGCGGACCTTCTCGGACAGCTTGCCCTTGCGGCCGTTCAGCTTCATGTTGTCCTGGAAGAACTGCTCGAAGCCGCTCAGCACATCCTCGCTGAAGATGCCATCGGCAGCAGGGATGGTGCAGTCGATCTTGAAGACCTTCTTGCCCTTGGCCAGCTGCTTCTGGCGGACGTAGCTGCGGGAGCCAACCTTAGCGCGGACAGCGACCATTTTTGCTTGCCGAGTGAAACGGTGTACGGTGACTGAGGAAAGGGAGAGAGGGGGAAAAAACAGTTTTAGAGATGTGTGTGTAGTTGATTCAGGCACACCAGCACCACACCGTCCAGCACAGTTGGGTGATGCAGGGGAAAGATAAGAAGAAAAAAGAGAGAAAGGGAAAAGAGAGAAGTGAACTAGGAAGTCGCCATTATGTGTTTATGCAACGCTTCTTTGCTTTTTTGCGGTAACCGAAATAATTCGGTAGCGGAGCGGAGCTGACAGGCGGCAACGCCTTCAAACTTTAGATTTATCGGTTGAACTCCCATCCACGTTAAAACTCAAAAAAAGGGATACGAACATCGAAGGACGGTATTCTTCTTTTTCTTTGCGCAGTAGTAGAAACAATTCTTTTTTGGCCTTGCAAATGTGTGTGTGAACTGGAAAGCACCCTCCAATAAAACACCGCAACAAAGAAAGCGCAAGACCACGACTGAAGCAAAACCACGCGCAGATAAACCACATTGATACACAAAAATGGCACCCCAAAGGCAAAAACAAAGCAGACGTTGAGTCTCAAAACGTCAGTTGATCGCCCATCTCTTTTGCACTCTTCGGATAGAAATTTCCATCAAGGCACCGCGCGAAATGCGACTACTTGGTGCTTGTCGTTGACGCGCCATCACCCGCGTCGCCGTTGGAAATGACCTCCGCCCCGTCCTCTGCCGTCGCTGCCTCATCGCCGAGGACGCGACCACCCCGCTCGCGGCGATGCTGACGCGCCTCCTCCTTCTTCTCCGCCAACTCCGCTTTTCGCTGACGACTCATGGAAATCTGCTTGGCGCGAAATTCCTTAAACCGCTGCCGCTTCACCGCGTCCTCCTCCGCACGCTTCTCCAGGAAAGCCTTGCGCTGCTCCTCCAGCTCCGCCCGACGTTGCTCCTCCTCCTCGTCGAGTCGCTGCTGCTCCTCTGGGGCGATCCACGGCTCGTCGTCTGCGTCACGCGGATCGATCCCTGCCTTCTCCAGATCACGCGCGCGTCGCTTTTCCATCTCGTGCTGCCGGAGGTCGAAACGACAAGTTGAGGTGCTGAAAAAGACGGCGGCGGAGTGCAGGCACCGGCGCGGTGTCTGGTGAGGCAGCCCCGTCAAGACGCAGGAAGCGTCAAGGTAAGAGTTGTGAAGAAGAGTGCTGCACACACATGCCGTCGCTACCGCTGCTCTCGACGCGGATGGGCGCAGAAGTTGACGATACATTTTTGTTTTTGTGGCGGGAAGTGATTTGGGAAAAAAGGGGCCAGGAAACGAAATGGCTCGATTAGGTTTCTGCGAAGCCTGGAGGCTCTTTGATGTATAGAGGGGTCACAACTTGGTAGAAGAGTTGCGCGTCCTAGGTTGGTCGATTGATCTCGCGACGCCAAAACAAAAGCAATAATCTAAATCCTCTCGTAATGAGGAAAAGAAATTGCGCAGAGTACGAAAGAATAACAATGCGCCATAGCAACAAAGTCGAGCAGATGTAATGGACGTAAGTCACGAGACAGACAAGAAAAAGTCAACATGACCCAGGTCCGGTCCTGACAGAGAGAAACAATGAACTCTTCCTTTCCCATCACACCTCCTCTGATTCTGAGATGAGGTAGTGACATAAACTTGTTCGAGCGGACAGGTAGGCTTCTCGTCAACTAAACGATGGCACCTCGTAAACCAACGAGGTTGAAATTCCACCGCTCCGCTTCGTTGCTGCTCCGCAAAACGCACTCCTCGCTGCGTTGCAGGAGATGCCACTTCTGACATCCTTTTCAGACGAATGTACTGGTGAACATACACAAGACGTGTAAACTTAACAGAAACGTCATCGTCATTATTCGAAATTATTATTATAGTGTTAGACGACGAAGCAAGCAAAACAAAAAGAAAGACGCAGATGTTGCCTTTTTTCTCTCAGTCCGAATTCTCCGCACGAGGTTCGCGTGTGCAAGCATTCCTTCTGCAAAGGTGTCAAGGCCAAGTGTGGTGATCACTTCCTGCTGCCTTTCGTCCCCTTCTTCGTCTTCGCGCCCGCACGAATCGTCTGACGGTCTGCCCGCTCTTTCAGCTTCTGCTCGGCCTCCTTAGCACCCAGCGCGTACGCGCTTGTACGGAAGGCGCCCTTGCCGCCGAACTGACCTGTGAACTTCTTCGTCAGCAGCTGCAACTCACGCTGCAAGATGCGAATTGCCTTCTGCTTCTGCCGGTTCTCGCTGTCCACCGTGTCATCGTACATGTCGTCCGTCTCGATGTCCGCCTCCTTCGTCATGCGACTCACCCACCGATTGCTGGCCTGGCTCTTGCCGATTTCCTTCTGCAGTTTGTCGATCTGCAGCGCAATACGGAGGTGGCTGCTCAGCTGGTGCACCACCGTTGGCTGCACCGCGAAGGTCTCGATTTCGCTCTCGCGGCGGCCGAGGGACTCCATCAGTTTACGGAAGGACATGTGCTCCTGCGCGTTGACGAGCAGCATGGACAGACCAGTGCCACCGCACCGGGCGGTACGACCGCAGCGATGGATGTACGCGTCCGTCGTGCGAGGCACCTGATAGTGTACGACGTACTTCAGGCCATCCACGTCGAGACCGCGCGACGCCACATCGGTCGCCACGAGCACGCGAATATCGCCCGTTTTGAACTTGTCAATGAACTTGAGACGCTGGCGCTGCTGCATGGAGGCGTGCAAGCCCACCACCGCAATGCCCAGCACCTCCAGCAGCTTCACCAGGCGCCGCAGCATCGAAATGGCGTTCACGAAGACAATCGCGCGATCATCGCTGTAGGTCTTGAGGAAGTAGTAGAGGTACAGGTCCTTGCTGTTATCAGGGCAGCGCAGATACGTCTCATTAATACGGGTGGCCACGTTGGCAGACTCAGTGAGTGAGAAGACCTGCGCGTTGCTCGGCTTGATCTCCAGCTGTTGGAGCACCTTATTCAGTACGTCCACGTTCGAGGTGCGGATGACGCTCTTGCGGGCCGAGTAGTCACGCCGCTCGTAATTCGTCTGCAGGGACAACGTGGCGGAGGTGACGAAGGTGACCACGCGGTGCTCCGCCGCCGGCTCAGGAGGCATCGGAATAGGCTGCGGTTCATCTTTGCGACGGCGTGCCTCGCCACTCTCTTCCTCCCCCTCCTCCTCTTCTTCATTTCCCATTGCGACGGCAGCATTCGCGTCGGCAGCAACGTCCAGCTCGTCCCCAAACTCCATTCCCACCTTCTTCGCCCGCTTTGCTTTCTTCATCTTCCGCGCATCGTCGCCGCCCTCCGTAACGCTCTTGCTCTTCGTCTTCTTCCCTCCCAGAGAACCCTTGGGAGTCGTTTCGTGACTCTCCTCTACCTCCACGTCCTCGCGAGACCGTTTGGTGGTCTTTCTCGTTGCCTTCGCAGAAGGAGCCGTGGCAGTCGGTTCCTCCTTCTGCGTCTTGTGAGCTGCAGCTTCTTCCCTCGTGAAGGGCACGAACTGTTGCGTTTCGGCGTCCCAGCGGCCGCTCTCGACCTCCACGTCGCCAGCCTCCGCCCCCTCCTCCCGGTCCTGCACAAAGCCGGCGGGCAGCACCTCGCAGTGAATGCGCTCCAGCAGCGTTTGCAGCTCGTCAAAGCGGCCCGACTGTAGCATCTTATCGGCCTCATCGAGCACAACGTAGTGCAGTCGGCGGCTGATGCTGTGGCCGAGGTAGCAGCCCTCGTTCTTCTGCACCAAGTCCCACAGACGACCCGGCGTGCAGATGAGGATGTGCGGGTGGCGGTTTAAGACGCGTTGCTGCCGCTCCTGGGCCATACCGCCCACCACACAGCCGACGACCACCTGCGGGGTGAACTTTGTCAGCTGGCGAATGGCGGCGTGAATTTGGAGGGCCAGCTCGCGGGTCGGGGAGACGATGAGGGAGTGCATGATGCGCGTGCGGCGCTGCTGCCGTGTCTCGCGCGGCAGCGTCGCAGCAGGAGCAGACGTCGGCATCTGCGCGTCGTCGGCAGACTCAGACGCGACCGCTTTGTTGTCCTCGCTCGCTGGCACGCCAATCGTGACCCCGTCCCTTTCCATCTTCATCAGCAAATCCTGAAGAATCGGCAAGGCGAACACGAGCGTCTTGCCGCTTCCTGTTTCAGCAGACACCACAACGTCCTGCGCGCCGTGTTGTGCACCACTGCGCTTGTGTTTTTTGTTTTTCTTCTCGCCCTGGCCCTTTAGGTGCTTCGCCAGCTCTTCGTTGTCGTGAGCCAGCACGTTCGGCAACACCTCCTCTTGCACCGGCGTGGGGTGGGTGAAGTGCAGGTCGCGAAGCGCCTTCAGCAGCGCCGGGTGCAAACCCACCCGCTCCCAGAAGAGGTATGCCTGACCGCTGTGCTTGTAGAGGTTTTTGTTTTCCTTCTGCAGCCCGGCGGCCGCACGTGCGAGACGCTGCTGACGCTCCTCCTCTTCGTAGATGCTCGCATCCGGCAGCGCGAGTGGATCGTCCGCTGCGAGGGGAGCAGAGGGAAGAATTCTCGCCGCGGCCAGCTGTGGTGCGCTGACGGCCGCCTTGCGATTCTTCGAGCCCGAGGAGTTCGTTGACGATGACGACGTCGCCGTTACAGTGACTATCGGCGTTGCCGCTGCTGCTGCCGCAGGCGGAGCAGGACGGAGTAGCATGTCAGTCAACGCACGAGGATCGAGAATTGCCTCCTGCACCGGCATCGCCGTGCCCTCCGCAATGTCCGACACGATCATTGCCATCGGCCGCGCAGAGTCGTCGACCAGGTCGTTGCGGTTGTGTACACGTCGCGCGGCACCCATGCGCTTGCGCAGGTTCGCGCCAATCTGGTGGCGCTGTTTCATGTCATTCTTACGAATGCGCTTCTTGAAGGTGGTTTTTTTGACAGACATTTTTACTGTTTGAGGGTTTCCGAAAAAAGAAAACAGAAAAGCGGAGTCCGAAAGTGCTGCTACCTTGTCGAGTCGTGTTGATCGGACTCCACAACCGAAAAGTGGGACTTCGATTTGAAAGACACAAACGGTGAAAACGGATGAAAAGCGAGAAGAGTTTGAAGGCTTTTTTCATTACCCACAGGTGAGGAAATCGCGGAACGCACGGCCAAAGAAATGAACTCGATTGCAAAGAGGCGACTTCTTCATACAAACAGATAGATGTACGCTCCCCGACGACGAGTCACGTCGCTGATGACATTGATTTAAAGAAGGAAAGTCACTTTGCGGATCAGGCATGAACTGTAAAAGACAAGAAAAGAAGGGAGGTATGATGATGAAACGCCATCCGATCCGGAGAAGGAGCGGCACGAAGGAGACCGAAATCAAGCAACAACTGAAAACAAAACAAAAACCAACACAGCAGGATAAAGTGCCCACGCAGCACCCGCCATCTCGCCCTTCCGCCGCTCTTCCTCTAGCGTTTTTTTTTAATTATTATTTTCGTGAAATCTCCGTATGAAGAACACACTCCACCACACAAGTGAATGCGAATGCGTTACGCCGTAAGAGCTTGTTATTCCTGTTTTCCTGGTGGTGCTTATTTCCTTCAATCGTGCGAGTTCTTCACTAGCCAGTTCACGACCTCATTAATATTTGTCTGCTTGAGGGCGGAAATGGGCGTGACCACCCACGGATTCGTGTCGATGCTGGTCAGCTCCAGCAGCTCGATGCAGTCCTCCTTGCTCATGTGAGGGTCTAGGTCGATTTTATTCAGGCAGATGAGCAGCGGCAGCTTGTGGAGCGCCGCGTCGCTGAGGAGTTTGTGCAGCTCTCGCCCAGCCAGCTCGGCGCGTTGGTAGTCGCTCGCGTCGACACAGTAGATAACGCAGTCGCACCCTTGGGTGTAGCGCGGCCACTCGTGGCGGAAGCGCTCCTGGCCGCCAAGATCCCACACCTTCAGCTGCACGCCCTCCTTTCGAACCACCTTCACATTCAACCCGACGGTGGGAAAGGTTTCGATCGGGTGGCCCACCGCGAGTACGTTCAACAGTGTTGTCTTGCCACTGTTTTCCAAGCCGACGAGGCACATTTCCAGCTTCTTGCCGCTCGAGAAGAACTCCTTCAGCGCCGCGAGAAAGGCTCCCATGATGCGTGGAGTTTCGTAAATATCTAGAAATAACCCTATATAGACTACAGGGATAATGGGTGAGTATTGTGTATTGCGTGTATGTTGTGGGGGTATATGGGTGGCTTAATTGCTTCCGTCAAAGACTCAATTGTCTTTGCAGCAGGTGAGTAATTGTCGTCGATGACAACGCGTGTCGCTGAGGATATGTCGGTGCGTATAGCGGTGAGGATACGATGATAGCAGGTATAGAGAGCGGCGCCTAAACCGGTTGCAACGGTGAGACAGGTCGCTGGAGGTAGACGGAGACCGTGATCGGCGATAAACGCAAGGCGTTGCCACCGTTCCAGTTTAGTGAGCAGTGAAACTGCCTTCACTGTTTCCCAAAAATAATAATAATAATAATGAAAGCAGCACTAATTTGTACTGTTCCGCGAAAGTACGAACCCCCCCGAAAAGGAGAGAGAAATTCCATTTGCATAGGAAAATCAATAAGAGGCGAAAGGCAAGACGGAAGTGATGTTTCGATTGAAGAGTACGTTTAGCGCCCTCCATCTTCGGCATGTCCCTTTTGGGGTTTACTCGCGTGACACGCATGAGCACCCATCAAAGAGATGCCGTCACAAGAGGCAAAACAAAAAGGAAGCTGTACCATCGAAGTTCTTGGAAGGCAACCTGTGTTGCTAGCCTCAACTGCCGCTGCCGTTGACGTCACCTTCCTTTAGAGATTCGGCAAATGCTCGCAGCCAAAAAGGTTAACACGAGGCATTTGTGTGTGTGTGTGTGTGCTTGATTCGTAATGGACTTCGAGTGGCACGCCTGTTACGGATAGATACGATATTAGAGCTTTGTTCGCTATTCATCTATGAAAAACAAAAGACAGCGCGGTCGCTACGGCGCCTTCACACGACGCAAACTGAAGGGGGAAGGTGAAACCCACCATGTTCAGAGCAGCTAATAATTATTATTATTATAAACTGTTCTACCTTCTTTTGCGAAACACAATAAATAAAGAGGAGATGGTGAAGTTTCTATTCGTTTCTCGTCGACGCGCCGCAGTTGCTGCTGCTGCTGTGCTGGACGTGGTACACGTTGTTCTGATCGTAGAAGCGGCTGAAGTCAATCCAGGTGAGAAGCGGGACCAGCTGCGGGTAGTCGGGACCGACCGGCGACGCGAGCTCCGACAGCGCCCTCAAAAACTGGTCCTCCACGGAGTGCAGCGTTGCCTCAATGAGCGGCATGGTCGCCGTGCTGCTGTGCATGCCAACTTCGCAGAAGCGTTCCGTCAGTTCGAGAATGTGCGCCAGGCTGCGGAAGCGCTGCGTGCTCGACAGCACCAGCCCCGTTTCAACACCATCAAAGAACTCCGTCAGGGCCTGAGAGATGGCAAAGACGCTGTCCGTCTGCCCAATCCGTGCAATGAGGCGACTCCACAGCGGCTCCAGCACAAAGTGGGCGGCGTAGAACTGGAACTGTCGGAGGAACTGCACAAACTGGTGCTTCAGCCCGTAGGCGGCGCTGAATTCGCCGAGGATCTCGTTCGTGTACCACAGCTCGCACAGGCGACGCTCACACGTCTTGACCCAAATAAGAAGGCGGAAGATTACGTTGAGGCGCTGAAGCACCTTCGCGTCCAGCACCAACGTGAGGGGCCACTGAAGGTCAGCCTCGAGTTGGAGGAGCTCCAGACTGCGATGGGCATCCACCTCCCCGCCCACGCCATCATTGTTGTTGCCACCACCGGTGCTGCGACGTGTCGGCAAGAGGCCGATGCCGCCCTCCTCGATTCGCACCGTCTCGCGGCCGCTATCCCGCTGCCGGTGCTGCTCCTGCAGTAGCTCCTCCAGTGTGCACCCCGCGAAGGTGCAGCCAATCAGGTCGTGATAGGGGTCGCTGGCGCAGCTGCGTGCGATGGCGGCCTGCAGCAGCACCTGCATCGAGTGTGCCTTGACCCGGTCTGGGTATTCCACAAGAAGACTGTCAGCGCTGTCGAGAAAGTCCACCACCCAGTCCCCGCGCTCCTGCAAAAAGTACAACTTGAGCGATCTGAGGTGGCCCAGCAGGTCAATGGAGGGGGCGAAGAGCAGTTGGATCACCGCGCCGCTGGCCACCTCGAAGGACTCCTGCACCTGCCGCTGCAGCTGGTCGGCCCCGCTCCACGTCAGGAGGGAACTGCCGTCGGCGCTCCCCGCTCCTTCGCCAGCAGCCCCGCCAAACGCCGGCAGCGGGGCGCCGTACTCCCTCAGCAGGCAGCAGTACTTCCCGGCAAAAAAGATCATCTTCGCCATTTTGCTTGGCGAGTTGAGAAAGACAGGAATGAGACTCTTGTTGAGTGAGAAGCGGCGGTCGAAGGCGGCGACGTCCTGCTGGGCGGCGGTCCGTCTGCTCGTGCCGTAGCGGCCTTGCGTTCCCGCCGCTACACTGCTGCCACTGTTGCCACCACCATTACCGCTGCCAACTCCGTCGGACAGCCCACCGTAGCCACCACCGCAACTCGTCATGGACGGCACCAAGGCGTCCAGAAAGAACTGCCCCACGTGTCGCTGCTGGAGGTGGTTGGCGGCAGTCGGCGCTGGGCGAGCGGGGCGGTACACCTCGGATATGAAGAACTCCTCGTAGGGGTCATCCAGGACACCGGTGTGCATCCAGCGGTGCAGCATGCGCAAATAGGGTACCAACGTGCGGCGAAGCAGCAGCATAAGCAGCTCGTGATCTTCGCGGCTGCCGGAGAACTTGTTCACCTGATCACATAAGTGGTTCAAAATGCGCGGCCCTACGAGTCCGGACGACGCCGACGACGATGCCGTTGGCGCCGCGGCGTCGGCCAGCGCGGTTTGGATGAGGTCCATCGGCAGCACTTGCCGCAGCCGTACAATGTGGTGCCCCACACGCAGCACCTCCGACACGACTCCCATCAGCGGCATCGGACGACCCTCACTCCACAGCTGCAGCTTCGAGATTTGATGCGCGTAGCTCGTGTTGATCTCTGACACAACCTCGCCGAGCGCCATCAAGACAAGGCTACGACTTTCATACTCCGCCTTCTCAATGCAGCGCAGTGCGACAAAGGCATCGGCAACAGGTAGCACCGTTTCACACAGGTGGCGCATGGAAGGAGGGACAAGTGAGGAGACGCTGAAGCCTCCGCCGGCGGAGGCGGCATCCGGAGTGTACTGCATAAAGAGTCCTCCGAGTCCTACGGCGGAGGTCAGCACCTCCGCCGCGATTACCGTATCCTGCAGCTCCTCGGGCAACTTCGACAGCTGCGAAGGCTCGTCGAGTGCAGGCAGGCCACTCAAGCTAGCGGCGGCAGGCGTGACTATCTGAGATGACAACGGGGCGAGCGAGTTCGCATTCAAAGACGACGATGACTTGCGAACAGTGCGAATACCGCTAGGGTTCGTGGCGCTCGCTGCAAAGCCGTTACCGTCACCAGCACAATGGTTCAGTACGTTGCGCTGCCACTCCGTCTCTATCACCGCGATACTGAGCGCGTCGGTGATGCCAGCGGCTCGGATCACCTCTTGACGATTTGTTGCCAGTTGCACCTGATCAAACCGGATTCCTCGCTTCTCCAGTGAGGTGAGGAAGCGCGTCCACTCTGTGGTGCTGCTCATCGCTCTGCAAACGGGGGTTTCTTTTTTATCGTTGAGGCGTTTGGGTAATGGGGTCGATATGGTAAGGTGAAGAAGGAAAAAAAAGGTCGTTAGACGTAATTCAAAAATCGACTCCTTCAGGGATCTTGCACACGTGGTGATCTCTCCTCTATAGGCCGTGGTTTGCTTCGCATTTAATCTTGTGTGTGTGTGTGTGTGTGTGTGTCTGTTCTTCGGCGTGCCTTTGTGTTTCTCTGGCCGAAGAATGGTGCGACTTGGGTATTGCCCCCGCCTGTGACACAGATTATTTGTATTTCTATGCGTGTATCGGCTTTCACGACAAGGGAGAGAGAGGGAAAGGCTCCAGGAGAATGAGAACAGGAAACGCGAGGAAGCTTAATACTGTGTTGTCCAACTTGCTGTCAACAACTTCTTCACACAGGGCAGGAAAAGAAGTTGCAGCTTTTTTCCGCTGTTCTTGTGTTTGGTTCTGGTGTTCTCCCCCATGTTCGGGTGCCTTCCAGAGATGTGCTGTCCGGTTATAAAGAGAGAGAACGACAAAGCGAAAGGGTGAACACACCACTCGAACCGAGAGCGGAGAGCAAGGACATTGGTTGTCATCCAAAGATAATGAAAGGGATGTAGACGGGGTGAGAAGCTGGTAATCAATCTGACAGCAGTCACTGGCACCACCGACGTGCTCGTAGAAGCGCATCTGACATCAATAAGTTATAGAAATAAAGAGTAAGTAAGCGGCAATCGCTAGTATGAGGATGCAACTACACACACGCACCCGCGCTAACGCAAAGATGGGGGCGCGCACGTTCATCGCTGTTCGAACCTGTCAACAAGTCGCCGCAGAAACCCCGGTTGGGTGTCCAGCTCATTCGCCATCTCGTGATTCAAGTCACGAAACACCATCTCATCGGAGCGGATGAGCAGCACCACATCGCGCAAAGTGAAAACGGTTTCGGATGGGTCGGTGAGAACAGGATGGTGAAGCAACGGCTCCGCCGCCTCCTCTTTCTCCTCTGCAGCTGTAGAATCTGTTGCTGTCGATGCACCTGCTGTTGTCTCCGTTGCTGGGGACTTTGGTAGCTCGGACTCTGAAGCCGCTCCAGAGGGCCCACCACCAGCTGTTTTAGACGGGGATGGCGTGTCCAATTGGCCGACGGCGTCGCCCTCCGCTTTCAACGCTGGGGGCTTCGCGGACTTAACACCCTCCGCCGCGTCACTGTACCCCACCTCCGCTGCTTTCCCTTTTTCCTCGGTCCGAAACAGGATCACGTCCTGTACCTTCGGGGGAACAATCATCGGAACGAGTGCCCCCTGCGCCGTGAAGACGCCCTCCAAACCCCAGTAATGCAAGGCGAGCGTTGGCACCCGCAGCTCCGCAATCTTGCCTAAATCGACGTCGTTCACCATCTGCGTCCACACCACCGAGGACTCCTCCGCGGTGTACGCCATCAGCCGAAAACCCATGCGCGGGTAAAACAAAAACAGCACGAAATACAGCGCAAAATGAAACGCCTGCAGCAGCAGCACGAGCGCCTGCTCGACGGCCGTAATCTCCGCCATGCTACCGAGAATTTGGTAGTGCATGGCGTGGCACTCGCTCTGCGCCAGCAGGCCACGCAGTTCATTTACGTACGAGTGCCGCAGCGGCGCACCAGACACGGACGAGTTGGGTGTTGAGTGATGCAGACGGCCACCCGACGCGTGTCCAGCAACCGCAGAAGAAGAGGAAGAGGCCGACGGCGACGACGAGGGTGTCGTTTGCGCACCTTTCTCCGCTGCCAAAAAAGGTGACGCCATTTCGGCTGACACAGACGCTAGCTTGCTCACGGACGAGTTCCCGTCGGTGTTTGTGGGGCGGCGCTTAAAAAACATTCGCAGGTACGCCGCCACCGACCCAGCTGACGGCGCCGCAGAGGCGACGGTCACCAGCATCGTGGCGCGGTGAAGGTACCGCTCACGGAAAACGCGATCCGCAACCCAGCGCAGTGTCTTCACCATCCCGATGCAAACGTGGTCGTTGACGCGGCCGGGCGCGACATGGGCAAGGGGCTCCCGCTCGAGCCTCGTGATATCCGTTCGCGTTAAAGGAGGGTTCATGGCGGCAAAACGGGAGGAGTGACCCATGAAGGTGCGGTAGAGGTAGCTCGGGGCTTCGAGGCGAGGAGGCGGTGCTGTCGTAGAATGGGTGGCAGCAGCATATCCACGTCTGGGAGTGGCGTGGGTAGAAGACGACCGTGCCGTCTTTCGCGCTGCACCATTCGGTCTGGCACTTTCAGAACGGGGTGCCGCTTGCGCACGGCGTGGGTAAGCGTAAGAGAAGCAGCGCTTCGCATACATCGGCACGGCTGTGCCTGTCCGCACTCTGGTGAGCATTGTCGAGTGCTTTTCTAAATGTTTGTTTGAAATACAGAATCTATTTTCTCCCGAAAGACCTGGACAGAAACAAAGCAAATAGGGCCAGAAAAGAAAAAAGGGACAATGAGGCAAGAAGGGAGATATTGGTGATTAAAAATGCTCGGAGAGGATGCACTGCAGAACGATGAGGAGACGCTACTGTTTGCAAGGCATGAACCAAAACAGCAGGAACGGCTGGCGCTACGTCGAGTCGCGTCTCGGCGTCGCGGCTCTCTGGAAGATAAGCATGGTGTGTTATCAAAATTACATGTTAACAACAACAACAACAACAAGAATATTCTTCAATACGATGCTGCCACTTTCGTGGATGCGCCAAAACGATGGGTCGACTTCGTGATTGTGCAGCGAAGAGCACCGTCGTTTTCTATTGATGGAAAACAACGTACCATGTGATAATAAAAAGCACGGAGGAAAGTGAAAAAACACATAAATTGAGGGGAAGGAGAACCATCGGTTCATATCGCAGTAAAAATGTATATGGAAAAGGAAAAACAGAGGGAAAACATCAACTTCGTAAACAAACACATCGAGCACAACAGAAAAGTAATAGTGATAAAAAAGAGAAGGATGAAAGAAAAGAAAAAGGCAGAAAACCCCCAAAAAAAGTGCGCAGCTAACATCTCACAGCGGTATCCACATACAACACAGTTGTCGCCACGACCAGCAATAAAGGCCATCGAGCTAGACGAGAGAGAGAGAGAGGTCTACGCACTCACGCACCACTACACATGGTCGTGGGAATACAAAATAAAAAAAATGAAACGAAAAGACGAAACAGGACGCTGCCGGTGAGCTCCAGAACGGGAAAGGACGCAGAGGACGTGTGTTTTCATACATGCGAAATAACCACTGACTATCAGAAAAAGAGTCCAGATCAATTAAAGAAAGTGCACTTAAAAAGGGAAAGATAAGAACATCGCGAACACATCATAACAGAAAAACCGTGAAAAACTCTTTAGCGCTGAGAAAGCCGCCGCGGTGACATCTACTCAAAATGCAATAAAGGTTTTCATATACGGTGAAACGAAGAGGGAGGGGGGAAGAACTCAAGCAGCGGCGATGGCTCCAATGTCACAACGTCGTTAGCACGCATGCCTTCTTTGCACGTAAAACCTCGGTGCTGCTGCTTGCATATTTTTCTTTCTTTTACGTCAATGCAAAGAAATTGGAGCCTTCGCACACCGCAAAGCGTAACCGCTCCTCTAGAATGGCTTTGCTGCTGTACTGTGGCAGTTTCAGGTACAAGAAGCAGGTACTTACCGTGGGCAGGGTGTGGTCATAGGTTGTGTTGTGCGTAAAGCTGTGGTTCTGGGTGGAGCCCGACACGGCAGACCCACTAACCACCGTGCCGTTCGCACCGCTCGTGCGGCCGTCAGCTGCGGAAGCCCGACTTGCGTTTGTTGGACTCCCATCCGCCGCCGTGTTTGCTACGTTGATGTCGCGACGTACCACCTTGATCGCTTGCGTCAGCCCACCGTAAGGCACACAGCTGGATCCCGTCACAAACTTTAGGAAACTGTGCTGCAACTGCGCGTTCCACTGTGGCACGACATCCAGCAGGTATTGCACCATGTCACTGCGCTGGTGATAACCGTGGCCAGCTTCAATGTTGCGCGCGAAGTGCTCGCGCGACCCCCAAATCTTTGCATCCTGCGCCGAGCCAAACAGGCGGCCAAGCTCCGCCGCGCTGAACAGCTGCAGGTACAACGGGTTGACGGTGTGCTGCAGTCCGCGGCGCAGATACAGCAGCGCAAGGTCAGGCACGGTCTGAAGGTAGTAGGAATGCAGGCACGTCACGTACTCCTCGACATTCGCCTTCGTCACGCGCCGCCGCTCACCATCGGCCATCATTGGCGCCTCGATGTCGACCGCCGACGCAAAACCGTCCGCCTCGCTGATGGGTATGGTGAAGTACAAATCGCACGCCTCGAGCTCTTCCTCACTCAACGTCGTCAGCTGTCGCAGCGACGCGGCCAGCGGTGCGTCCAGCAGCTCCAAATTGCTCGTGACAGGCGGAGTGGCGCTCACCATAATCTCCTCGCCGAGCATGCGTCGCAGAAGAAGAGGATGGAATGTGAGAGAGGTAGTTTCGCCCATCATCAGAAGACGGCCCAGCAGGAGGCCCAGCAGCTCCCAGTAGTGCAGTGTCTGCGGCGTCTGCTTCCCTGCGGGGTAGAGCGGGTTGCACGAGCGCCTGCGCGGCGCCCGCGGCTGCGACGAGACGGACAGTGGCCGAGAGGGCGTGCGACCCGCCTCCAGCTCCACCTCGTCGTCCTGCGTAATTTCCTCCGTGCGGAACAAACCGTACTTGGGCCGGAGAAGCTGCTCGGCCACCAACTCGTAGAACTCCATCGCCGGCCCAGGACCGATGCCCGCCTCCCCTCTGAATGCGACGTCGAGGGTGAAGGTGCAGGTAGCGAGGGCGAAGAGCTGCTCGGCACTCTGCAAGATGTGCCGCCGGTCTACCGTCAGCGTCACGCGCCGCCGTCGCAGCACTTCCTCAGAAAGCCACTCCAAACCTACCACGTCCAGTCGCCTGTCCGCATTTCCGCCTAGCCCAGACGTGGCAACGCCGCCGCCGCCTCCGTCCACAGCCGATGTCTCCTCCGGGCCGAAGTTCGGCTCTCCGGCAACGCGCCGCACCAGCAGGTTCTGATGTCCCTGCAGAATGTGCTTGCACTGCTCGAAACTGAGCGAGCGCTGCGCGGAAATAAAAAAGCGAAGAATGGAGACACGCATATCCATCGAAAACATGAACGGGTGGGCCCACAGCGCGTAGGAGGCGGTGGGGAACTTCATATTTGGCTGCGAGCTTCGCGCCTCTGCGATCGCCTCAATGCTGGACCCGGGCACAGCAGCCCCGATGCCACACGAATAGAGCAGCGGGGGGAGCATGAACATGCTCAGGTGATTGTAGAGCTGATGCACCACCGCACTGCTGAGACGGCGCTGACTGCTGTCCAGCACACTCGCCTCGTCGGCCAGTTCGCTGCGCGCGATGGCGGTGAGAACGGCGTAGAGGGTGACGGAGCCATTGACCGGGGCGATCTCAAAGAGATGCTTTGGACTGCACAGGAAGGGCGGATCCATCCCGGCGCAGCCGCAGCGGCGCGCGCTCGGCGTGCTCCACACACTTGTCAGAGTGTTGCCGGTCAGCAGCGAAGTCGGCAGCGGCTCCTCCAGCACCACAAATTTGATCTCATGCTTGCAGATCCAAAACGGCAGCGTGGGCAGTGTCGTCAAGATTTTGTTGCGGTGCACCTCGTCCGAGTCGCCGGGTTGCTGCGGCACCGTGAGGAGGTACCGCAAGCTGAAGCCGGTATCCGCATAGGAGGTGAGGCCGTCCAGCAGCGTCGTCAAGGGCGACAGCATCGGCTCGTTGTTAATGAATAGGAGAATGCGATCGGCCGAGATGGCGCGGTTGGGGTTGCTGTTTGCGTCCTCGAAAATTTCCTCGCTGGTGAGAAGCGGCGACGAGTTCATCACCGGGGGCGTCTCCGGCGGTTCGGAAAGACGGTGTCGCCCTTGAACGGCGTGCAGCGGCACCGCAGAAGAAGAACGCGGGGGGCCCCGCGGGCGCGAAGGCGACACGGACGGCAGCTGCAACTGCTTCGCCAGAGCCATCGCAAGATCACCCATTGTCGTGTAGGGCAGCACCGCAAAGCCCGCCTTGCGCAGCCTCACACCGCTCACGACGGGCAGCGCGATGCCACGCACCACCACCACCGACGGCCGCTCGCGAGTCTTGCCGTCGCCATCGCTCGTCCTGGGTCGCGGGAGGCTGAGCGCCGGCCCACAGCTCATCATCTCTAAGAAAACTGCCAGGGGCCGATAGACGAGGTGACGCACCGGGCCAAACGACTTCATCCGTCGCAAACGCTTCGAGAAGCTGCATGGCTGTTTCACCACGATGGACGACTCCAAGTTGAAGCTGGCGAAGCCCAAGTCCCGCAACACAGTCGCACCCAACTCGCTCACCAGTCGTAGAATGTTGCCACGCGCGGTGCTGTCGAGACGCAGGTGTCGGCTACTGCTCCGACCGCTCGTCGGTGATGACGAGCCGCTGTTTGGTGAACACGCAGCGTCGCCGTCAACTAAAAATGCGGAAGACAGCGCCTCGTCCTCGCGCATGCGCACCACTGTGTTAAACCACCGCAGCAGCGCATCCGCGAGACAGCGCATAAAGTGCGGTGCCTCGACCATCACCGCACGCAGCTCGATATCGCGCTCCTTGCAGTAGTCGTAGAAGGCAAGCGCCGCACGTATCGGCGGCGGTAAGCGGCGGTAGGGCCCCGTCGCCTCCACCAGCGCCTTATTCGCGACGTCGTACAGCGCATACATGTCGATGGTCTTGGGTGCCTCCGACAGCTTCACGTCGACGGGCAGATCCTCCTCCTCCGTGACGGCCTGCACCTGGCATTTGCGAGGCCTTTCCCTCTTCCTCTGCGATGGGTTGGCCGGCGGTGGCCGCGGCGACCCGCTCCGTGGCGCGTCTACTTCGTCCCTCTCACGTCGGCTGGTGTAACGATCATCAATGGTATTATTGCGGTTGTTCTCCGGGCCTGCATCGAAGTCGTTGCCGCTTCTTCCTCCTTCGTTGGTCCTCTCCGCGTCTGCACTTGGTGCGGTGACTCGACTCTCCAACGAAGTGTCAACCAGCAAAGAAGATCGCGATGCAGCACGGCCATCGACGGTGCTGGGCGGAGGCAGCAGTGGGGAGAGGTCAGCATCCGTGGACTCCTTCACTGGATGCACACGTGCATCGTAGCTGTTGTTGCTGCAGTTGTTCGGCGAGCGTGCTTCAGCGGGCGAAACGGGAGACCCTACACCAAGTTTTGCCAACGCCCTGAAAAGGGACAGCGACGCGTCAAAGAAGTTCGCGGTGCAGTGGGTGAAGGAAAAGTGGAAGGGGCACGACGTGGCGGGTGACACGCGCAGCGTGAACTCCTTCGTGCGCAGCGGCACGCCGGGAGTGCCCGCAGTCGCCTCCGACGACCCGAGCACGATGACGGTTTTGAACTCGTTGCTCTGCATCGACTGCTCAATCTGACTCGCCGTTGCACAAACCCGCGGTCCACGGAGGAGGACCTCGCGGGCGTAGTTCAGCAGCAACGTGGCTTGATGAACGGTGAAGACGCCACCACTGCCGGTGCTGCCGATGTTGCTACTCGAGATGCGTGCCAGTGGCGGCGGCGGAGGCGGCGGTGCTATCCCTTCACTGCTTGGGCCCCGTAGGGACGATCCGCAGGTGTCGCTCTTCCCTGCCAAGGCGTTGTACGTCGGCGACGGCGATAGTGACGATGGTAATGGCCGACCCGGCACGTTGCTTGCCTGCCCGCCTCCCGCACCAGTCGCGGATGTCGTCGTCGTCGTGGCTGGTGGAGCAGGGAGGCAGTGTGGCTGTCCCCTGTCAGCGCTTTCATGGCTCACAGAGGCGGTGTGACTGGGGGACTGAGGCGACCCAGAGGCGGCGTCGTCCGTGGACGTCTCCGCACCAGCACCAGCGGGAGCGGGGAACAGCTGCAACCGTCTCACACCCTCGTCAGGGAAGCGCGGCGCAAGCGGTGTGTGAGGCGAGAGTGGGGGGGCCTCGTTCTCGCGCGCGTCGCGCGTGGACTTCACAAGGGAGGTGAACGACTCCAAGGGTGGGTCCCGTGACATGCATGCAGGTGCAGTCGCTCCATTGGGGTGCGGTGGGCGGTTGCGAAAGCTGGCCTTTTTGTTCTTCGCAGACGGTTTTGTGGCTGCCGTAGGCGACGCGCTGGCTGGGTTAACCTTGGGAAAGATTCCCATGAGCAGCACCATTGCATCCGCCGAGGTTGCCAGCTGCTCCGACGGCACCGACAGTTGAAAACTGCAAAACTCCGGGGCGATCCGTATTCGCGCGAGCTCATCTGCCAACAGCAAATCATCCTTCACGGAGCCGAACACGTCCTGTCGACCGGCCACGATGTGAACGCCTTCCATCAAGTAAAGCCCGACAAAGAGATCACGCAGCGATGGCAAGAAGCACTGCAAGGCTGTCTGGGTGGCCTGCCACTCGCTGCGCAGCCAGCGCGGGGTGATGTGGCCGCTGCTGCCCATGATCCACTTTCTGAACGACGAGAAACGAACGCTGCCTTTATCCTTTCTTGGAGCTGCCCCTGCCGCCGCTGAAGGCTTCGAGGAGGTCCCCGCAGCATCCGCGGTGTCGTTCGACGGCGACACTTCGATCACCTCTCCCGTCACTTGCGTTCGCAGGTCGGCGCACAAGGAGAGACACCGCAGTAGCAGCAGCAGACTGTGCCGCGCGACCAACGGATTCACGCAGTTGTCCAGTAAACTGAGCAGCGCCGGCATCATCGTGGGCACCAGGTGCGAGAGAACGTCCTTGCCCAGGAACGCCTTGCGTGTGGCCGGGTCGCTCTGCAGCTTCTCCATCGGATCCTCCAGCGCCGCTTCCAGCGGTAGCAAGGTGATTGTAACTTGGGGGCTATTGCGCCTATGTCTGCTGATCCCGTCACCGCCACCCGCGACTCGCAGCAGTTGCGCGGGAGCTCGGTGCGGCGCCGTCGCGTCCTGAACACCGCAGCCACAGAGCGCCAAGCCGCAGCACCCGCCGCGCCGCGAGCCCTGCCAGGACCCGAAGTCGTCGTTGATCACTCTACTCGCCTCGTCGCCGTCGTCATCGTCGTCATCGTCGTCGTCGTCGTCGTCCATGTCAGCCACGTCGTCGTCGTGAAACCCGACTTGGCGAGGAGAGCGGCTGGCAGACGAGCGGGTGGTGTCCCGGGTTGGTGGGCTCCTGTGGTCACGAGACGCACTCGTGCCTTCCTCTCCAGACCACCTTCGACCTCCTATGTGCGACGCCTCCATCAGAGAGGCGGCAGTGGCGGTTGGCGCTGCGGCGCGGCTCTGCGCAGACCGCCGTCCACCACCAGTACCGTTACCACCGGGCTCGGGCGCAAAAGGGGTGCTCAGACTGATTGGGGGGTCGCCTCTCGTGCTGCGGTCAGTGGGGCGAGCATTCGCACGCAAAGAAGGCGCAGAAGACGAGTGCGCGAGGCCGCGCTGACCCTCGCGACCATTCCCTTCACCGACACCCACAGCATTCACTGAACTCGACGCGTTATCGGAGGCGTAGAGGCCACTACCGGCGCCGCCGTTGCTGCTGCTACTGCCGATGGCGGTGTCGGCGGTGCGCAGTCTCATGTTGCTGCGGTTTGCCCAGGTAGTGAAGAGCGGGTCGGGTTCTGCCGCACAGCACGTGCAGCCGTTTAAGAAGGCGTTGCGGGAGTCGTGCACGTAGCCCGCGATGAGGGGCCGGCGGTGCAGCGCGTGACGCTGCCTGCGATCACTCACGTACATTTTACTCAAAAAGTCCGCGTAGAAGACGCGCTGCTTGCCGTGCGTCATGGCGTAGCGTCCGTGGGAACGGAAGGGACGCGTCAGCTGGTAGGTCCGCTCCAATCGACGGCTGAGAGACTCGTTGCACTCCATCTCGTTGTGGAAGTCATCCTCCCAGGTCCAGCGAAAGTGCGGGCCCGTCGTGTTGCGGTAGTCGCAGTGAGAATGCCCGCGGCGCGCACAGGGCATGAGAATCAACAGAAACTCCAGCATCGGCAGCAGCTCCTGTTCATCGGAAATGAACGGTATCGTCATGACGTTGGTCGTCAGCACCGGGCCGCTCATGATGGACGCGGTGGCCGGGGGCGCTAGGGCACCCTCGTTTGGGGCCGTCGATGCACCGTCCTCGTCTTCGCTGGCCGGGTTGGACGAGGTATCGGCGTCCGCCCGGGCGGACGCGTTCGAAGTGGACGAACCCGGAGCCGAGGCAGCGGTGGCGGCGGACGCGTGAGACGCGTCGACGTTGCCTGCTCGCGTCGCCTCCGCGGCGGCGTTGTCGGTGGCGGCGTCGGCAGCCGCAGGCGGAGGAGGCCCCGCCATCCGTGCCCCCACCGGCTCCAACTGCTTGCGTTCGATCGCGGCCAGCATACAGCCGCACACCGCCTCCCACGCGTGCAGGCGCAGGAGCAGCGGGACGGCAAAGGAGGGATTGATGAGATACAACGTTGTCAAGGGCGAGAGGGCGAGCGAGCGGGCGACCCATCTGTCCTCAAAGGGGCCGATCAGCACTGACGCCCGCAGGAGCTGTACGCTGACCTCCACAAACTGTTCAATGAGGTCGACGTGGCACTCCATCGCGGCGACCGCGACAAACAGCCGATCCAGCGCGTGCACGATGCTTTCGATGTAGTGCATCAGCAGCGTTTGATCCTTGAGCGTGACGGAGCGGCGGGCGTGTGTCCCGGCTGGGGCGACGCCCAACGGCGATCCCAGCGGTGACGACTCGCTATCCACCCACGCCGCCCCTGACCGCCGCGGCGACGACGCCGCCGACTGCGCCACCGCTGCTGTCTCCGGCCGATAAGGGCTGTCCGCCATGAAGGCAGAGAGGGCCTCCAACAGGAGGGAGAGCACGGGTGCCCACACCTCCTCTAACTCCGTTTCCCGCGCCCGAGCGAGCATGTTGGACAAGATCTGCACGCACAGCAGCCGCAGGTGGTGCTGCTCGACGACAAGCAGCAGCTCCACGATGCGCCGCGGCACCTTCGCCTCGACGCACGTATCGTGTGCGATGAGGGTGAAGAAGAGAAAACACTTCAACAGCTCCTCCGTCAGTTCGTCGTTGATGACTAGGAATTCAAGGTCGCTGAGGTAGGCCGCAAGAACGGGGATTGTCTGGGGGCTTTTTACCGTGCGGAGCGCGTAGCAGCCGCGAGGTACGTCGCCCGCTATGAGCGCCAGGGCGCGTGTGGCTAGCAGTTCAACAGGTGATGCTATCTGGAGTCCTACGTATTGAATCGACGACTGGACCCTAGAGATCTTCTCTCTGCCGCGAGACACACCCGCGGCGCTGTGCGGGGGTTTGCCGGCTTTGTTGAGCGATGTCACACTCCCTTCTTCGAAGTCCCACACGAGCGGGTTCACGCCATCGCCACTGCCCGCAGGAGGGGCGTGGGCGGCAATTAAAATGTCGGTGAGCACCGGCACATAGAGAAACGAAGGAAATTCACGCACAAATTGCTCGCCTCCAATCAAGATGGACGTGCAGAGGAGGCTCAGGTGCTCCTCGAGCTGTCGACGTGCGTCCTCGCGTGTGCTGGCGGCGACACGGTTGACCGGTGCATCACGGAGAATCTTGTGGTACTCGGGGTCAGTGCAGCTGCCGTACGGAAGAAAAGCCCGCTGATATGCGGCTTTAATGTCGCTCAACAGAGGTATCGACGACATGAAGATTGTATCTTGACACCTTCTTCTATTACTTTTCTTGTCTGTTTACAGCACCATGCGTGTGTGCAGCGGACGCCTTGAATTAACCTGTGCGGCGCTGGAGAGCCTCAGAAAGGTAAGGAAAGGAAAGAAACACGTAAAAGAAGAAAAAGAAAAGGACGAAAAGTGTGGAGAAGAAAACAGAGTTCCCGCAATGACGTCGCTTCGTGAAGAAGCTTCGAAAATACAAAAAAAAATGCCACGATGCACAAACGAAAGAGCAGAAAAACAAGTTGCCAAACAACAACATTCTGTTTTTGTCTTCCTCAGTGACCGGGAAAAAAAAAGCACGAATGAGGGCAGCACGTGGTAAACCAAGAAGAAAGGAAACAACACCGCTTATTAAAGTCGACGGCCACACGTCACAACAGGAGTGAAGAAAGAATCGCTGAAAGAGTATCTGCTGCGGAGAACGAAAAAGAAGCCGACAGAGAACAACGACAACCAGAAAAAAAACAGCAATTATTATGAACGAAAACAGAAACTGCACGCCGCTGGAGCGGTTTTTTTTCCCTTTTCCGACGTTTCCTTTCGTGGAACACAAACGTCTTCTTTTATTCTCAAACAACCAAAGATGAACCCTGTACCTTTGGAGGTTATTTTGGGGGGATGCCTTTAAGGTGCTCCTGATCGTTTGAGGAGCTCCTTTCTCTGTTCCTGAATCCGAGCACTGGAACAATATAGAGAGGGGATAAAAACCGAAACGTAAAAGGTGAAGGAATCAATAGAAAGAAAAATTGGCGGTGTATTTAAAGAGAAGAAAAGGCGTACCAAGAAAATACAATAAAAAGATAGAGAGAACGATTGCGTGGTTCTATGTGGTTTACAGTCAAGGTAGTAGAAGCGCCGTACCTGCTAGGTAATGACAGCGCAGGAAGCAAATCACTTTACAGAAAGCAAAGGAAAGCGTGACGCTGTGTGGTGAGAGAAAAGAGCAGGCAGATGCGAAAGCGGAGAGAAGTACGAGGAAAAGAATGTTGTAATGGAAACAGTATAAAGGGTATGTGTTTGTTTTCATTCCATTTCATCTATTTGTTCAGCCAATCAACGGCTAAACGTGTGCAGCAGAGAAACAGTTGGAGCTCATCGTATGACAGCTTCTTTCTTTTCGCGCATCCTCACCTGTAGATTCCACCTCGAGTGAAAAAAAAAGATCATTACCAAACGAGTAATTACTACGCCCCAACAGTACCTTGTGCAGTTCACGGGAAAAGGTAGAAGTCTCGTTTTCACAAGTACGACTCGGCTAATGGCCCTGTTGACTTCTGCGAAGTGGGGCAATTTGAGGTCTGCTTGGCACTGGTCAGTCTTTTATCTTCCTCTGACAGCAGAGCCGCCTGCGCTGTTGTTGCTTTTAATAGTGTTTTTTGGGAAAGTCTCATCACACATACACACACAGCATCATCACAGATAAAAAAAAAAGGGAATCGCAGAAGGTAGTAAATACGCGTCCGCTTTCCTCATGGCAGTAGGAAACGACTCGAAGCTCAGCAGCGATAATAACAATAACGGTGACAACAACGGAACGAGAGAAAAGGCAAGACGCAGAAACGCAAGATTTTCGCCTCTTCTGTTGTTGAGTTCCATTCTCAGTTCTGTCGCTTCAACATGCGTGGTGGCGGTGGTGGTGGAGGGGGGGGGGGGGTTGACTTCTTTTTGCACGCTCCCTCGCACTGGCTAACCACGTAAACACCTCAAAGCTGCCTCCAAATAGATTCACACGCGAGAGTAGAAAAGAAGATAGAAAGGGAAAACAAATCGTGTTGTTCCTTCACCACGTTGTGAAAAAAAAAAAGGGAAGAAACACAATCATCTACGTATTCCTATCCCTCTCTCCCCTCTCCCGTTTACTTCCACATCTTCTTCAACGAAACGTTCTTATCCTGATCCTTGTGCATCACCTTCGCCACGGCCAGCACAAAGTCCTCGTGCGTGATGTGCACACGGCGCTCACGCAGCGCAAACATGCCCGCCTCCGTGCACACCGCCTTCAACTCCGCACCGGAGCAGCCCGACGTCTTTTTCGCTATGTCCTTCAGATCGATGCCGCGGGTCAAATTCATCTTGCGCGAGTGAATCTTCAGAATTTCAAAGCGGGCGGCCTCGTCCGGCGCAGGGAACTCGATCTTGCGGTCAATGCGGCCGGGGCGCAGCAGCGCCTCATCGAGAATGTCCATGCGGTTTGTCGCCATGATCACCTTGATGTCCTTGGAGGCCTCGAAGCCGTCCAGCTGGTTCAGCAACTCCAACATCGTGCGCTGCACCTCACTGTCGCCGTTCTCGCCCGACTCCAGGCGAGAGGAGCCGATGGAATCGATCTCGTCCATGAAGATGATGGAGGGGCTATGCTCGCGCGCCATCACAAAGAGTTCACGCACCATGCGGGCACCCTCGCCGATGTACTTCTGCACCAGCTCCGCGCCGCTGACACGGATGAAGGTGCAATCCGTATGGTGCGCGACGGCGCGGGCCAGGAGCGTCTTGCCGGTGCCAGGCGGGCCGTAGAGCAGCACCCCTTTCGGCTGCTCAATCCCGAGGGCCTCAAACAGCTTGGGGTGCTTCACGGGGAGCTCAATCACCTCCTTGATCTCCTTCACCTGGCGGGACAGGCCGCCGATCTCGTCGTACGTCGACTCCTTGCCCGCCTTCTCGACCTTCATGAGCGAGACAAGAGGATCGACCTTGGTGGGCAGGACGTAGTGAATGGCCGACGTGCCACTGCGCAGCGCGACACGTGCGTTGGGCGTCAAGTCATTCACATCCACCGTCTTGTCCACGTCCACCACCATCTTCCCCTGACCCGAGCCGGCCTTCACGAGCACCTTGTTCTTGCCCATCACCTTCACCACGTCCACCACCAGCGAGCCGGACTCCTGCAGCATCTGCACCTCCTCCTTGAGGTGACGGACGCGGCGGTTCAAGTCATTCCGCTGTGCCTCGAGGCGCTGGAAGTTGTCTAGGGTACGCTTCTGCGTCGCGCGCAGCTCATGGATCTTCTGCAAAAAGTAATCGGAGACGGCCGTGTTATTCGTCGGCGACGGCGCCGCTGCAGCAACGTCGGCGGGCATTTTCTGTCGTTGCCGCTGTTATTTATGCGGGATAGTTCTAGCGGAAAGTAAGTCACGGGTGGACTTCACAGAGGAGCGTGAGCTGATGGAGAGACGCAAATATGAATGATGTATCGGAAGGAAGGTCACTTCACGCGAAACACATGAAAATAATAGTAACTAGAAAAAAAAAGACGTTGAGCGCGATTGCTTTGCGACGCCGCAGAAAAGAGAACGCGTTGCCGAAGAGAAAAACAGAAATGGTAGAAAGGTATTCATTGAGAGCAAGGATGGCAGATACTTGTGTCTCGTCTTTCGCAGAGAAAGGGAGTAGTCCGACGTTGGCGCCTCGGCCTCTATGCTATTGTGAGCGGCATTCGTCGCGCATCTCCCAAATGCGGCAGTTGACCATTTCCTTCCTTTTCTGGTGTTTGAGAGGAAGAACGCGAAGGTTGGATCACTTGAACATCAAAGACCGCGTGAGTGATGTACCTTGAATCAAAACACGAATCTCGTCCTTTCCTCATTAGTGTCCCACATTGCAGTGTCGCATCTAGAGTTAGGATTGGTGTGTTTAACACTTCATTTTTTGTTGTTGTTCAACGAATTCGACCACGTCAAGTTGGCATCTAAGTTTTTTTTTTGGGGGGGAATATATATCTAGCAAGAGAGGTAAATGAATATCATCAACGGTATCTTTTCTTTTGGTGGCGCGAAAAGAAAACAAAACGAGAAATACAGAGAACACACCAGTATATAATTTGTGTTGTTTCTGAAACAGAGACGCATCAGAAGATGTCACGTATGGCACATTTTTGTGTTGTCTTTTCTTTGAGGAGATGGACCCCTCCCCCGACAGCTTTCACTTCCTACTCGACACATCAAACCAACCTTTCACCGGAGGAAAAAACAAAGTATTTTTACCTGTAGAGATGGGCGCCAGTCAACTACGATGAAGCGAAGCAGCGAGAAGGTGAGAGAGTCAGCTTTTTCCGGTGAAAAACGAGAAGAGAAAAAAGAAAAGGAAAAGACCGACATGGAGTGCGACAAAAGGAGGATTGGTTTCCATCTCAATAGCACCAGAAAAAAAAAACACTGCATGGGATCTAGATAGTGGGAATGTGAAACACGGTGAAATGGCATCAGGAAAACACACAAAAAAAAGCCTGTGTCAGGCAATCACTCTAACGTCTTTGCATCCGACAGGCCTAAAGAGAAGCGCACGCGGCGATCAAGGAATCTGCGGTCAGCTGCTGTGCGCGGTAAAGCATGCACACACACACACACAATTATTGAATAAAAAAGAATAACAGAAGGATACTCTAGGAATAACAAAAGAAAAAACAGATGACAACTGCTCAAGACATGAACACGACATTCAAGGGAAAAAAAAGGGAAAGGGTTAATGCTTCATATTTGGATAGCGCCGCGTTACGTTGGTTGGCAACGGCGAAAGCACCTGGGAGCAGGCAGCGGGAGCATTATTCCCCGCATCAGGGCAGCCTTCGCGCTGGCTCAGCGAAGAGTAGCTGAGTATGCCCATCATCCCCGTCGAGCAGCTTTGTGAGGCTGGCGTGACGTAAGTGATGCTGCTGAGCTGGCTCCAATTCGTAGCGTCGCCGTGCACCAGCAGAGGCTGTGGCGGCGGACCGACCTCCTGCGAACCGGCGTTCAGCTGAAGTGCGCGGAAGGACGCAGAGGAGCACACAGATGCTGCCGCGCCGGCCCGCATCGGAGCCGGAATGAGATCCTCTGCGTTGCCCTCGCCCGGAAGGAGGCGCTGCTGTCGCTGATAGCGTTGCTCCTCTCGCTTCTGCCGCTTCCAGCCGTCCTGTGACACAGACCTTTTCACGGCATCAGCATCACTACAACCTGCGTCATCAACGAAGTTCGTTGTGCCGGTTGGACGCGCCGTGCTGTTGACAGGGGTGCATGGTGCACTCGCCCCCGTGTCGGATGATTCCATCTCCTCCAGACAACGCTTGCGGGACCGCAGCAGTTGCAGCCCACTCAGCGACGCAACACGACCACCGCTGCTCCATCGATTGGCGGCGGCATGGCCACAGTGGGCGGCGTGGGCTCCTCTGCCCCGACCTGCACTGAGTGGGCGAAAGGCCGAGCCCCATCTACCGCAGTTGGCCGTCGCGATGCTCTCACCTGCGGCGGCATTGGTCGCGCTTCTAGTCGGAGCATTCGAAGAGCCGGGACTGGTGCTGCTGCCCTCGAGGACGTCCTCGTCCTCCTCCTCTTCCTCAAAAGCCAAACGTTTTTGCGTAGGCGAAGCCTGAATAGAGAGCCGGGCCAGCTGGGCCACCACGGCATCCGCTGCGGCAGCAGCCGTGTCAGCGGTATTTGAGCCCGTGACCGCTGGTTGTACACGTGACACAAATGGCCGTCCTTGAGGGGTCATATCTCCTCTCGTTTTCCTTTCCACAGCGACAGATTCGTCTTCATAAAGCCAGTCACGCTGCTGCTTAGCGTTGGAGGAGAATGGCACTGCTTCGGTTGAGATTGCTAGGGTCACCCCCGGCCGATAATGCGGCTTCGTCAGGACGGTGTCGCCGGCTGGAACGCACCCACAATCTTCTTTTCCGCCACATGCCGTGTTCTCGCTGTGGGCGGGAGCACCAGCGTTTACGTCCCTCTCTGCGTCTCCACGTGTCGGACTGTTTACAGTAGAGCGCACGTAGCTCTTGCGCGGCGCATCTTCTAAGCCCGTGAGAGATGCGTTTTTCACGGCGGATGGGAGGCAATTCGGCTGGGTGTCCTCGTTGTGTGCCTTCGCGCGCTCCGCGTTTGTCGCCTCCTCGCTCCACAACACCGCGTGATCTGACTGCCCGCATGCGTCGACGTGCGAGGCGGAGCAGACCCACATCGGGTGCTGACACCTTGTCGTAGGAGACGGCGAAAACCCTTGTTGTCCACTGAGACCTCCGGTGCTGGGATGCTGAAGCGCCGGCACGGCCACGGTCTCCTCCTCATCCTGTAGGCTAGCAGTCGCAAACGCACAATGCTGGGTGACCACGGCAGGGCCGCTGAGCTCCGTGGAGCTGCGCCACACCTGCGTCACACCGCCCATCCACAGTTCGTTGTCGCCGTCATCGCACCACTGCTGATAGACACCGCCGAGGTCCGCATCCGGATAACGCAGCGTCGTCGGGCGGCCGATACCGGCATTCACGCCGGGACTGCGGCCTTCACCGCTACTTCCACCAGAGAAGCGCGAGAGATGCGGCCTCGAGGCCTCCATGTGCGCTCTGGCAGGAAGGGGATGCGTGCTTGGGGTGTTGTGGTGGTCCACATACGAGTCAGAATATCGGCTGCGTGCTTTGCCTCCGTGCGGAGTGAAATTATTGGCCGCCGAGTGCTCCCTGCTTCTGCGAAACGGAGAGGTCGATGTGGGCATCAGTATGGTCGGTCGGACAACCGTGAAGGCAGCGGCAGCAGCAGAAATAGGCGCAGACGGTCGTGCTCCCAGTGGGTCTTGCAAACCGCTACCGTTCAAGCCGACACCGCCCAGCAGAGTGGTGTGGCGGCCACCTGAGCCACCAGCGCTACCGCCCACCACATTGAATTCCACTGAATAGCGAGCAGGCGCCACAGATCGATTTGCAATCGGGAACGACGCAGATCGAGCACCGTACCGCTCCGTATTGCCGTCACCAGACGGAGCAAAAGAAGTGGGCGAGGGCTGAAAGAAGGCTTCGCCGCCGTGGGGGTGCAAGGGAGGCGCACCGACAGACCCAAAAAGACCGTCGTCCCGCCTGTGAAGCTGCAGCCAGCTGTGGCGAGATACGGTGGGTGGTGTGTGTGGACCGTCGGTGTTATTGTGCTGGCCGCAGTCGGCGAGTGCATTCACCCTATACCCGGGGGGCCCATCCCCGTCATATTCATCCTCTGCGTGTTCTAACGTGGATACCCGTCCGATTCCGCTGTCGTGCGCCGCTACGCGTGCTGGATCTGTCGTGCTGGGGTAGCAGCCTAACGTGTGCGAGTTGAATCGCTGCGGCTCTGGGGTCCGTGCCTCTGGAAGGTATCTCAGATCCTCTGCGGTGTCCATTAAGTTCAAGAAAGAAGGGTGCAATATATATGTAGAAGAAACTCTAACTAGCAACGAAACGAAGGTAAACTGAAGTGATGTACAATGTGAATCTACGTTGAAAACAGAACAGAAAAAAGGGACAAGAAAAGTAGAAACCGCTGAAACCTACAGAGAGCTTTTGCATCGGTCCGTATAAGGTGTACGTGAGCGTGCGCACGGGAGTGTGTGTGTGTGTGTGTGTGACTTTCTTTCTTATTCGCTAATGCTGAGACAGTGCTGAGCGCAGTGGCATCCCTTCTTTGTTACTATTACGATCTTTTTTTTCTTTTTGAGGGTGTGTGTTTCTATTGCCGATAAGATGAGAGCGTTTCACCTGACAAGTGAAAACTTGATGTACGCATGGAGAGAGGCAATCTCCAGAAAACTCTGCCGCAAGCTCGCACCGAGAGTAGCACGTTTCAGCTCTACGATTGTCAACGACAAACGAGGCAGCACGCCACGGAGCACACACAGCGTTGCGAGCAGCAGTCAAAAGAGAAAAGACATGAAAAGATCAGAGAGGAGGAAAAAAAAGTGCGCTACAGAAAAAAAAAGGTAGAGCATAGTCATCCGTGGAGGTGCAGAGTCCACGAACGACGGCATACGCTGAAGAATACTAATAATGATACTAGTAGCTCCACTCTTACCCTCGTACCATTTTTTCAGCGGTCGCTGCATGTCTGGTCACGACAGCTTCTCAGCAATTGGAGTGATGTCGCTAAGAGAAGCAAAACAAACCAAAAGAAATGCACGCGCACACCGTCAGAGGGAGAAGTTAATTCCCCTCTCACTCATCCAGTCAACTACAGTTATTCCATCCACTAGCTCCTCAGCGTGGGTAGGAACACAAAGAGAGACAAGTCGGCAAAACCCGCAGAGCAAATTTGTGTAAGGGAACGTCTCACCTGCTGAAGCGCAACAGCCATCTCCGTTGGACCCTTCCTTTTTTATTATTATTTCTTTTTGTTAATGGTGCAACGATGGAGAGACACGAATGACGTGAACGAGACAGGTAGAGAGAAGAGAAGAAGGGGGAATAGGCACCAAATTGGCCGCAAACGAGGGAGGAAACAAAAAGGAGTTGTATGGGGGCAGTGCGCCGCAACAGTACAAACGCTGCACACTGGGGAGAGTGGGAAAGATATATATATATATATACGGCAGGCAACCATCAAATATATTCTCTACAAATAAGGAACAACAGAAACAAAAGAATCTTGCAACGTGGCACGAACCAGAAAAAAACAAAATAGGAAGCGCCGCCGTGGCAAATGAACGGCAGATCGAACTCCTCACTGTTACAGTTCGTCTCTGCCCTTCAACGCCACTTCAGCCTCACAACACCGGCAGTTTGAGAAAGCGCGGTGAGTCAATCTATCAGTCTAAAACCAACCTGAAAGGAGATCTTACAGCATAACGGTGTGTAGGACGCAGAATACAAGAAGAAAACGAGAAGAAAATAGAGATGTGTCTAGGCGACAAACAGCGCCGGAGCCGTGACGTCGAAGAGTAGTCGGCGGCGGAACGCATTTGGGTTCGTCGTGCCGTCGCCACGGGCACTTGCCGGTGGCGTCGCACCGCGAGACTTCCGCCCTTTCCGCGACGACGCGCGCGACGCAGCGCCGCTCTTCCTCCCGCTCCGCGCAGAGCGCGCCGCCCTCGAGCTGGTGCGAGGTGTCCGCGGCGGAGTGCCGAAACCGGGCTCAAACGTGCTGTCCCACTCCGGCTTCTCCTCCAGCACCGCCGGCTCCACGGGGCGCGGCTGCGAGCGGGCGCTACCACGGTTTCTGCTGGTCGAGCGCATGCGTGGGGCTGCCTTTGCCGACGACTGCTGCTGCTGCTCACGCGGCGGCGGCGGCACGCGTGCGGGAGGCGCACCGGCGCTACGCGCCTTCTGCCTCTCCCGCCACTCCTGCAGCAGGCGGAGCGTCTCCGCCTTGCGCCGTTTCTTCTCCTCCTCCGACGGTTCGACGTACTTCAAGCGATCGGGAATGGACTGCGCCGCCTGCGGCAGAAAAGGCGCCGACGCTGTCGAGGTGGACGGGGTGTACGCACGCGCCACGCGAGGGGAGTAACGGGGGTTGTTCATCCTCTCTAGCGCCTCCGCGTATTTAATGTGCGGCGCCTCCAGCGCGACGCGCGGCACGCCACCACGCAGGTAGTCGGCAGCGCTGTCTCGCGGCTGCGGGGAGTCCTGCCGAGTCGAGCGCGGCGTCGGTGCCCTGTCCTCGTCCTCTTGTTGCTGCGACGTGCTCCTGTACTCGACGGGGTCGCGGGCCGGCGGCACGTGTGAAGCGGAGTGACTGCGCACATTCCTGTACTGCGCCTCCAGGGCACTAATGTTGTTGTTGCGGTAGTCGCGAACCACGGACGTGACGTGGCCGTAAGGGTCGTGGTGTTTCGACGGGGAACGCAGCGGCGACTGACCCGCGTTGCGGCCAGGGCGGATCGGCTCGCGGGAGCTTCCGAGGGAGGCGCGAGAGCCGCCAGCATAAGGGGCGTGCCGCGAAGGCTGCTGCTGCGGGGAGCGGGGGGTGCCCGAATTGCCACGACGCTGGCGGGGCTCGCTCAGCTGCAGGGGTTCACCGATGCCGCTGCCCGCCGCAATCGCCGCAGGGGCGCGCCGTCTACTGCCGTTGCCGGCGACGGGGCGCGGCGCCGCCAGCGAGCCCCTCTCCTGCTTGCGGGCAGAAAGCTGGCGCACCACGCCGTCCTGCAGCGGCACACCCGCCTCGGCGAGCTCTGCGTTCGTGGGCACGGCAGCGACGATGGCGCCTTCACTGCGCGGGGTGCCCTGACGCGTCGATGATCGGCTGGAGGCGCCGTTGCGGTTTGTCATGAACTTTGGGTGGATGTTGAGCGCCGGGACCTCCACGCCGCTGTTGTCCGTCGGTCTCGAACTTTTGTTGTCTGAGCCACTCATTTTCAGTTGCTTCTCTGCTGCGAAGATTGTGGAGTGTGCAATCTACGCCAGATTCTAAAAAAAAAAGTGTTGTGCGCTTTTTCGTGTCGAACGAAATAGCAGCGTTCCTCTTTACCAAGGCAGGCAGAGTTGTGCGAAGTCTCAGCGAAACTTGGCACTGTCCGCGTGGCGTTGTCTACTGCTCGTTTACGTATAATGACAGTAAAGGAAACGTTAATGAATATCAAGCTGTGTTCTACGTAGCCAAAAACTCTGGCTAGCCGAGTAAGAGGTGGAGAGAGGCAGGAAGCTACTCACCGTCAAGCAGAGGTTCCGCAGCGGTGATGAACGCGTCATTTAAGAAAACAAGAATAGAAAAGAAAAAGGAACGAGACGTGGAAAGGGAAGACTGAAACGCAAGGTAAAGCGCAGACAACAAGAGCGGTCCAATAATGCGTGTCAGTGTAGCTTCAATGCCGGGTGAACAGCACCTCGCACGAAGAAACAACGAATCCGCACGATACCAAATCACACGTTATTAGGTAACACTGCAGAAGCGTTGAACAGCGTCGTTTCTTCTTTCTGCATGGACCGCCTTGCACTTCAGCGACTACCCGTTCCATCCGGTGGCTAACGTTAAACGACGCAGCATAGTATTTGTGGACACGTCAAATAATAACAAAGAAGGACATAAGTGAGAAAAGAGAGTCTCACAGACAAGGGAGAGGGGGGAATCAATGAAACGAAACCTTCTAAGGGAGAGAAACAAAAAGGTACAGAACCCCCTTGACAGCCAGCGAAAAAGATAAGAAAAGGGGGGCATCCCCAAGCACCTTCTTGTACCCATCTTTCTCTCTCTATGTATGTATGTATGTATATATATACCACGCACCGTTCCCACTGCAACGGCCTCCGAGCAAACAAACATATAAAACAAAATGGTCGTTGCGAACGGTCAAGAGGGGGAAAAAGATTGACATGAAAGTGGGCAAAGTAAAAAAAAGGGGAAAAGAAACCAACTTTTGGGTGGTAAAATGTTGAAAGTAAAACGCAGGTCCTTTCCAGACGCATCATCTACAAAAACTGAGAAGAGTGAATAAATGTGAAAAACAAACGATTTCATCGCACCATCAACGTTCTGCTTCCTTCTTTTTCTTTTGAAGACCACTCCATTACAATTGAGGAAAAGCACCTACGAAGCGTATTCTAGACAGCAAACTTTCTCTACTAGATAAAAAAAAAGAAAAGGAAACACGTGCTTGCATATACGAAAATCTAATGCGTATTCCGGCACCAGAGACGTCGATACTGCTCATGACAGGGAGAAGAAAAGCCCAGGCACGGCCAAACAACAACGAAAGAAGATTGAAGCACGATGCGCACAGGCAAAGCCGACCTTTACCGAAACACACACACACACACACACAACAGTTTCATTTACACAGAAGAACAAAAAAAAGAGGGGAAAGGAGTCACAGGGCAGAGAAAGACTCGAAGATAACGATGAATGCGATACCAGGAAAAAAAAAAGCGGAAACAACGAAGAAGAAACAAACAAAAAAGAAAAGAAAAAGAAGTCGTTGATGAGATCCAGCAATCGTACAAGGCACCGATAGGTGCACCAAGCAACACCCGGTACGCAGCGGGATGAAAACAGTACGTCACCAACAACAACGCACGAGCGCAAGGGCGCCTCAATGCACCAGAAATGAAAAGCAACATCATGGCGAAAAAAACTCAGCAGCGGGTGAAAGGGAAAACGAAAGAACCCCACCCTGCGCAGGAAGACATACATCTCCTGTGCATCCTTTAACATCCACTCGCGGTTGTCGCAGCCGTCGACCTCGCAATGAAGAACGGAAAAGAAAAAAGGAAACGTTCAGTGCTGTTCTATCGAGCGAACAAATAGAATGGTAAAACTAAACATGTTGAGAAGGCAAATACTGCTACAAGTAAACAAAAAGAGAAAGAAAAGACCTGAAATAGGGAGGAGAAAAGACGATGAAGCACCACCACAAGAAAATACAACCAAAAGCATGATGGCTAAATTCAAAAGCTGTACGTCGCCTCCGCTGCTGCTTTTGACGAATTCTTGGAGCGGCGACGCGCACTCTCCTTGCGACGGCTCGGAGACGCCTCCGTTGACGGGCTCGTCCTGGGCGAAAACAGAGCCCTCTCCGATGCCGCGAGACTGTCACCGCGGCTCGAGGACGCAATGGCGGCCACTCGTTCTTTGCGAAGCGACTCGTCACGCTGCCGCGCACGCTCCCATTCCTCGGGATCGAACGGCAGCGGCGGCTCGGGGCCGAAGTTGGCTGTCTCCGGTCCATGCCGTTTGAGCAACGCCTGCATCCAGTCGAACAACGACACCGGCCAGCTCCCCGTCGCCACATCGCGCTCGTACAGGTTGTAGTGGAAGGAGACGAGATCGGGCGCGTTGTGCGTGCGCAAGTACGCCCCGATGCGGCGCTCGTAGTAGTGCACGTATTTGGGGACAATGTTCGACATCACATGCCGGCTGCCCAGCCGCAGCGACTCCGCGATGTGCTCAAAAGCGGGCAGGGCGATGCGCAGCGTGACGTGGCCGACGACACAGCGCTGATTTACGTCGGGCGAGTGGCGGGCGCGGTACGACAGCGAAGCAGGCATGTTCGGGGCAACAATCGGCACCCGTATCGTATCACCCAGCTTGTACAGCGGCGTGGTGAGCAGCGCGCGAAGCGAGAGACGCACCAGCCCGATTTCCCCACAGTAGGGGGCGGCGTGACTCACACCCGTGGCAGTTCCCGGCGCGGGCGACGGCGACGCAGTGCGGCTGCGATGGCTGCTGTTGTTGTACACCTCTGACTGAGTACGGTGGTCCTGCCGGCGGGGGCTCTGACGACGCGAATTCGACTGCGTAGAGGACTCGACGTAGCTGCGGAGGTTGTTCGCACCGCCCAAGTAGTGTTTCTCCGACTCCGCCTCTGTGGTATCGGGTGGATGGGAACGCTGCTGTTGAGTAGTCTGTGCGTTATGGTAGTAGGCCGCATCGTTAAAAGCACTATTGGCGCGCCACGTCCGCTTCGGCGCGGCACGCACCGACGCCTCACCAGCATCACCGCCATTGTGGGCCGCTGACGTGGAGCTGCTGTGGTTCTGCGACTGTTCGTGCTGCTGCTGTGTAATGAGCATCGTGGATGGCTGTCCCGCCCGCTCCTCGTCTGGCTGCTTGATGCCCCAGTGATGACTATGGCGCTTCGGCGACTTGAGGTAGCTGTTGATGTTGTTCTCGCCGCCCGCGTAGCGCGACTCCGTCGTCGCCTCAGAGGCGTCCCCGGCACCGCCGTACACAAATGCCTGACCGCTGCGCGCTACGGCAGCATCAGACGAACCAAAACCACCACCACAACCAGCGGTAGCGGAGGTGTTGCGAGGCTTCCCCCCAATGAGGCGCAGCTCCAGCGCCGGAACACCCGTGCTTTCTCGCGCCGATTCCTCTCTGCGGCCGCCGCCGCGGCGGCTGACGACGCTGTCCGGAATGTCCAGTCGAATCTGCGAGTAACGCGGACCGGAGCGAGCCGCACCGCTGGCGAGGTCGGCCCCACCCTTGCGAGACAGCCCACGCTCGTTGCCGAACGACGCCTCCACCGCCACGCCGCCCTGGCTCTCCTGCCGCTGCCCTTCGGGACTCGTCAGCTCGACAGATTGAATTTGGACGTACACGGTGCCCGCGATCGGTACCGGGCTGAGCTGTGCGCGCAGCTCAGCGTGGGCGTCCTTCAGCGAGGAGCACTGCGCGATCATGGGCTGCACCCTCGACAGCTCACTCGGCCGCATCTTGGCCACCAGCGACGTCACGTCCGCCGTCACCACCGTCTGCGCTGGCACGCTCTTCGCGCCAGACTCGTCCTCAATGACGTACTCCGTCACCGTCGTGTTGGGGAAGGCCATGGACTGCAGCTCCACGCCAAGAAAGCCGACGGGCGATGCCCCGCCATGCGGCGCCGCGGCTGCTGCGTCGTCGCGCTGCCGTTGCTGCGAAGGTTGCGAAGACCCGTTCGCACCGGTTGGCGGGGAGTTCTTCGTCTCCTTCAACCTCTTCTCCGAATTGCCGGCAGTGCAGGACGCGGACTTTTTCGCAGAGGATCTCGAGTGGTCTGAGGAGCGGAGGAAAGGCAGCCACAGCACGTTCTTCTCACCTCGAATGAGCGTCGACAAGGCAATCTCCGCCTCGCCCAGCACCACCCCCTTCAGCACAGAGCGATGCCGCGCCACCTTGAAGGTCATCACCGACTGCGCCGCATTGCCGAGGCGAAGCGTGCGTTCGTTGTTGTCGTCGATGTTCAAAGTGACCTCCTTCCCTCCCTTCAGATCTCTGGTGCGCAAGATAGGCTCCTTGTTCAGATACACTTTCACGTAGAAGTTCGTAGCCGGCTTGAAGTCTCGTACGCCAACGATTTTCACCGTCATCGGCGCCACGGCTACGTCGGTGCCGTGCTGCTTCGCCTCGTCCTTCACCACGCGCTCCGCCTCGTCCGGCGTGGCGGTGTCCAGTATAAACGGCACACGATGCAGCTTCTCGGGAGAGCTGCGCTGCGTGATGCCCTCCAGACGCTGCATGTGCGTGCTGCTCGCGGAGTAGATCTTCGTCATGGCCGCCTTCGCATTTGCGCCGGAGTTGCCAAAGTCCTCGGCCATCAATTCCACAGCCACCTCGCCCTGCACGTGAGCCGTGCGCTTCAGTGCGTCCGCCACGAGGTGCAGCGTCCGCGGCACACGCTGGCCGCGTGGGAGGTTGCCCACGCCGAAGGTGACGCGGCTGATCTCCTTCTCGCCGTCGTCGCTGTCCGCAACGAGCATCACCTCGACCGCGTCACTCGCCGGGTCGTAGACGTGCACGTGAAGCGGGTTCTTGAAGGCGACGCAGCCGTTGCGTGACACCGCCAGCTCCGTCCGCTGCGTCTCAGGCCCTACACACACGCGCACGTAGCACCGCGGCACCATGCCGTTGTTTTCGGCGCCGATGTTGGTCGCCTCCCGCACGTTGATCAACAGCAGCTTCGGCGTGCGCTCGGGTCCGATGGTGTGGGTCCACTCTTTCATGTACACGTCCTCGTTGTCGATGCTGCCGACGATGGCGTCGAGGCGGTGCAGGTCGTCGCGCAGGTAGCACCAGAGGTAGTTGCGCACGCGGTTCCGCAGCTTCGCCTCCTGTGCGGCTGTCATGGGGTGCGGGCTGTTGTACTCCTCCGTCAAGAGCGTCAAGACAACCTGGCCGCCGTTCGACGCGTCACCGGTCTCCGCGGCGCGCACGAGCATCAACGTCACCTCCTTTGCCACACTGGCCTGAACGTTTGTTAGGCCCACCACAGCCTCGCCGAGTTTGTGGCCGTTGCCGAAGACCGTCACGTTCATCGTGTCCGTCTCCGGGTCCACCAGCATCATGTGGAAGTCCTGGTTGAAGGTGGCGCGGTGGCGATAGGCGGCCATCCTCGACTGCTGCTCCGTGAGTCCATCATCGACGACCACGTACACGTCGCAGGCGCCCACCGGCCGCCCCGCATCGTCCATCAACCCCTCTACACGCCGCAGCATCATCTTCACCGGCACGGGCTCCATCGTGCGGGCACGGTACAACGCCTCCAGCTGCTTCCAACCCTCCGGCCCTTTATCCACGTAGGCGGCGGTCAGCCAGTCCAGCCGGTGCAGCTCTTTTGGAGCGTAGCGCAGCAAGGTGGTGTGCACCGCCGTCGAACAGGCCATCTCTTCCTCCTCGGGAGCCACCTCGTCGTAGCCGTAGTCCTCCGAGAAGATGCTCACACGAACCTCACCCTGCTCGTGAGCCTGCTCCGTGCCCGGGTGACGCACTAGCGGCACCCACACCATCCGCTCCACCTGCCACGCCAACTTATGCAGCGACAGCACGCACTCCGCCACCTTCTTGTCACGACGCTGCGACGGGGTCGCGACGGCGACCAGCGTACACACCAGTGCATCGTGCTCCGGGTCGGCCGAGGTGAAGATGAACTCGTCGTTGAAGACCGGGTCGTAAACCCCACCGCCCGCCGATACGCCAGTGTGACCGCGCTTCTCGGCGGTGTGGATGGCGAAGTAGACAGCCGGCGCCGCCCGGTGCGTGTCGCGCAGGTCGTCGAATGCATTCCGGCATTCGTGGACGCGGACACGAAAATGAAACGGGCCTGTCTGTGACGACGTTTCACTCACATCTACGGGGACGTCGATGTTGGTGCTCTCGTCGCCAAGGAGTGATCCGGACATCGGGCGATGGTGGCGGAGCGGCTCGCGCACGTTGTCACCACCCGCCCCTGCCCCTGTGCCCGCCGCTCTCTTTCCGTGGTGTCCGCGCTGCGGGGGCGCATTCGCGTTGTAGCCGTTGCCGTCGTCGTAGACGTACCGTCCATCGTCGCGGCGGCGCCGGATAGGTGTTTGGTAGTCGTCTAAGGTAGTGACGTCCGCCGGGGACTCCACCAGGCCGGTGGCACGTTTGGATCGCCGCACCCCGCTGCCGCCGACGTCGTTGTTGTTGCGCCGCCGTGAAGACGAGCTCGCCAGCTGAGTGCTAGGTAAAGCGCTGGTCGTGTGGCCACGGGGAGTCTGGCTGCGGTGGGGAGCGCCCCTGCCGCGCGCTGAGTTGGCCCCACTTGCTGCACTTGGGGTGCTTGGGTTGCGGCGGGAGGCGTGGTCATTCTCGAGGTAGGCCAGCCGCGGGTAGTCGTCGCTGTCGTCGGTGTCTTGCTCGTGCTGGTACGGCGCGCGCGAGCGGGGTGCGCCCCGTCGTTGTGTCGTCTTTCCTGGCCTTTTGACAACTTCGTCGAAAGGTTGGCTGTCCTCTTCGCCCCTGCGGTAGGTTGCGTGTCGGGAGCGGTGGGCCGCGGCACGATGATGCCGCCGTGAAGCACCGTGGCGGTTGTCGTGGCGCGGCATCTTCTGACGCTTCGGTTCCCTTGGAGACGGATTTGTTCACCAAGCACGAGCACAGAAAAAACGACGACCCAGGAAAAACAAAGGTACTTCTTCCCCTTTTCAAAGAAATCACTAGGTAGTTGCACTAAACGCCGGAGAAACCCGAAAAGAGATGCGCAGAAAAATATCCTCTACAGGAAAAAACTATGAAGCTTCGCAACGCGTAAAGGGTTGAGAGCGATACCTAATTGAGTAGATTTTTTTGTCCCTGTTGATCGGATGTTGAGGTTTGGCTGCCGTTACTGTTTCTCTGTCTTTGGAAAACAAATTAAAAACAAAAGCACGCTTGTGTGGCACCGTTGATACTGTGTGCTTTGGTTTTCTGTATTTGCTGTTACACGGAAGTTGCGGCTTTGATTGGGCAGACGTCCTCGGTGCAAAGGGAAAGAAGGGAAGTCGTACGTGAGAATGGCAGATGGGGAAAAAAACAATCATCAATCCAGATAACAACGCGTGTACTTTTTGCTAATGATATCAATATTATCAGTAGATATTCATTTAGCGGTAAAGGAAGAGCGACAACCGAAACGTACGCGTGGCTCTGGTGAATGACTGTCTTGGAGTGATTGGAGCAGTAGTTCACTACCTGTCACTTGTGAAATGTTTTGTTTTTTAACTTTTAGAGCAACGCAGCTTCAATAAAACTCATTGTACTGTTTCTCAAAATGACCACCAAAACATCGAAAGCGGAGGACAGCGGTGTATGCAAAAGTCGCTTTCCCACGTGCTGTGTAGCAGTTCACGTTGCTCTTATTGTGTTTCTATTTTTTTTCTTGTTTGGTGTTGTTGTCGTTCATCGTGTAGATGGGATTGTAGGACCTTGCTTCCCTTAGTGAGCAGAGCTACAGCTGGTGCAGCGAAATAATAATAGTAGCAATGTCTTCTGTTTAAAAAAAAAAAATAGGCGCCGGGTTGATGAACACGCTTCAGGAAGATTCACGTCTCTTCCGACAAAAAAAATGTTAACCGCAATGAGCGTGTATCTTAAAGATGGAACGTGTTAGACTGATGCACAGCGCAGTTATAATGGGAAAGACACGTTCTTCGTTTTACGAACGAGAGGGACCAAACGAAAGCAGGGGCACGCCAGACAGGTAAAGTACATAGCCGAAAGACAAAGAAGGAAAAGTCACTGCGCTTTACTGAAGAGCAGTGTACAGTTGAAAAAAAAAAAGAGATATCGTTTGTTTTGGGATGCTTTCTTTTCCCTTTTCTTTTTAAGACCTGAATTGTCTAGCTAAAGAGCAACGCGCCCTTTTTTTGGAAGCGTTTAGAGTTCGCAGCATTTCGCCCCGCCGGCACTTCTCCCGTGGCACATTTAAATACAACGCGAAAGAGAAGGAATAATAATAAAACAGATGAAAGCATTGAAAGGCAATAATTATTCTACAAGGCAAGGAACGGCTGTACAGGAGGCAAAACGAGGACAAACTACTGTATTAAAAACAGGGAAAAAAGGCTCAATGCGCAACACTGCTGATACAACAGAGGAATATATGTTGAAACCAAAAAAAAAAGAACCTCTTTAAACGACAAGACAACTCGCACGACCAGCCCCCCCCCCCATTTACCCTTTTGTTTTTAGCGACCTTTCTTATTCTAGGAGTCGGCTTGCTGTAGTTGCAGTGAGCTCCTTCGGTCTTGATGCCTCATTTGCGGTGTCCTCTGCATCCGCTGGCGGCTCCTCTGCTGCGTTCATACCACGAGAAATCGGTGGCGGCGGCTCGCACTCGTCCACCTCAGGTCCCCAGCGGGCCACCATGTCAGCCAAGTACGCCGGCAGCCCGCTCTCCCACCCGCGGTTGGAGACGTAGGTTTCGTACATGCGCGCGTGGATGTCCACGAGCGAGTTGTCGTCGTAGTGGTTCAGCAATCGGCTGATGCGGCGAATGTAGTAGCGGACGTAGGCACGATCGAATCCCTCCACCACTCGCGTGGGAAAACGGACCACAGAACTGTAGCTTTCAAAAGAGGGCGGCAAGATGCTGAAGGTAATGGTGCCGATCAGCACCGCGTGAACGCGATTGGAGGCGTGTCGGACAGACACCAGAGGCACCTGCACCTTCTCCGACATCGTAAACACAGCCGGTGTGAGAAGGGCGCGTAGAGAAACGACGGTGCGGCCAAGCTCCTCGACCTTGCTCTTCGATGCACGGTCGCTGACAGAGAGGGTCAGCAATGCCGCCGGTCCTGTTTCGCTGATGTCGACGCGCAGCAGCGGGAAATCCAGCTTAGCGATGCCCTCCCTCGACATGCCGTAGGGATAAACCGGAGAAGCACCAGGCGGGCGGCGCTCCGCCTCGCACGTGAAACGACCGACCGTCGCCGCCACCACACACGTGTGGCGCAGCGTGGCAGAGTGGAAGTCAATTTTGTGAACTGCCACGTAGATGGTGGCGACCACGCTCGGCGCAAGCTGCAGACGGAGCGACCTGTGCAGCTCGCGTATGTCACGAGATCGGCAGAGCAGCACATCCAGCCGGCGCAGATCCTTCGGGGTGTAGGTAGCCAGGAGAGACGCGACATCGTCCATCAAGGGCTCAAAGACGCTCGGGGATAGGTGCCGCCACTGCTGCACGGGGAGGTGCACCTTGGGCATGTTGACACTTATCCGGCAGATGCCAAGGAAGCGGCCGCTCTCGTCATACAGGCGCAGTCGCTTCTCGACGGTCCGGTTAGCGGGACAACGGGTGACGCAGAAATCGGCGTGGCACACGGCATCAGCGACGAAGAGATTCCGCACGCCCAGTTTTAGCGTGTAGGTGCTTTCGTAGTTGGCGGCAACGTTTTCAACTTTGAAGGTCGCGGAGGCTGGTTCCAGCGCCACGAGCTGTTCGACGGGGATCGGCTTCGTCTTGAGCAGCACGGTGTCGCCCTCCGAGACGCGCAGATACACCTCGGCTTCCTTTAACGTCAGCCCTGCGAAGCCGACGATGGTGACGAAAGCGGAGGTGCCGTCTTTCAGCGCGGCTGGCGAAATACTCCTGTCCATGAAGAGACTCTCCTCGCGAGAGAGGGGATCGTCAGCGCGCCTCATCTGCTGCCATGAAAGGGATGACCCCTTGTCGAGCTGCTTTTCGGACCCCGCCCTGCCTGGCGCCATCAACGGTGAGGCCCTACTGCTACCGTAACGTCGTTGCGTCGCCTCCATCGCCGTCGTGGAGTTCATAAACAAGTACGTTGTCTGTGCCAGGTTTGGGACGCCATCGATGCCGAACTCCGACGACGACTGCGTGCGAAGATGCGCCCCACGCTCTCGACCAAAGTCCTGCGGGTACACCGACACCTTCAACACGCCCCACACAGAAGCCGCCTTGGTGCCGCTGTGATCGACCAGGGCCAGTTCCAGGTCATTCTTTTCCTGCCTCTCCACGTCATCCAGGGAGGCCGCGGTGCGGCCCACCACGATGTTCTTGGAAGGAGAGTAGCGCATAACGATCAGCTCCACCTTTTCCCGGCTCGGCAGTCCAACCATGAGGTCGAAGCTCTCGCAGAATACAAACTCCGCTTCCCCCTCCACAATAGAGGTCTGGAACTCCTGTAGCCCGACCCGCAAGATGCAGAAAAGGTGTGTGCGGGAGCCGTCGCGGCGGAGACGCATGTTTCGCACGCGGTCCAGAGTGAAGCGCAGGTGAAACTCTCCCGGCTCAGGGCCGTACTTTTGCACCATTCGGTTTAGGTAGGCCGCGACGTTCAGCGTGGTGGCATATTTCACGTCGACCATCACCAGCTCGGTGGGGAGGTAGAAGTAACAGAAGCGGGTCAGGCGAGAATGCAATGCGAGGTCCTCCGCGGTGGGCGGGGGGGCGGAGCTGCCGAAGTTGTCGCTAAGCACGCCGAGCGTCACGAGGCCGATCGGCTCCGCGCGCGAGGACTTGGAGTCCTTCACCAGCATCAGCGTCCGTTCTTTCGCAACGCCACGATGGAGGTCTTCCAGCGAGACAAAGCAATCGCCGACGGAAATCTTGCCGTTCAAAATTACGCTAATCTCAACCAGTGCCGTCGCGGGTTGGTCGACCGTGAAGCGCAGCGGCTCCTGGCCTTCGGGAAAAACGAAGCTGCCCTGGGTGCCGGCCAACGGTTTCGTCTTGGCCTGGGTGCGGCCGTTCACACGAGCCTTCACCACCACGCTGCCTTCCGACAAGAAGCCGTTCGCGTAGAGGTGCGAGATGCCGTAGACGGACACCTCCAGTTCTGCCGCCTGCATATGACTGTCTGCCGCCCCACCACTCCGGCCCCCCAGCGCCATCCGGTGGCCCACACCGCCGTGTAGGTTTCCGCTAGCACTGCCGCCGTCGTGTAGCCACCCACCCAGCAGCACACTTTCCATCTGCGAGAACTCCCCCACGTACCACTCCAGCCGGTGCAGCTGAGGACGTGCGTGCAGCGTCAAATACTCGCGAAGTTTCTCGCGGAGACGATTTTCGGCGTCCATGGACGGCAGGTAGTTCATGCCAAAGTTGATGGCGCCGAGAGAGAGGTAGATGGCGCCGTACTCCGTCGCGTTCGGTTTGAAAGGGTGGACGACGAGCGACGTCCAGCGCGTGCGCATGGCGCCCCGCTGCACGTTGCGCATGGACAAGGTGCAGTGGCCCAGCTTCTTCGACCCGTACAGCGTCTCCGTGAGCACTGTGATGGACAGGAAGTCGGTGTTCGGGTTCTCAACTCGGAACTTGAAGGTTTCGTTGAACCTCGGCTCCGTCGTGTCAAACTGCACCCGCGATCGGTGCGACTCGCACGTAGTGGAGAGCAGCACATAGGGGTTCGGTGGGTTGCGGGTGAGCTTCAAAAGATTCGTGCAGCTGAGCAATCGCACGCGTAGCTGCATCTTCGACGGCCCGCGTACGTCGTTCGGCGACTCGTTCGCGTCTACTGGCAGAACCGACGTGTTCATCTGCTCCGCGCCTTCATCGGTGGCGAAGTCCATCGAGGCGGACAGGTCAGCCTCCGTCTCGGAGGCCATATTCGAGTTCAACAAACTGTCGTCGGCGGAGCAGAACTCCTCAACGGAGTGGATGCCACCGTCCATCAAGTTGAGCGTCGGCATCCGCTGGACACCGGATTTGGTCGAATTGAACGACACGGTGTCCTGGTCTTTCACCACGTGCGTGGTCTCCTCGTTGCCGTTCGACGAGCCCTTGACGTCGGAGGCGCCAGCATTGGCGGAGCTAACGGTGCGAAGGGTCCGGCCCGTGAGCGGAGCCAATTGAAAGTACTTTTTAAAGTTGCTCCACCGCTGGCCTGTGCTGCTCACGGGATGCGGAGTTCCCGGCTTGATGGTGGCCGCTGCGTTGCTTGTCACGTCTGCGCGGCTCGTACCGCCAACCGAGCTCAGCGTGGAGGTGCGGTTGCCGCGCAACCCCTCCATCACAACCGGCACCTCCATATCGGTGCGCAGCGCGTGGCGCTTCAAGAGGCGCAGCCGGGTCTGATCCACCAAGTTGAGGTCGACGACAGTGTACTTGAAGCCAATCGTGCCCATCTCCTTCACCTTCCCGTTCTTCTTCTCCAGCAGCAGCGGCAGCCAATCGTTGTACTGCTTGGAGGGCTGCACATCTATCAACGGGATCGCAACACGTCCGAGCTCCTCATCCCTTCCAATATCTGACTGATCCATCACCACCAGCGTCAACACCATGTCGCCGGGGCGATCGTAGTAAAACTCGCAAAACTCAAAGTAGTCGGGCTCGACGCTCGACTTGACCGTCTTCGTCTGGTACGCGTCGATGCCAAGACGCACCACCACGTACGGGTTCACACCACCGATGCCAGAGCGCAGGTCGCGGCAGCCGACGACGGTGAAGTACAACGCATACGTCGGGTCCTCGTCGCCGTACTGCAGACTCATCTGCGCCATGAACGACTCCATGTCAAACACCGTCGCCACGGCCAGGTTCACGCGGTGCAGACTCTCCGGCACGCGTCGATGCACGTACCGTCGCAGCCGCCCCGCGTAGCTGTCCTCGAGTGCAGTGTCGACTTCGTACGTGTGGCCCACGTCGTCGCTGTACAGTTTGAGGCGCACGATGCCGCTGAAGTACGCATCAGGTGTGCCGGCGGCACCGACGAGGTATAAATCGCGCTGATTCATCACGCCGCGCTGCGTGTTAAGGCAGCTGAAGTCGACGCGGCCGTAGATGACGTCCTCCCGACGCGCGTTGACGACCTCAATGCGGATGAGGTCGGTTTCGCGCACCACGTCGAACATGTACTTTTCCTTCACCTTCGTCGGCGCAAACTGGCTAACCAGCATCGACTTGGTGCGCACGGTGGAGAAGCCCATGCTGATCAACAGACGCACCTCCTTCTCATCCAGGTCCATCTCGGCGGACTCTCGGAGGGAGATGAGGAACTCGACGGCGATCAGCAAGCGCACCGTGCCGGGCTCACGACCATATTGGACGACCAGCTCTTGCATGAAGGTCTCCTGTTCCGACAAGCGGGCCTTCACCAGCATGTCCACCTCCGGCAGACGGAGCGGGTCGTAGCGGACGAAAAAGCGGTTGAGACGCTCGTAGAAGTCGTCCACGCTCTCGGCCATGTCAACCGGAGTGAAGCCGAAGTTGACGGGGCGTGCCAGCAGGTGCGCGACGCCGTTCGTGGCCATGCGGGTAATGCCCTCGCCCGTACACAAAAACATGTCTCGGCGCGAGACGTGGCCCTGGGATAGCGGTGCCGCACTGACGCAGCACCGCCCAATCTCGTACGTCTTGCCACCGCCGCAGCCCATTAGAATCAACAACACATAAAACCGATGCGGGTTGACGACGTCGAGGGTGATGGTGTTCGCTTCTGTCCACACCACGGTGTTCCGCAGCGTGACCATCTCTGACGCGAACTGCTCCGCCTCGCTGCGCAGCACCACGTAGACATCGTCCGAGCCGATAAAGGACTTGTTCCAGAGGTCCTTGTCCAGGTTCGTGCACCCATCCACGCGCATCACCATCCGGAAGTCGCCAGGCTCCGCAGCGCGGTAATGCGCGCAGAGACGAGCCATGAGCTCCTCGAAGGTTTCGAACTTGTCCGGCACATCCACAGTGAGCTCTGCTCGGCCGCCGATGCAGAGTTGACGCATCACCAGCTTCCGCGGTGCGCTCGTACGGGCCATCGAGTTGCCGGCGGAGTCGGTCACATTCTTGTCGCCTCCGTTATTTGCTGCTGCGGTGGCCTCGTGCAAACCATCCCGGTGGACCGACAACGGCATCGGCTCGAGGGTGTCCTCGTTCGCCGCCGCAGCATTCGCCGTGGAGGAGACGCGGCTGTGCGTGTACGATGTCAAGCTTCCATTGCGGATGCTCGGCCGCGGTGTGGATGACGTCGCTTTTTGTTTCTCGCCCGTCTTTGGCGGTGCGAGGGAGTTTTTAACGCTGTTGAGGCCATCATTTTCCACCAGCTCCGACGGGTTCCGCACGTGAGACATCAATACATCGAGCAACTGAACCTTCGGTTTATCGTAGCAAAGAAAAAAGCGGCGCAGCCCGCGCACGTTCTGCTCTTCCAGTGCCTCATCGAGGCGCAGGCGGTTTGGCGGGTCACCAAGCGTGTCGGACTCCAACGAGATGGTCACCGTCCCGGCAATGCCTGGTGGGAGAGACTGTCCGAGAAGGGAGGAGCCTTCCTGCTCGCCGGGCTTGTGCGGCGGGTTTCCCCGTTTTTCTCCAGCTGACATTGAAGTCTCCGAGTCGTCCAGAGAGGCGGACGTTAGAGGACCCAGCGGGGTGCCGAGGTGGAAGGTGCGACGTTTGCGCTGGTCGTGCACGAGTCGCTGCGTGGCAATGTAACAGCGCCCGAGAAGAACCGGCGGTGTCGAGCCAGACGAAGAACCTCCGGCGCCGGCACTCGCGCCAGCGCCCATCACGCCGTTGTTCATCGCACTTGCCTGATCCGAGTCATCCATCATCGTGCAGTTTTGAGTGCGCACCACACCTCGCGCCGCAGTCACGATGCCGATGCCCGGCAGCGCCAGCCCTATCGGTTCCTGAACATCGTAGACGGATATCTCAATCACGGCGAGACGATGCGTGCTGCCCACGAAGAAACTCTCGTGGTAGTGCGGTTCGAATGTATCTTTCTTGACGCGCGTCTGGAAGCGGTACGTCCCATCCACGATGACGGTGACGCGCGGATTGATAGAGGAGCCGCCATTCACGGCAGGTCGGTACAGCTGGCATTTTTGCACCTTGATGGTGAGTTTGCCCATGGATGCACGTTACTACAGTATATGCACGGTGCTATCCAACGCCATGAAAATATTTTGCCACGCCGCACCGCTCAGACAAACCCGTTTACGTTTCTTTTTCCCCCGTCGGTTGTAAAACGCACGAATGTATACCGTCGCTTATATATATATATATATGCGAAACCGTTGAAAGAAGAAGCCTGGCAAGGAAACCAAAAAAGGGGGAAAAAAAGAGGGAAGAATAGTACTAATATGAAGAAGAATCGAACGCGCACGGTGTAACCTGTGCTCAAATGAGACCGTCGATGCTCCGTTGCGTCAGGCAGATCTTCCGAACACAAGAAAGAGTCGGCTGCTCTGTGCGGGCTTCCAGGTCTGCAGAGAGGAAAGAAAATAGAAATTGAGACTACTTGACAAAAAAACTGTAAAAGGAAAATGAGCGGCAACAAGTGGTTTTGTTTGTGTGTGTGGGTGTGTTACTCAATCAACAGCACTGCCATGGAAACACAGAAGTGATTGCAATAAGAGGAAAGTTGAGAAAGGAAACGGTAAGAGAAACAAATGCTTTTAAGGAGAAAAAACATAAAGCAATAGGCAACAGCCAAGAACGCCCCAGCGTGAAGACAAGCGCCACGGCTCCGGCGATGTTGCCGTAGAGCAGAATTACTGCTCTTATTAGTACTCCCAGAAGACTTGAAGCACCAGAAATACCTTGTTGACCGCGATGAAAACAGTCTAACTTTTTGGAGAACTGACATGATCCACGTCTACGGTTCCGAGTGTGGGAATTTCCTTTAATAAGTTTAAGATATTTGCCTCCCGTGAAAGAGACATTTTAATTACGCGGTAAAAACGAATAAAGAATTAAAAAGGGAGGAAAAAAAAACTCGGCATGCCCCAATCGAGCCGTATATCCTCCACAACGCAAAAGCTTCACACTCAGCTGAGTTGCATGACCAAAAAAAAATGTCAATCAGCAGCGTGGCGTCGCCCCCTTCCGTATTCGTGACGCAGCATCCACAGAAAAGCCCAAACGTATAAAAACGTTATTTAGTAAAACTTTCAAGACGCGTTGCTGCTGCTTTCCGTTATTTCCCTTCGTCGTCTATGCAACGGCATCTGCGTAATAACGAAGTGTGGCTACCTCCGACGAAAGAGTATCGTGGATAAGCTGCCGACGAACCACGTCACGGTCAGAGCTGCTGAAGACCTGCGCCAGAGAGGCTTTCTGGCGGCGCGCCGCAGCGACCTTTATGGCCACAAAAACCCGCACCGCACGTGCGACCGCTGCTGTCTGCGGCGCCGTCCACTCCACCGTGATGCGGTGGTACAAGTCTTCGTACTCCGTCTTCGGTGCGGTAAGCAAATACACCGTCGCGGCCAGCACACGTCCGTGCTGCGCCACTTCCTTTTCGTGTTCGCTCGGTGCGCTCCACCGAAAAGTTGCAGCACCCTCCGCCGCCTCCTCTTCCGTCCAGGTGGCATACGGCCGCACCAAGTAGAGTCCCTCGTCAAAGAGGATGCCGAGTCGCTGCAGCTGTTCCACCCGGCGTTCCATATCCTTGTGAAGGGCGGCCACCTCTGCGGACGAGTCACTTCCGAACAGTTCCGGCTTCCAGTCCCCAGTTGGGCATGCAACAACGGAACCCTCCGCTTCAGGTATTTCGTTGAGGTAGTCTTCAATGAGCGCCGATGCGTTCGCGGTGCTCTCACCCGCTGCCGCCACTAAGATGTAGTGCATCAGCGTCGCAACCGTCGCCAACGATGCCGCAGAGCAGCGGACCAAATCGTTCCGCAGCACCGACTTCGTGACAAACTGGAACTCCACCGCAAACCGCGCCGCGCCGATGCGGCCGTAGCAGCCATACACCTGCTCACCCTTCTTGACCGCACGCGTGGTGACCACCGTGAAGGCCGTCGCGTGCTTGCGTCCACCGCCGCGCACCTCGAAGGTGGTGTTGGCGGTGAAGGAGTGGTTTAAGATGTCGAGGCCGGGCAGCAAATAGGGTCCCTCACGACCCGCCAGCTCCTCCCGGTGAAAGTTACGGGAAAAGACCTGAGCGAGGCAATCGCAGAACAGCTCCAGCGTCGCCTTCTCCGCGGGCCACACGTCAGGAGCTGAGGAGATGATTTTCTGTGCAACGGCCCACCGCCCCTTCACACACAGCTCCTCGAGAGCCTGCGCGACACCTGTGAGAGGGGACAGTCCCAACGTCAGCGAGGTACTGCTGCTACTGTTGCCGCCCACCTCAGTGCTCGAGCAGCGATCTGGAGCAGTCTCACCAACAGCTTTTACTGCTACCGCGGGTGCCACTCCTAGCACAGCAGCCTGGTTGGGCGTCAAGTCGAACAGGTGGTGGATCATCGGGGGACAGCTTTCGAGCCACGGTCGCCACAACGAGTGTGGCCGGCACAGTTCAGACATCAGTACCAACACATCGAAGAGCACGGCATCCTGCATGGCGGCGGGAGAGGCGTGCAGAACGGCAACGCACGGCGACGTGATCGCGTCCTTCATGTACGGTGACACGCCGGACGCCTCCGGGCAGCTTAGGACAACAGTGCCCACCGGCAGCAGGCGGGCCGCGAAGACGCCCATGCCCATCGTCTTGGTGGGCACGAGAAAGGCCACATCTGGGTGGAGAAAGATGTCGTGCTTCTTGGCGTACTTCGCGAAGGCCTGTGGGGAGGGGTTTTTACCCAGGTACGAGGGGGAAGTGGACGGCGACGATGCCATTACAAGAGACAGTCCCGCTGGGGAAGCGCCACACAAAGGAGAAAAAAAGATTCCGTGAGAGACCCAAATCGGGCGCACTGTTTTGAGTACGGTTGCGAGTGCGCAGCAGTCGGCATCTCTGTAGAGAAAATTCGACGGCGGCAAAAAAAAGAAGAAGAAGGAAAGACAAATTGACCAAATGGAGAAAGAAGAAGATCTCCTCGTCGCAGCGGGGCAGCGCAGGCATCACTTATAACACATAGAAATACAAATCCGTGCTGGCGGTTGCATAAGTCGTGGCAGAATGAGCTGTCGAACGGTGTTTTTCAGCCTTACGCCTCTGGGCCCGAAAGCGAATGCCGTGGTGTCTCTTGCGTATTTTCCACACTCTAAAAGAAGAGTCGAACGTCAAAGTGCTTGACTTCGGAGAAGCTAATGTGCCTTCACACCTCCAGAAAATGATAGCACCCCATCAAATGAGATGCGATGATCAGATAATCTTTCGGCAGCGAGAAGCAAAATCAAGGCAACAAGAGCTGGAGGGTTTGCCAGCAGAGGACCGCATCATATCTCCGATTTTGTCTTCTTCATGCATCGTCACGTGTGTTGTGGTCCAGAGTCTTCCATGTTCGCTAGCGCTTGAAAAACACGCTTATGCACACCAAACCAAGAAAAAAACGTGTATGCATAATAATAATAATTGAGTGCGTACAAGCAAAAGTGGAAGCGGTGGCGAAACAGTGGAAAACAGACCTGAATCCGCGTTTCCTTGTGTTGCACTAAAGAAAGGAAACCCAGCAAGAGTAAGGACGGTGAGTTGTTTGTTGGTTTTCCTCCCCACCGGTAATATGTACCTCACCGTTAATTGCTTCCCATGTTTCACCGGAGGTCAGCTAAAGAAAAAATATATATTGAAAGCACTTTTTTCTTTTTGTCGCTGTTGCTGTCGCGGACCGTCCCTGATTAGTGCGGCCAATGCTCTACGTTCGAACGCATTTCGCTCGTCAATTGCGTTACACGCAAAACAAAAACGCATCTACTCCTTTTCCATTACGTCTCCCCTCGCGTTAATCTTTCGGGAACATGAACGACAAGCAGGATGGGATGCCGTCAAACTCGCCGGTATTGTGCTCGTCCTCGTGCATCAAGCCACCCACGTGGCCCATAAAGCAGCTCGTGGCGAAGTTCAGCATCGCCGATTCGCCCCGCAGCAGCCCCGGCGGGTTCAGCGGCACACTGGGGGCGTCGATGTGGATGCGGCGGCAGCTGTCCTTGAACTCCGACACCTCCTGATCCCACGACTCGTACGGCTGTTTCGGAGAGGCAAACAGGTAGAGGCGGCGGACAATGTCGTAGAAGCGCACCGAGCGAGGGCGGAGGGTGGGGTCGGCGGGCTTGACATCTAACTCCGTCACATCGTTCACATTGATCAGCCCGGAGCACAGGTAAGACCACAGCGGCTTCGCAAAGACCACGTCCGACGCGGGGTCGACGGCCGCATTGTACAGCGCCGCGTGATTCGCACCGTTGTTGTCCAGAAGGTGCGGCCACTCGCACAGCGCGTAGACAAAGTTCACCTCGTACGGGCCGATAGGCGTCGAGCTCGTGGCGGGCGATGACGGCGGCGGCGACACGTCGCTAGGCATAAATCGCAGCTTTCCCTTCTCGAACGTTAGGTCCTTCTCGTTCACCACCCGCACCGGGTACTTCATGCGCTCACATAAGGACTGCATGATGAACACCAACTCGCGCAGCAGTCCGTCCATCGGGTGAACGTCGCACATCACAATGGTGAACGCGGTGCGAGGGCCGCGCTGGGTTTCGACCATCTTCAAATAAGCACCAAAGTCCATGCGGTATTGCGTGGACATGAAGGAGCGCATGGAGGGGGTCATGAGGTGAATCGCCTGCTTCAGTGGGTCGGCGATGGCTGCGATTTGCGCCATCTCCGTCAACAAACGCGCGTTGCCGAAGTTCACCTTACCGAGACACCACGCCTCGTCGTGCGGGTTCTTGATCGGGATCTCCTCCACCGCACCTGGTACCGTCGGCACAAAAGGACCGTTGCACGCCGTCATCGCGTTGTTGTCCGGGGAGGAGGGCGAGGTGAACTCCTCCGGTGAGTCGACGCTCGGGATATCCTTGTGCAGCGTGCGAAACTTCACGATGTCCTCGGGGTCCGTCGCCACATTCGGGTAAAAGCTGAGGGAGGCCGCCAGGTGGATCTCCCCACGGGAGAACTCGCGCTCCATCGCCTGCACCAGCTCCAGTGGAATGTCAAAGTAGGTGGCAAGCGCCTGCAGCAACACCATCGGCGTGCTATCCACCGCGTTCACCATCTCGTCCGCCTCAAACGGCTTGAAGAGCGCGTCCAGGTCGCGGCACATCTTCGTCTCCGTATCCGCGCCTTCCGGCAGCGGTGCGTTGAGCGGGTTCGTGGGCAGCGAGCGGAAGGGCTGACCGAGGCGGCTGCGATGAAAGAAGAATTGCAGGGTGAAGCGCAGCACGCGTGCCGTTGCGCTGGTGGCGCCGACCAGGGTCTCCGCCGCGCCGCTGCGCATTCCATAAGCGTGTCCGACCCGCCCGCTCGGGATGTCGAGTCCGGCGTGGAGGTGGTAGTGGGTGATGTGAGGATGGTCTGGGTCGTCGAAGGCGGTGGATCTCTCGCGGATGATGTTCGGCAAGGGGTTGAAGGGGGCGTAAATGTGCTCGCGGGTTGGGGTGTCGGGGTAGGACAGCCAGCCCGTGCTCTGCGGCATCGTTTTCTCCTCCTCGATGGTCCACGTGTTCGTCTCCGCGTTGTGCAACAGGGTGGCGTAGCGGGCCACACAGCGCTCACCGTCGAGGTAGGACTCGTTGGGGGAAAAAAAGGGGCCAAAGTATTGGTTCTGCTCCGCAATGCCGACGCGATGGTCGTCGACGTACGAGATGACACCGACGTGGCCCCACGGCGTCAGCTCGGGGTGGTAGGGGTAGATAATAACGTCGCCGGGCTGCGGCTTCCGCGTTGCGGTGCCGTCGTTGCAGTGGTGATGGAGGGTATACTTCTCTCCGGTCTCCACATCGGTGATGTGGTCCATCGCGTAGATCTCGCTGGCGCGGCCGCAGTTGCCGAAGATGCAGCCCGTTGTGAGCAGCAGGAAGCGGCGGGCGTACTCGACACATTGGTAGCGGTAGCCGGTGTAGATGAGGGAGTTCACGTAGTTGTTCTCGCCGCTGAAGTAGCCATCATCGCGGTTCGAACAGGCCACCACACCGCGGAAGCTGCCCTGTTGTTCACCGTAGGGGAGAAGCTGCGCTGCAGGAGACACTGGTGTGGCGACTGCATCGACCATCCTTTGACGTCTGTTCTTCGTTGTGCTTTCGTTTTTATTTTCCTTTATCGCGAGCGAGAATAAGTAGTCGGCTTTCGTCCGCTATTTCGATCGTTGGCAAAGCTAACCAAAACAATCTAACGCTTGAGAGAGAGATAGCAGCCTCCTTTCAACACAGATAAGTTGTGTCAACCGTGATAGTATTTACTACGCGGCCTTTCTGAGTTCAATGCGCACTACGCCTGTAGCTCCACAAACACCGAATTAAAAAAAAAACGAAGCAACGGCGTGAAAGGAATGGAAACAGATAGAGACAGCGAGAAGGTGCCCTACACCAAAACAGCAGGAAAAAATGTGAGAGATAAAATTAGAGGAAAAATGAAGTTCGAAAATTCTGTGTGCGTTTTTTTTTTTGCAGTTGCGTTTCAACCGTGTCAACGAGTTGGGTGAGAGTGTCAATGGTGTGTTTCATGAAAGACAGATGCACAGAGAGAAAAATATATACCGAGGGTGTGAAAATGTCGATTTGAGGTAGAGAAATCGATAAGGCATCACTCAAGGAAGGAACACGCAAAAAAAAATGTCCTTACGATCGTGTCACAGACCTGTTCACACAGCCTCATATTTAACTCCTCAGTTCATCGTCCGCACACTCTCATAAAGTGGCGCTGGGATGACGGGCTGAAAGAATTCTAGCGAAACCGATCGAAGACGGGCTTTGCTCACAGTGTGTAGGAGCGAAAACTATTCAATAAGCTCTTTTTGTTTATCTTGTTGTCCTCTCTTCTGCTGCACCTCGTGTGCTGTACGCGAAACCCACGTGACGGCGTTTTCATTTTTGTATACTGTTGGACACCCACTTCCCAAAAAAAAAAAGAAGCGGGGGTGTAAAGGAGGTAAAAGAAGAAGTGGAGAGGAGCATGCCCGATACCCTCGACGCGCAATCACACAAACACACACAAACACACACACACATACATGCGACGCACGATGGCTGATTTTCCAAGTACATAGACACATCGCCAGATACACGGCGGCCCTATGTGGCTCTCGTGCTTCCTTGTCGTGGTTGGAGCGGTGTTAGGGCGAAAGAGACGCTGCTGCCCGCCCTACCAAGCCCGCTCATCGCAAAACCTCCGCCCACCGCACTGCCACAAGCTGAGACTGGTGCCGCCTTCGGCTTCGCTGGCAACTCCGCGTCTTTCAGCTTCTGCTGAGAGCGGGACAAGAGCAAGCTGGACAGGTGTCGCAGCGTCGTTTCCAGCGCGGGTGGGAGCCGTCGGTTCTTTGAGTGCACCACGGTGATGTCGCACACGCACGAGAGGACCTCCGCCTCATGACGCGACCGCAGCTTCTGTAAGTTGATCAGGGCTTCGAACTCTTTTATGTCGAAGCGGCGATGGCCTTCGCGGAAGTTGTTGAAGAGGACCACGAGCGGCACACTGCGGTAGTGCTCCGTCACCTCTTTCAGGTACAGGTAAGCCTCCCGAAACCCCTGTTCGTTCCGCACGTCCACGACAAACATGAGAAAGTGCACCTGCTCCATCCGGAGCACGTAGTAGCGCCAATTGCTGCGAAAACTCTCTCGACCGCCCAATTCGTTGAGGGCCCACACCCACTCCTCGAAGGCGACCACACGCTGCGACATGCCCACCGTCGCCACCGTGGGCCGGGCAACACCCTGCATCGAGTTAATGATGAGGGACTTGCCGGTGTTCTCGAGGCCGAAGACCAAGCCCACGCGCCACGCCAGGCGGGCAAGGAGGGCCTCGCGCGGAAGCAGCTTCGTTAGCGCCACCTCGGAAATGCAAGCAAAATCGTATGCCTCTGGTGCGGCGGAGGGATTGGTGATGCGCAGCGGGGCGGGTGCAGTTGATGACGCAGCAGACGCCGGGGTGGAAGCGGCTGTTGCCGCCGCTGCCGCTGCTTCGGGGTTGGGCGGCTCCTGCACGGGCTGGTGACGCATGCTGGTGACGGAGAGCCGCCGGCGTGCCACCGTCGAGTGCTGCGCGCCGTTCAATCGGTGCGGCAAATGAGTTGATTTTGCCGGATGTGGAAAGGTGTTGTTGACGCTCAAGTCAGAATTCACGGCGGAGGGGTTACTGCGGATATTGCTCGTGGTCGTGTTGGCGGCGTTGAGCGCGGAGAGGCGCCCATCTTCCCCGGTCGCCTCCAGCCGCAGCCCCGCATCAGTGACGTGTGCGGAAGCCGACGAGTTGGACATGAACGGCTCGTGCGAGTCGCTGGGCTGCTCCTGTGGGGAGGACCGCATGGACTCCTGCGCCGCCTCTGGGATCGACACCCGCCGCAGCTCGTCGTCGATGTACTGCTCGTCCGTCTCGTATTCGCAGAAGTCGCGCAGCAGCTCGCGGGCCTGGGCCCAGGTCAGCAGCGACGTCGTCTCATCATCCACCGCCCGCACGTACATCTGCCGCAGCCTCTGCAAGTTCACAATCAACACGCGCGCCACGTCGTGCTTGCTCGGCCGCTTGTCCTTGCCAAAGGCGGAGGCAAAGGCGCGGATGGCCTTCAGAATGTCATCCGACCCGATCTTCAAATCGACCGGTGCGCGGCGCTGGGAATCGTAGATGGCGTTCACGACGCGCTGCATCGTCAGTAGCTGAATTTCGGCGCTGCGCTCGTGCGCCACCGCCTCGCCAAAGTCGGCCAGCTGCAGCGTGCCAACGGTGTCGCCATCGGAGTCGCTATCAAACTCGTCCTCCACCTGCTGCGCCAACGCGGCCGGGGTGGTGTGCTCGGGAAGGGAGAAGTAATTCTCACACCACCCTCCCAACTTCGCTTCCGCCGCATACAAGTTGACGCCGTGAAAGCTGCTCATGGCAGGGCCAACGCGTACCGTGCTCGCGCCGCTGCGGTGGTTGTGGCCGAGGGCGTGCATCAGCCGCTGCGTGTCCTCCTCTCTGACGCAGTAAAGCGTGTCCGTGAGCACGCTGGCGTTGACGGACGGCTCGAAGATGCGCACCTCGCTTGCCCGGCCCGTCGGCGCATACGCCGCAAAGTCCACCACAACGGCGCTGACACAGGTGCAGAAAATGCTGTAGAGCGAGTTTTCCTCCAGCTGCAGGGTGGGGCCAGCCAACTGTGCCTGCGAGTGGCGAAGAACCTGCGCCACGTGCTGCAGCCGGGACAGACACACCCCACGCACGTGGCGGACAAGGTGCGGGAGCTCCTGCATGGTGAGCGACATTGGCAGCTCTGCGGCGGTTTTGAAAAGATGATCCCACATGACAACAACTTTCACCTGGCGAAGAAAAATACCATTCAAGTCCGTACGGAGCTGACTCAGCTGCATTTGCAAGAAGGCGTTGAAGGCGACCTCGTACAGCCCGTCACTCAGCGAATCTCCGGTGACAGGGTGTTGGTGTGGAAAGCAGCGACGGAACTTCGAGACCAGCAGGAAAGCCGGCCGGCAGTGCTGCTCGTAGTCGGGCGTGTGAACGGCGCTGAACGTGGGCGGTGAGCGACCTTCCTCGACGGCGCGCTTTTCCAGTTGGATGCACAGTCCAGCAATATTGTCGCGGATCAGCTTCACGGCGAGAGACTCCTCAGAAGCGCTGGCCGCCAGCACACCAGTGGACGTCTGCCGGCTGTGTACGAAGCTCGCGGGCATCCCCGTTATGCTGGCCCCCGCAGCGACGACACTCGCATTCCCTAGCCCGGCAGCCGTCGCCCCTTCCCCGACGTTGAAGGTCGTCGTTGTGTTGGAGCGGCGCTGCAGCCGCGCCGAAACGGTGCTGCTGTCACGCTGCCCGGCAGCCAGCTGGCCCAGCGCGCTGTTCCGCATGAGCGTCTGTAGGTTCACCTCTGCGATCACGCGCTCCACACGCACCACGGCCTCCCGCACGCTGCGTAGCGCTCCTTCAAAGAACGCCGCGGTGACGAAGCGCTGCAGAAATGCCTCCACCTTTGCGCCGTCGCTGACGTGCTGGCCCCACTGAAAGGTGATCCAGCCTTTCTTGGTAGATGGCACGCCCAGGTACTCCTGGATGTCCGCACACGCCCGCGCGCAGTTCGGCTCCGTTTCGATCCAGCCCTCGATGACAGGGTTGCGAAAGACGTTGGACTGCACCAGGCGGAAGACTTCATCGGGCTGTGTAACGACAAAGCTCACCCGGTCCGTCTTTACCTTTAAGAGGCACACATTGAGCGTCATGGTGCGTCCTACCGGGTTGTATTTGGGGCCACGGCGCACCGCCACGGCGTACTCGTCGGTTATTGCGTGCACGTACAAGATGTAGTTGCGCGGCATATCCGCGGACTCGCCGCTGTAGGCGCGCACGATGGCCGTCACGCTGGCCAGCGAGATATCGACGGCCTCCGCGACGTACTGCAACAGCGAGTCCGGCACCTCCGCGAGCAGGCGGGCCGAGTCGATGCTGATCTTCACACCGAGACCGTCCGACACCGTGTTAGCTCGTCGCTGGATCATACCCAGGACGTTCCTGTGTTTGTTGATAGTAGTGTAGGTGTCCATGATGCGCGTGATTGCGTTCGACCACTCTTCACGCTCCTCGAAGCTGCTCATCCGGAAATTGATGTCACGGGCACCGCGATTTTGCACGACCATGACGAAGAATCGATTCTGCTTGTCATCTGCGTAAATAACGTTGCGAATATCGGAGGCACGGAAAACCCGCAGAGGCACGTGCTCTTGATCGTTGCGGTACACCTCCAGTCGACAACTGCGCTCGTTGACGACCCAGAAACGTTTCTTGTACCCTTTCAGGGAGCGCCGCCCGCGCCGCTCCATCATGCATCGCAGAAGCCCCATGTGGGGGGCAGCCCCGTGTGAGACCAGCTCACTCGTCGTCCGCTCCATACCTGAATTCTTCGCTTTCGCTCTTTATCTATGTGTGTGCGTGCGTGCTGTTGAAAAGCTTCCCCAAGCAATCAAGATTCTTCAGTTTGGTATATATATTTTTGGAGTGTGCAGCCAGCTGTTTCTCCTTCCTACCGTTGATGGTGCGCTCGCCTAAAAGTAACAATGAAAACGCTCTATGGCGTGAGCTTGCCCACTGCGCGCTAGCAGGAAGAAAAAACAAAATACGTAGACCTTTTGGGGGAATAGAATGAACACAGAGCCAAACCTCTTAGGGGAAAAGACGACGCAAAGAAAAAAAGCATCCAAATACAGAAAGCGCCTATTGTACTTGATGAGAGAAACCGTTGACCACGGCAAGGAAACGTTCTTTTCCAGCTCAAATAATAATAATAAAACAGGGGGAGCGCTTACGAGACCGAAAGAATATAATAATAATAATACGAAAGAAAAGGAGTAAGAGAGGTCACGCCTGTCTCGCCTTCGTGGACGTGGCGCTCGAATACAGAGGTATGTACGCGCGCGCTTGTGCGTTGCGTGCTCCACTTTACGTGTGCGTAAGAGCAGGAAATCGGACTTTATTTGTTTCCTCCACAGCAGCACTGAGGCTTTTCCAGTGCCTTAAGAAAGAGCAGGCAAGAGGCAACGACAACAAAATAGGGAAGAAGAAAGAAAGCAGGATAAGACGGAGACAGGAAAAAAACATTGCGAGAGAAAGGACAAGAGAATTGAGAAGGTGCGTTAGGGTCGAATATGCTGATCGCACCTACGCACGCACAACAACAAGAACCGGAAAAGGTACACTGCTACCAAATAAAAATAGCGAGTTGCTCCTTGCAGACTCCTCTTTATTCGTCGTTCTGTGGCACTGAAGTTAAAAGGAGACCGATCCCACGATGATCGGTTTTTGTTACTGCTATTAGTTTCTCAGTATCTCTTTGTTTTGATTAGACCAAACACGCTAAACTTCACGGATGCCACATCCGTAGGGTGTGAAACACCTGCGTCAACCTCTAAATCTCGTTGCAATTACATAGCCATCATAAATCAAGTTGTGAAGGGAGGGAGTTTTATTGTGACATGCCACAAGCACACACGTGCGCATCTGCGATGTCACGTCGGCGCTGCGTCCTCGCTCATGACTTTGGTTTGAAGAGTCGCGTGCGACGCTTCGTCGGCCGCTCAATCACCTCCTTCACCGCCTCCAGCGAGCCGCCGTGCGTGAGCTCAAACTTGCTCCACTCGTTCAGCAGAGGGGACAACAGCAGCTCGCCCCATTCTCGTGCTCGCTGCACGGCATCAAAGTGCGTTGTCTGCTCCGTCCAGCCCAGCGCGTGGCGAATCGTGTGACGCTCCGTCTGCACCATCGCCTTCAAGATCGCACGCAACGCCGTTTTCGCCTCTTCTCTGTCGCCCGCGGTCGGCCCTTTGGCGGTGTGCATGCGCTCCAAGTACGCCGCCACGGCCTCCACCGCCTCCGACCAGCGTGCCGTTGCGGGTGTCAGCGTGGCGGGCAGCTTGGACGGGGCGGCGCCTGACAGCACCCCCTCGCCACTGCCCTCGCCGCCCTCAAAATACTTTTCATACCATGTCACCGCCTCGCTGCGATAGGCATCCCACACGTCTTGCAGCAGCGCCGCGTACAAGCTCGTTAGCTGCGTCTGCGCCGCTGTCAGCTCTGCTCGTGCCACTTCCACGTCCTCCGGTCGTGCCTTACGGCGGCTAAGTTGACGCTGCAGCGCACGACAGCGCCGGGTGTGCAGGTGAATGCGGTGGGCCCACGCAGCATCTACGTGGGCGAGCAAGTCGTAGCGCTGCGTGAAGGACACCACACGTGCGGCCTCCGCGTTGAAAGTGCGAATGCACGCCGCGTAGAGGGCATCCGCCCGCGCCGACTCCCGCTGCTGCTCCTCCAGCTTTGCGTAGTCCAGCCACCACTGCACATCGAAGGGGAAGGCTTGAATGGCGTTTTGGTAGTCCGTCCGCAGCTCCGCCACGTAGGGAGCCGCCACAGCAGCCTCGATTTCATCAGATAACGCCGCGACATCGGTCGTGTGTGTCGCCGCTGCTGCTGCTGCTGCCGCGTGCACCGCTGCCTCGCGCTGACGCTCCTCGAACCGGATCGTTTCTTTAAAGAGCGCCGCGCTGTTCGTGACCTGCGCGCCGGCACGGAGAAGCTTGCGCGCCTGTGCCACGCCGCCGCAGCGCTCTTCCAGAAGGGCGGCCTCGATCCACAGTCGCGGACACAGGGCTGCGTCGAACGGAAACTGGCGGAGCTCTTGCGCAAGGGTACGTCGTGCCTCGTCTGGATTGCCGTCGCGTTCGCAGCAGCGGGCGTACTCCATGACCAACACAGCACGCTGCTGGGCGCTGTACGCGTCCTTGGCCGGAATCGCAAGTGCGCGTCGCAGCATCTGTCGCGCTGGAGACGACTGCACCGCCGGCGCAGAGAGAGAAGGCACAACCGCAGTGGAGCTGGACAGACCTGCAGGGATTTTGGCCTCGCTCATCGCACCTGTTTCGCGTTCCTGATCTCGATAGAGAGAGTACAGCGTCAGGTAGGCATCAAAATCGTCAACGTTTGTGCGCAGTCGCTCCTCGTACACCTGAATGGTGCGGAGTCTTGCGACTTGCTCGAAGTGCGCGCCGTCGCCGTGCAGTCGCTCAAAACGACTATAAGCCAGCAAAACCTTCTCCTGCACCGGCGGAGAGGCGGCGGCCTTCTCCAGGGCGTCGTGGAATACGGCCCGTGCATGCGTTGGGTCGCCGCACAGGACATGCGCCTCCGCAAGCGCCAACGGCACACGGCACTCCTCCTCCGGCGACCACACGCTTTCATCGGGGAGCGCCTGCAGTGCCTTCTGCAGCACCTTCACGGCCCGTGCGAAATCGCCAAAGACCTGCTGCTCCGTCGCGCTATAAAGCAACCAGCTAGCCGGCGAGTTGTACCGCTCGACGTACTGGCGAAGGACATCGCGACACCCCGCTTGGCGTCGCTGCTGCGCTTCGTACAGGGCAGCCAGCTCGTAAGCGCACGGCGGGGCCGCGTCTCCGGCGAGCCAGCGATGGAACACGTCCCGCACTCGCTGATCCTGCCCGGCGGCCTGCTCCATCGCTAGGTACTTCACCCACAGATCCACGCTCGACGGCAGCGCCGACACGCCGCGGTTCCACACCTGTCGGGCGTGCTCAATGAATCCGTTCACCTCCTCCAGCTCGGCGTAGTCGCGCCACAGGTTGCCGTTCTCGCCGTGCACCGCGACGGCGCGCTCCATCACGGCGCGCATGCGGTCAAAGTCTCGCTGCTGCGCCTCCCAGCGCGCGTAGCGGATCCAGTTGCCGATGGCCTTGTAGCCGCGCCGCACGCTCTCTTCCAACTCGGATCGGCGCTTCTGGCGGTACAGGGCGAGCTCTTCGCGGCTGTGAATCATAACACGCGCCCCCGCCCCGGATTGGTTGGGAGAGTGAAATTTCTGCATCGCCACGGCATCCTTGAAGAGCTTCTGCGTGCTGACTTGGTCCTCAGCCTGGCGGCCATCTCGGTAAACATCGTTGCGCCGCATCGCCGCCGCCGCAGGGCCCAATCGCCGATTATCCTGACGAGAGCGCTTCATTACGGCGGTCTGTTCCCTGATACGAGATATGAGCAAACAAACTACAGAAGGGTTTACGTCGTACAGCGAGTTTTATATTACCACTGAAGGAAAAGGAATTGGTTTCTCTGTGAAAACTATTAGGCTTGATGCACAAACTGAATCGTGTGTTGTGCTCCGTGTCTTGGCATATGTCCGGCTGTTGTGTGTTTATGGAGTCCGCGGCATTGACAAGAAAAAAGGCCAGGACTTATACAAAAAAAAAGACTGTTTTGTGTTGTACGAGTGAAGTGAGTCAAAGAAAAAGAGATAATAACGATAATAATAAATGGGAGACGAAGAAAAGGAAGGGAGAGAGAAATACAAACTAAATACCCCTCCTCCTTGACAATACGCAACGCAAGGCAGGGTGGACATCGCTCGTTGGGAAGCCGACAACGTTTCCACGCATCCAAATTAGCGGCATCTTCCGGGTGCTCTTTTCTCCGTTGGTTTTCAGCCACACCGATCAGGTGCAGCGCCAAGAGAGAGGAAAAAACGTCAAGGAAAAGCGCAGCACCCTCTACGCTTCTTCACCACCTACTGTTCCTTTCGAAACTACCGTCGCGAACGCAGGAGGATAGGCTCTCTCGTATTTCTTTACTTCCACAGTTAAAGCACGCAAGGGCGTGTCGGAGTTACTGAAAAAGGCTCTATGAAAACAGTCAATCTTCACATCGAAGATCTAAAAAGAAAAACAACTTCACAGAAGAGCCACGCAGAAAAGAGAAAAGTTCTTCTGACACGGTGCGCAGCCTTTCTCTTCCTTGTTTCAAACCACCTCACATTGTCCCACAAGTCGGCGCCACAAAACGCTACAAAGCAAAACCGTTCAATTAATCAAGCAGACCACCGAAGGGGAGCGGCTGCACGGAGACGAAAGGCCGCACCACTTGTAGTCGCTTCCATTCGCAGTAGAAAAAAAAAAAGCATCCTCATGTGAAGGGCACACGAACACGCCGTCACTGCCTGCCCCCGCCCCAGGGGGCGTTGATGCCGTTCAAAAACCGATCAACGTTCTCCTGTGCACCGGGCACAGACGGCAGTGCGTCTCTGTAGGCCGGCGTGCGCAGCAGCTCCGTCGCACAGACCGCCATCGGATCCAGCACACCCGCCGTGAAAGGCGAAAAGTCCCTGCGGGCCGCAGACGCTACCGGCGAGGTAAGAGGCAACAACGAACGTACATGCCGCTGGACCGTTTCCTCCTCCTCATTTCCCGTCACCCTCCCCCTCGTCCTCGCCGCTCGGGAGTCTGCGGGATTCTCCAGAATCTCTAGTCCAATACGTGCCGCAGCACTCAGTGCACGCCACACATCGCGCCGCGTCGCGGCCACCACGGCCGCCGTAGTTGCTGGCGTTTTGTTCGCGGCGGAAGCGCTGCCGCCTCTCTCCTCAGACGAGTCGGACGACGACGTCGCACCGTTTTGAGTCTCGTCTGTGTCTTCGTCTTTCCCCGCCCCTTCCTCGTCGTCGCGTAGGGACCCCTGAGCAGCGTCATCCGCCCGCCGGCGCAGCACCAGCGCTACGCGGAAGAGGGTCGACATGGCCGTGTAGGCGTCCGTCACTCGGTGGGCGGCGAGCAGCTCCGCCGGTACCGCCTCGTAGGCGCACGTCAGCGCCGTCGTCACGGTGCGCACAAACCCGGAAAACTGGTTCTCGAGGGTGGAGAGCTCGCCGCAGTAACGGATCAGCTCCTCCCACGCCGCAGTACGGTCGGCTTGCTGCGCCCCTGCGCTTGCCTCGTCTAGGGCTCTGTCGCGACTGCGCTGAGCCCCTTGCAGCAGGTCTACCGCCCACTCCTCCAGTACCCCGCACGCGTCGTACACCTCGGACAGGCAAGCGAAACGGAAGGCCTGCGGCCACAGGCGGGTCTGCATCAGCGCACACACCAGCTTCTCCACACCGGCGCGGTAGGCGTCCACCGGCGCGCCTTCGACCCACAGGTCCGTGCAGTCCAACGTGCAGCCGCGGCGCCACAGCTGACGCTCGCACTGGGCCTGGTAGAGACGACGCTGTAGCCATGGGATGTCGGCGCGGGTCAACCAGCGCGCCGTGCCGGTTGCCGCCGCGGTCGCTGACGTCTCCGCTGCAGCCACTTTCGCGGGGTCCGTCGGCAGGGGGGAGGCGGAGAGGGAGGCGGGCTGCCAGGAGTAGCCCAAGGAAAGCGGCGAGCCCGTCATGACGGCCGTCGGCGACGTGCTCTGCGATGTTGTCGCCGTTGATGTTGCGGCTGCTGTCATCGCACCCCCCGCGAGATCACCCGCGGGCCGTCCGCTTTCCGGCATCGGCACGGACGGCGCGATTCGACTGGCAGCGTGGAGGGCCAGCCCGGCCAGCTCGCTGACGGAGATGCCGGTTGCGGCACTGCGACGCAGCGGAGAGCAGCGGATGAGGGTGGCGAGGCTGGACATGAGATGCGCGCACTGGGCGTAGCTGTGGTGATTCATCAAGTACCGATGCAAGCCCATGATGGCGCGGTAGCGCAACGCCTCCGTCGCCTCCGAGGCGCTCTTCGTCGGCAGTCGCGCGACGTAGTTGTACCACTTTAAAATGAGGGACTCATCCAGCTGCGCGGCGCCGATGGTCGTCGCACGCAGCAGCGCACGCATGTTTGCCTGCGAGGCACACGCCACCTCGACGGTGCTGCTCAAAATCAGCTGGACGACCTCTGCATAGATGGGGAGACACTTGTAGCGCAGCATCAGGTCGAGCGCGGTCTGCAGGTCGTGGAAGCTGCCCGCCATGTCCGCCTGCGACACGCGCGCCTGGGCGGCGGTGAGCAGCACGTCCACCTGCAGCTCCGCAAAGGCACGGCGCAAGTGTTGAAAGGGCAGCTGAAGCACGGCGGTAGATCTGGCAGAAGCACGCCGCTGGAGCCGCTCCGCCGCCTCATCGCACGCGACCAGCATGGCGTGTAAGTAGTGCCGCGTGACGGTGGTGTTTAAGGAGGTGTACAAAGCACCCAGGCCGGTGACTCGACGAAGCACACCAACAGCGTACAGCTTCGGGCCCATGGCAGGTTCGGCGGACAAGAACGCGACGATCTCCTCCAACGGCAGCGCACGAAAGGCCGAGCCGCTGCCAGTTCCGCCAACATCGAGGAGGAAAAGACCCTCCAGGAAAAGCAGGTTCACGACGTCATCGGCCGTCTCGCGCGCTAATGCCTGGCACACGCGTTCGCAGCACGCCTGTACACGCGCAGACTGCGTTGGGGCGGCGGCCGTGTCCAGCAGGGAAAGCAGCTGGTAGTGCTGCAGCAGCGGGAAGCGATGGGTGAGCTGCTTGACCCAGGCGGTGCAGGCACACGCCATTCGCGGAGTGCCGCACCGACGCAGCCGGTTGACCACCTGCACGACGGAGAGGGAGCGCGTGGCACAAGACGCGGCGCTGACGTCGCACGAGACACTCGGCAACAACGCCGCCATGATCGACGCGCTGGTCGGTTGCGTGCCGTCGTCGGCCACCGGCGCCATCTGAACGATATCTGACCCGGCGGACGGCACGGCGTGGTAGGCCGCCACCAGCACCTCCAAGGCGGTCACCAGTTGCTGCGTGAACCAGTCCGCTGACGGCCCGGCGTCACCGCTCTGCGCGGTGGAAAGCGTCGGCGCAACGGCAACAGACTGCGTGCTCTGCCAGCCAAGATATGTCGTGGTCAGGAACGTCAACCGCGACAGAAGTTTGCCCATGGCGGCCTGCGTCACGTAGAGACGGCTGTACTCGTAGAAGGCAGGCGAGGCACGGCGCTCATCTGAGCTGCGGCAGCTGCACGACGACGGGTTCAGCGCCAATTGCACCGCGGCCAGGACGGAGGCTCGTGTGGTAGGGGCACCGCGTTGCAGTGACGCGGTGTACCCACTGAGGTGCGCCTCACTCAAGAAGCGGGGCAGCGAAGCCATCTCCGTCACGGGAGTCGTTGACTGCAGTACGTCCGCCAGCAGCTCCGCCATGAGCCGCGCACCGTGGGCGCATGACTGAATTACATCCACACCCTCCCAATATACCGCAAATGGATCGCCAGCTGACTCCACGAAAGAGAACAACGGTGGCTGCGATTGCGGTGGCGCCTCGACAAGGGGGACGTAGTGTACACGGGGCGGACACCCGAGTGTGCCACTACCAGCACCACTACCCGCGGTGACGAGCTCTGGGGCATCCTGGTTGCCATATGAAGGAGAACGGCCGGCCATTGAAATTCCATACACGTCTTCCACCTCTACGCCGACCACCACACCTTCTGTGATCTGCATCAGCGCATCGGCGGCCGCATCCTCCATCGTAAATAGGCGGCACGGCTGCAAGCCCCGCCCTACCAGCACCACCGCCTCCCCCCGGGTGACAACACCCTGCATGCGGACGCCTTGGCACAAATACCCGTGCAGCCGACTTGTGCGCAGCAGACCGTGAAGTCCGCCGTCGTTGACCTCTGCCTCCACTACCTGCACCACCGTTGCTACGCCAACGGAGTCCGACGAGTCCCCGCGCAGCGTCAGGGCTCCCAGCGAACGAGAGCACAGCAGGTGCCCGTCCTCCTCAGAGCCGATGTCGCACACCAGAATCAAACGCCCGCCGTTGGCAGTCACAGCACAGGCGAGAGGCGTGCTGGCCAGCGTCGGCGGCGCCACACTAACGGTGCAGTGTTGCGCTAAGATCTCGCCCGCGTGGTCCTGCACCGCGCCATCAAGGTTTGTGGTGGGCGGCAGAGGCGGTAACGACGTCCACAGACAGGGGCGGCCCTCTCCATCGTCGCCGAGGCAGGTGATGACGTGCACGAGCTGCGTGCGGGGGTCTCGCGTCGCCCACTGCGCGGTCGCGCCCGCCGGCAGCGCGTTGATGCGATTCTGCGGGCCCTGCTGCTTCGTCTTGCCGCTCTTGGCAGGTGGGCGAACATCTGCGTAATCCGTCACGGAGCGCAGTGCTGCGTGGGGTAAAACGCCAATGGGGTACTGCGGCGCCAGTTGCAGAGCACCTCCAGCTACATCGTAAATCTCCACCTGACCGTTCCACCGTGTGAGGGCGATAAAGGGGCTCAGCTGGATCGCACTCACAGCGGCGTACAGGCGTCGCTTGATGGTGACGGGGAGGCCGACGTCAGGGAGACTGCCTGCTGCATCACCGCTCAGCAACGCGTCACCGTCGTTGGTGCTGTTGCCTAAAAACCGGCGAATCCACCGCCTGTTAGGAGGTGATGATGATGGGCTCGACGGATCCGGCGCACTTGCGTCGGACATCGACAGCTGAAAAGACGAGTCCGCCGAAGGAGAGGAAAGGCGTTGCAAGTCAGCGGTGATGGTGCGGGTGTCGAGCAGACGCACTTCTTCGTTACCATCGCAGAAGGAGCGGAGGAAGTTGCGGCGGTGCTCGTCGCCCACCTCGCTCACGCTGACGGCGCCGTCGCCGTACAGCTCCGCGCGCCAGAGACGTGCGCCGTCGGTGAGTACAACGAGCGAGATGGTGCGCGCCGACGCGGCCTCCGCCAGCTCCGCCACCACGCAGGCACTGCCTCTGCACCCTGCCGTGCTCGTCGCAAATGCCTCGCTTGGGATGCGGGTCAGCGGCGCACACTCCACGATTTGCTCGTCCGGCACAAGGAGGAGGCTGCTGTGACCGGTGTTGTCCACGTCTCGCTGCACGGTGATCTGTGCAAAACCGGCCATCAAGCAGTTGCCCGGCTGCCGCAGCCGCTGCGGAGCATCGAGCGCGCTGCCGCCCCCACCCCCCAACACCCACACCACCGCCACTCCATTGTCGTACATGTAGTTTCGCGTCACCCCGCACGTCACCACCTCGCTCGGGTGCTTGGCGGGCACCTCGATGGAGAGGAGACGAGACTGACACGCTCGTGCAGCCTGGCTGCTTTCGCCGTCGTTCACCACGAGAAGCTGGACCACGCCGGCGTCCGTGTCCAGCCACCACAGCAGCGACGCCCGCAGCGAGGGGAGGGCGACTTCACCGCGGCAGCTAAACGCGCATCGGTGCGACAGCGCGAGGATTTCGCTGCTGGCGTGTTGGGACGCTGTAGCGCCGTGGGCTGACGTCGCCCCGGTCGTCTGTGGTGTGCGACGAATGCGAAACGCGGTTGCGACCCGCGACTCGTCGAAGAAAAGCGTTCCAAACATTATTGTAGCTTGCGTGGGTGCGCGCTTCAGGTTTCGCGCTGTTGTTGCCTTCCGGCTTTTGTGCGGGCGGGTGTGTGTGCTACGGGGGGACTGTAGTAATTATTATTATTTCCGTTGAATCTGTGCTATATTGATTCTGTTCTCGACTTCACAGTTCTCTTTGCCTACCACTTCTCCGGACAATTGTATGACAAACGTGAGGAGAAGTTGATGGGAGCATTTGGGAATATTGAACGAGAAAAAAAAAAGTAACAAGGAAATGTGCGAAACAACAAAAAGAAGCGAGTGTTTGTGGGTATGAAGCACGAATAACGTGAGCGAAGTACAAGTTCGTTATGCAGCGCTGCGTTCTCTGTCAAGCTATGCATCCAAACAGCAAGGGCTCTTGTCTGAGTTTCACTCACACTAGCAACCACTTTCACAGAGGTCAAAGCTATGATGAGAGCGTCGGACATCAAGGTTGATAGGTGGAGGGCGCCTTTCCTCCCCCGTCACGCAGAATCAAACAACGGGCAGAAAACGTACTCGTACACAAAAACGTTCACGAAAGTCGAGTTTTGTGTTGCACCGTGAATGATCCTTTGCGATCCCCGTCCTCACCTATATGTCTTTCCACATAAATCGACGGTTTACATCCCGAATGAGGGAGTTTTTGTTGTCCTTGTTTCTTCATTTTTGGGGGAGTTCTGTGCAAACGTTCGCCATTTTACATGGAGGTACAAAAAAGAAAAAGCATCTCTTGACAGAAACACATGAGGGGTTTCAACACAGAATGCACATGAAAACAAATAAATGAGAAAATTTGTACATCAGAGACAGTAAGGAAACGCACAGAGGAAAAACACAAGAGCGGCATTAACGAAAAATCCAAAACAGTGTTGACCGCCACGCAAGTGAAGGAGCTGGCGAAGCCACACCGTACACTGCGCTGAAAATCCGGGAAATCCGAAGTTGTCACGGGAAACACCTCGCCGGTTTCTCGTTCTTTTTAATCCTGGCGCAGCCGTCTTGCCAATCGCAGCAAAAGAAAGAAAAAAAAGAGACCACTAAGGAACAGCGTTCACACTGCCCACAACAGTACTTCGAGGTTAAACCTCACCATTGCTGCTCGACGTGGCCGTGGCACCTTGACTCTGCGCCGCGCGGAGCTCGTCTGCCTGGCGCCGCTGCACCACGCTACCAAACGCTCCTGAGCCTGCGCTCTCTACGAGAACTGCCATGCCGCTATTATCCGTCTTCATGTTGCATGCGTGCTTCAGCAGCAGCGTGCCCGTCTTGTTGCGCACGATGTTCTGCTGCGACTCCATGGACCGGCGAACATTGATGTAGCGCTGGAGCAGCACATCCAGCTCCTGCTTCCGGTAGCGCTCGAGGTAGAGGCGACGACTCTCGACCTTTGTGCGCAGCGCGAGAAGTTCCTGCTGGTGTCGGTGACGCAGCGCGTGCTCCCGACGCTCAAACGACTCCTGGCGCGCGCCTTCGTAGCGTTCCATATCCGCAATTTCAATCGCGTCCGCCTTCTCCTTCTGCGTCTGCGCCCCAATGTAGTCGCGCTGCCGGGCGAGAACCTTCTGCTTCGCGCGGGACTCAAGCAGCGATCGGCTATACTTGAGCAGCCGCGGCTGGTAGTCGCGCATGTCCTCCTGAAACTGAATCAGCTCGTTGTTCTGGCGCTCCAGGAGCGAAATCTCGGCCTCCAGCTGCTCCTCCTCAAAGGCGTCAATGCGCGCGTTCCACGAATGGTGAAACTCGCGGAACTCCTCGCGGTGCGCCTCCTCCAGCACCCGCCGCTCCTCCATCTGCTGTTCCGTGATGCCGCGCACGTGCCGGCTCTCCTCATTCAGGCGAAGGTTGCGCAGCACCTGCTGGACAAGGAAGGCCTCGTGGTACATTGCCCGCTCCTGGCAGGCGGAGCGGTAGGACTGGAGGACGTCCACATACTCACCCAAGCGCGACTCGATGCTCCCCTCGCCGGCAGAGATGTTCTCCAGTGCCACACGGGCCCGCCGCTCCACCTCGTCAAACGCCTCATCGCGTGGGCGACTTAACGCGTCGCTCTGAGTGTCGGAGGGCGACGGCTGCCCGTCTTCCGCGTGGTCAGCGCCGTTGTCGCCGTCGGCATTGGAGTCGCTTCGCTGGTTTTCTTCGTCGGCGGAGGAAGGCGTGTCATTGGGGTTTTGCGGATCGGGGGCAGGAGAGTTCTTCGTCGCGTCGCGCGTGTACGGCGCGAGTGCGTTCATCGCCGGGCGGGACGACGTCGAAGACTCATCCCTCGATGTCGATGAGCTCGAGGACGAGGACATTATTTGAGAAAGAACTGCAGAGGTCAGAGAGCAAGGGAAAAAAGAGAATACAATGGATATGCTCCCTTCGCTTTCTATTACAAGTATTGGAGGCCAGTGTGGCTGCGGGCTCTCAACGGCTCTCTCTGTCTCTCCAGAGCGGGGAAAAGGTGACGGTGCGTGATCGGAAGTCAGGTTTGACTGATGGACGTGATGCCGCTGCGTCGGGTACAATCGCGGCATGAATACCAAATCGCAAGTGGTCAGTGGCATGTACGCACGTTTAACAAAAGAAAAATGGAGGGTGAAGAACAAGGCGATGCGAAAATGAGTGGGTGAGGCATTAAAGTCGAGGCAGGGTGCGAGGAAGAGGGGGTGAGAGGTCTTGTTTAGCATGCTGCGTTACTCTCCTCAACTCAGAAAAAAAAAACCCGCTTCCCCTCTCAGCTGTTTTGCGGAGAAACGCTGCCTTACTGGCTAACAATAATGAAGTGCAGAAGACGGCGTGATTGTGCGACACAGAAAAGCCCCCTACTAAAACGAAAGCCAACTCATGCAGGAGGACGCATGTGTCTCACGACGTTGAAGAAACGGCTTCGTTTGTATTGTCTTTTCTAGACAGCGTACTTGCCGTTTTGCCTCGTTCTTGTTATTGTTTTTTGAGGGGTAGTTGAGACGTTCGTAGGAGCTCCACACACAAAGAGAGAAAGCAAATCAACATCAGAATCACAATAAACAGATGAACAAAAGTTACGTTTCATGTATATATGTACAAGGCAAAGCAGAACGGGAAAAAGTGGGTCAAATTTTGACGCGGTAAAAGGGAAAAGAAAAGAGAACACATCAAAAGCGATACCGAACAATAAAGCACCGACGCATGACGCCTCCTGCATGTGTGTGTGTATTGCTTGTGGGTTTTACTAAGACTATCGCGCTCTTCTTCTCAATTCTACCTTTGCTTCAGCAACAAAAAAAAAAGCAGCACATCGTCCTCACAAAAAGGCCGCATATGTCGTAGGGAGAACAAACCACTTCTCCTACATTCTTTTATGCATTTGGTGCTTTGTTATTTTTGTTGTTGTTTTGGCACATTTGATAGAGAACGACGACTGCGTCAAGGAGACGTCAGATTCTTTCTTTTCGGGTGTGAGTACAACAACAACAGAAAAAAAAAAAGACAGTAACGAGCAAACGGTGTCTCATGAAGTGTAGAGGAACAAGACCATCATGGGAAAAAATGAGAAGCAAAGGAAGCGTGCGTGAAAAGGGAGGTGATGAGAATGGATCGAGAGGTCAAGTACAGGAAGAAAAGGAAAAAAAAGAAATCAAGAACAAATATCTTTCAATTTGTTGAACTTCGTTTCGTACGCCTTTGTAAAGAAGAAAAAATCTGTTTTTAAATCTCTTTTTTTTTCCAACAATCCCAGTACGCTCATCGGTATCTTTGCTGTTCCTCTCGTCGAGTACGCCATGATGCTGCCCTCATGCATTAGCGGACAAGCAGTGGCACCCTCAACGCCCGGAATCTTTCTGCTCATGCGTTTCAGGATTTCGACATAGAAAAGGAAAACTTATTCCAATCGGTCCATTTGTTTGCTTGAAAAATAAATACATACCGTTGCTCTGACGCTTTTTTTTTTTGCATTTGCCTTTTAGAACTTTCGCCGCCGTTGTGGATCAAAAGAAACAAGAAAGGGAACAACCAAGTACACCGGAAGAAGAAACCAAAACAGTGAACGATACGCTTTGTGTGGGCATTCACGAACTCATAAAACCTTTTTTTTAAGTTTTCGGGTTTTTTTTTTAAACAAGCTTGGAGCAAAAAAGGAGAGAAAAACGAAGATGGTGGCCTTTTTTAATCGGTGGAAAGAAAACACTTAAATCTTAGAAAGAGAACGTAAAAGTCTGTTATGGATGTGAGTGGCGTTTAAGCAGCGTGCTGCAGGCCACCCTGAATGGCGGGTTGTCGCACACACAGGAGGATCTGCTTCCTTACGCCTCTCGACAGAGGGGAACACACTTCACCTTGATTCCCACTCGTGCGTCCTCTTCTATTCGCTATGTAGGCTCCTCCGACGCACCTGTACTGAATGCTACTAGAAGAAAAGGGAAAAGATGTAACTAAAAAGAAAGCCAAAACAAGTGAGAAACAAAGGCACTTCAAATAACACAAGCATGAACGTATCTGCTCTGGGAGTACCGTTGTAAACAATTTCTGATCAAACTAACAATAACAAAAAGGAGACCGATTCCTCTGAGTGACAGAGTCCATCACAGCTAAGATAACGCTTAAGCGCCGCCCGCAGTGTACCTCACACTCTGGGTAAAAAACAATTGTAGTTTTTAACATAGGAAACAGAGAGGAAGAAAGATAGAAGTCCATAGAATAATAGATATAGAGAGAGAGAGAGAGAAGAAGATAAAGCAATGAAAAGGTTAAAATGTAACCTTTGTGAGGAAAAAAAAAACTTCTCTCAACACGTCAACGCGTATTCGCATTCTTTGCTTTGCGTGGATGGTCAGACAGCCTTGTAACGTTTCTGTGCATGTGTGTGTTTTTTCTTCGAGAAAGGCGAGGTCTGCTACACTTCATCCCCATCCTTTATGATCCATCTCGGGTTGATGGAGGTCATGTGTGTGAGAGATGAATGGTGCGCTTCCAGGAATAACACTAAAATGCAAAGTGAATCAGATAGTCCACTAAAGCAACAGAAGAGCAACTGCTACTTGAAACTCATATATAGAGAAAGAGAGAAGAAAAAAACAGAGCAGCAATATTTTTTTTTTTAGTATCCTAGAGGGAAAACACAAACAACTAAATAGGAAGCAATAGTAAATGAAACAAAACAAAAATAGGTGCAAGAAAAAAGGGCGTAAGATAGAGAGAAAAGAAAGCAGCCCTCCCATTTCCCCTTCCGCTGTCATTTCCTTTTTTTTTTAAGAAGACTTCTAACAAAAACAGTAGTCCGATGAGAAAGATACGCTGCCAATGGAGTTGAGAAAAAAAAAAACGAGGGTTTTTAAAGAGATGGAGAAACATCTCATGATATATTTATCTGAAAAAAGGAAGAAAAAGAGTTCTCGACGAAGTATTTGCGTAGTTAAGACAAAGAAGGTGGAAATAGACTCTTTTAAATAATAAATCAGCTCTATGCCAACACACGGATATTCTGGAAAAAAGAAAAAAAAGGGGGAAAAAAAAGTAACATCACTGAAAGGGGGAAAAAACGAATTGGTGATGCACAGTGCGAGATCGAGCGAAAGAAAAAGTGTCCTTTTCCTTTCTTTCTGCGTGTATGTGCGAGCGCTATAAGATTAACAAAAAAAAAGAGAGCCAGAGAAGGGAGAGTCGAGAAAGGCGAGAAACCAAAAAAACAACACAAAAAGAAGACAGAGGCTTTCAGTTGTGTCCGCAGGGCATCTTTTTCATTGATTTTTCTTTTTCTCCCTTCCATCTCCTTTAGCTGTTTCTTTTTATCTTTCGTTGCAGTCGCCTCTTCCGTGAAGGCGATGGTATCTGTATGCATGTGTGCGTGTGTGCGTGTGTGTGAGAGAGGGTATTTGCGCACTTTCGTTTGCTTTTGGGGGAGATATGTCGTAGTCAAGTTTCTTCTTGAAACAATTAATAAGGCGCGCTGCCGTAATTGCTCACGCTAATCGACAGCCTGCCTCTCCCTTTGAGTTAGAAACGGGTTTCAATCAAAGAAAAAGAGGTGTGAAAGGAGGCCGGAAAGACGGGGAGGAGGAGGAAAAAAAGAAAGAGGCATCCAATCGAAAAATGCTGTGACGCGAAGGCCGCACATACACGTCACTGTGGAAAAGAGCGAGAAACATAAAAAAAGAGGGCGTTAAAAAAAAAGAAGAAAAAAAAAGTAACATTTACAGAACAAATCGGGCAAGAATAAAACATGAAGTAGAGGAAAAGAAAACGAGTCCAAATAAAACAGTTTAAACCTGGGGAAAAAAGAAGAGGAGTTTGTTTGACGATCAAGGAAAGCAAAACGAAAAGTGAAAGAGAATACAAAGTAATAAAAATAGCTGAAGAAGAGAAGTCATAAGACAGTGGAAGGCAGAGTTGAAGAGTAGGGAGACAAATTATCGCAAACAAGAAAAAAAAAGTGTACCATTACAGCAAAAAAAAAGGAGGTTTGCTCATTCTCCGAAATCGACTTGGAAGTATGCATCACTTATTTCTCTGTGTTGTGTGTGTATATATATATAACAGTGGTAAAGCTCTTCCGTGTAGAGGCTTATGAAAAATACGGAAGAATACTTATAAAAAAAAAGGTTGAAAGCAGAGAAAGTTGAACTGACGAGGGAAGATAGAACAGAAAAAAATGTGGTTTTGAAATTGCATTTTCATTGCGAGGGTACCATTAGTATCGTGAACAGTAGCACAAACAGAAAAAAGAGGGTAAGGAACAAAAAAAAAAAGAGAAGGCACCGAAAGGTGTTTACATCGGTGAAGAACACACAGTCTGTTTTACGACACCAACGGGGAGGGCGAAGTAATAGGAAAAAGAAAAACTTCAACCCCCCACCAATGGTGTGTGTGTGTGTGTGTGTGTGTGTGTGTGGATAGCGACTGCGTATTACGTGCAACACAATAAAATGAAATGAAATGAAAGAGAGAGCGGTAGAAAGGAAAGGAAAAAAAAATGCACCTTTTCACTCACTAGTGCTAGTCGAACAACGTAAAGAAGAATGAGAAAAAGAGAAAACAATTAAAAAACAAAAAAATATACCTGCGTTTTCAAGCAAGAAAAAAGCTTCACAGAATAAAAAAAAGGAAGTAGCGCATTACTGCTTGAAACACGACATTGGCGGAAAATGTGTGTTCACGTGTGTGTGCGTGTGTGAGCTTACCATGCCACTCAAACGCGAAAAGGGGGATACGTAAGTGCCTTTTAGCGTGCTAACGAGGACACGTATTCACCGCACACAGCAACAGGCACACACGGCGACTTCACTCGACAAGGTTGATTTTCATGCAAAGTATGCAAAGAGGAACAAGGAAAACGAAAAAGGAATGACAACGTTACCAGGTCAACAGAAGTGGGAAAACAGAATGGAAAAAGCCTCTGTTTGCGCCAAAAGTATCTTCTCTTTTCTCTTTTCGACGCGCGAAAGCTGGAAGTGTGCGCCGTGCTAGATTGAAGCGAGGCAGGTTTGTCTTGTACGTCAGGTCACAAGGAATAGCGGGAAAGGCTGAGAGAGTTTGAGGCATCCCTTCTCCGCATCACAAACGACGAGAGAAGGAAAAAGAAGGACAAGACTGAAACGCGTGTAAAAGCTCAGGTCGTGGCTCTCATGACGGATTGTTCTGCTTCAAAGAGCGTGTATAGATGGTGCACAAGTCCAACGAAGAAACGCAGCGCTGGGGTGCGCAAAAACCGCATGCTACACGAGAAAAAGAGCCGGAGATACAACAATGAATGTACAAGAGTGAAAATCTTTGGCGCGAGTGAAGAACGTCATACAATGTCAAAATAAAATAAAAACAACGCATCAGTTTGAAAGCATAAAAAGCACAGTCGGAGTAAACAAGAAAAAAAGAAACGAGAACAGCATACGCAATTGAGCACACAAGCACAAGCATACGAATCAAACCTCTCCAAATAGCTCTGGATGCTAATGAAATTGGGGGAAAGAAAAAAATGACGGGAAACCAATCAAAGCAGAAAAAAAAAGAGCAAAGGCATTTCAACGTCCATGAGAAATTGCTGAGGGATATCGGGAAAGAAAAATGATTTTGATACTTATCACCGTTTCATATTTGCATCCAAACACACACATCATAAGGAGAAGAGGCGGAGTAAAAATAGGGCGTGCAGGTGGGAGAAAAACATCACTTCAACTCATCTCTAACAGAGGCCGTACCGGTTGGTCTTGAGATATCCCGCGTTGCTTTTTCCTCTGTAATCATCGTGTGTGCGTCGAGTTTACTCGGCCGTATAGCAGATCAACGTACAGGCAATTTAACCAATGTTCCCGTGAAGCCTGGTACATGAGAGAACGAAAAATAGCGTCCAAGAACAAAGACACAAATTTAATTGAAAAAAAAAAACAAAGCGTTACACTCAGTTCAAATAATAATAATAATAATAATAATAAACGCCGTGAGGAAAAGAAAACAATATCTTCAACGCCAGCGTTTGCTTTTGTCGTCACCGGCGTCATTGTTTTTTTTGTTTGTGTGTGTGTGTGTGTAGTTTCGCGTACCTTTCTTTCATCTCCTCCTTCCGATACCATTCTTTTTCTTTTTAAAAACAAAAATGTGATGACGCAGAGCTGTGCGTTTCCCTCACACGGTTGTGCAGGATCGCCACTGAGTTTGTGCCTGGCCAATAGATATCTCTTTTTAGATTATTTATGGAACAGAGAAAAAAGCAAAAGAGCGAGTAAGAGACAAGAAACAGAGAGGCAGCATTCGATGGAAAGCACTGCAGTAGCTTTCTTTCTTTTTTCCTCATCTTGAGTGGAAAAGCAAAAGAAAAGCTGTTGCAGCTTCGGGTCGCACGGTGGGATTACATACCTACATGAAATAGGAAAAACTCCATATCATTTGTGAGCAAAGGTACGACGGAGGGAAAAGAAAAAAAGAAAAAGTACAACATATCGACGAGCAAGGCACTTGCAGCAAAGAAAAGAAAAGAAAGGAAAGGAAAGATGTAAACGTGGACGTAAAGAGATGCCGTAGAAAACGGATAAAACAAATAACAAACACGAAACATTACAGCCGAAGAAACGCGCATAAGACTCAAATTTTAAAGGCGCAAAAACAAACAGAAAAGAGTTTTTCTTACAAACAGAAATGAAAAGTATCGACGGATACATCAAGCCGCGTTACTCAGAACAACTTCATCATCAATGAGTAAGATAACTGTATCATATAAAACAAAAAAAGAGCACATTTAGCGACCATAAACTAAATCTTACTGTTAAAAAATGCCGCGCTAGGGAAAAAAAAAAGAAAAGTAAATTATAATACATATATGTATATGTATATGTTTTGGGATGCGAGAAATGGCACCCGGAAGGAGCAAAACAGTGGGAAAAAGAAAACGTAAAAAGAGCAGAAGGGAAAAGAAAAGAGATAAGTCCAACCAGACGACAGTTTGAAGGCTCGTTTGTAGTTGTTGGTTTCTTCTTTTCACAGGAAAAGTTGTGTGGTAAATCCAGCAAAGAAACAAAGAAAAGAGAAACTAGAAAAGAGGTGGTAAATTATGATTACATATATCTTTTTTTATTTGTGGTGATATTCATTTCATTTTTTTTTTCGAGCATCAACTCATTTTTTCTGCGCTTTTCGTTCGGCTTCTCTCGCTTCGAAAAGAGAGAAAAAAAAAAAGCAGCGAGAGTATGGGATGGAGCGAGGAACAGAAACACCGGAAAGAGGAACAAAGAAGTGGAGAAGAGGTCGAATTTCGTTGTCACCGCACGCGCTCGGGCGAAATTTAAAACACAGAAACGAAAAGTAAAAGAAACGAAACAGAGGACTATTGAAAAATGAAAAAGAGTGGAAGACAAAGAGCGCGGTAAAGAACAGCAACAGAGTTAAGGTGAGAGGGAGGTGAAAGGAGAAAAAAAAGGAGTAGAAGAGAGTCGTGGGCGGTCAAAGTACAAATAACATGACTTCACCGTCTGAAGCTCTAAATTTATTTAAAAAGGACGAACAAAAGCACGTAAGGAAACATGGGAAAATGAAAATGAACAGAAAGGGAGAAAAATGAGGAAAGAGAAACTTTACGATGCTTCTGACTCACCACACGACATCTTTCCTGTTTCGAATTTCATTCTCATCCACTTACGGCGAAATCACAGTGGCGCACGAGGGGTGCTGCTGGAAGTGGCACAGCACGTACGACGACATCCCGCCTGGGGCGGTATCCGTGTGGTAGCCACTGACGTATGGCATCGCGCCGTTGGTGGCCAGCATGTACGACGGCGCCCCCAGTGACTGCATCGAGCTCATCTCATTTCCGCCGCTCATGCCGGGCATCGCCACAGGCGAAAATCCCAGCGGCACGTGCACCTGCGAGAAGGCTGTCGGCGAGGAGAAGGAGGGCGACATGCTCACGGCGGTTGGCTGCGGAAGCGAACCGGTCGAGGCGGGTGAGTTGTACACACCGGTGCTGGAAGATGAGAGGCCGAGAGGCATGCAGGTTTGCGCACTGTTGTCATTTGAGACATGGGCGATGGGCGTGTACATGGGCAATGCGTGTGCCATGACGGGTGCAGCTGCGGCGAATATTGCCGGGTTGTGCGCATTCGCGTAGGCGCCGAAGGCCGGCGGGGGCTGCTGGTGCGGCGCCATGCCCACGGAGGAGCTGTTCATGTCCAGCCCCGGCGCCATGGAGTCCATCTGCGACGCTGTGTAGGGCACGGTGGACCCGGCGGCGGTGTGAAGCATGAAGGGGCTCACAGGCGAGCAGCCCATCTGCAAGCTCACCGGAGAGGCGGCCATCATGACGGGGTGCGCCATGGGCATGGAGGCCATCACGCACGGCACCTGCTGCGGCATGGCAGACTGCGTCCCAAGGCACACCACCGGCGTCGCGGTGAACGGGCACGGCGTCGCGTTGCAGCACTGCAGGGCGCTCAGGAAGGGGTGCTGCTGGGCCTGCGTGCAGCTCAGCCGCTGCGTCTCGTCCGGGTTCAGCAGCTCACAGATCAGGTCGATCAGCAGCTCGCGCTCTTCAGAGGTGCCGTCGACGTCGGACTCGTCAAAGGGGTTGCCGTTCGCGACGGCGTCGTCGTCGTCGGTGGAGCTGCTGCTGTCGGCCGTGTAGCGCGAGCGGGGGTTGCGCAGCGGTGGGATGGCGTCCTGTTGCTTCTGCAGTTGGTGCTTGCGCCACCGCTGCAGCCCCGCCTCGCGCCACGACCGCACCCACTGCCGCACGTGCTCGCGACGGCTTTCCGCCGTTACGTGCAACATCGGCAGATTGTACTGGCAGGCCAGGCATCCCATGGAGAGGGCCGTCTGCGAGGGGTAGCCGACGTGCTGGACGATGAGAGAGAGCTGCTGCTGCGGGTTCTCGCCGGGGAAGAAGGGCTTGCCGGTGAAGAGCTCAAAGAGCACGCAGCCGACGCTCCACGAGTCGATGGCGGTTGTGTAGGGTAGCCCGCACAGCACCTCCGGCGCGCGGTACCACAGGGACTGAACATCGTAGTACGTGTTTTCGTGGAAGCGGCGCACCGCCCCGAAGTCGATGAGGCAGGTGCGGCAGTAAGGACTGAAGGCGATGCTACTGCGCCGCCGCTCCGCCTCCTCTTCACTGGGCGCGGGGAAGTTGCGCTCCACTCGACTGTCGTTGCGCATGCCGTTGCTGCTGCTGTTGTTATTGTTTGACGTCGGCGAGGTGCCGAAGAGGGCATCGAAGCTGCTGCTGCCGTTGCGCGCGGCGTTGCCGTTGCTGCTCCGCCCCATCGTCTTGGGCCCGTAGCGCTGCGAAAAGCCGAAGTTCAACTCGCTTTCGAAGAAGGCTGCGGAGTGCGAGCTGCCCGCCGCCGCGTCGATGGCGCTCGAGTTGCGCCACAGTTGGTTGTTGAGGTTGCTGTTTGAGTCCACCATCATCATCTCCTGCCCAGGGGCAAAGGTGTGGGTGTTGCTGGGCAGCTCACCGCTGCGGTTGGAGCAGCCGCTGTTGTTGAAGCCGTCGCCGTTGAAAGGGTGGAGTGCGGGCGAGTTGTCCGAGCTGGTGGACTCGTGGCAGCGCAGCATGATGTTCTCGGGCTTGATGTCGCAGTGAATAAAGCCGGTGTTGTGCAGGGCGGCCAGGGCGCCCAAGACGTGCTTCGCCACCTGGCGCACCTCGCTCAGCGAGAGGGGGCCAAAGCCACGGTTCCGCAGCACCTCGAAGAGGTTGCGGTCCAGCAGCTCCGAGACGATGCAGACGTGGCCATCATCCTCGAAGGAGTCCAAAATGTTGACGGAGTCGTGGTTTTCCTTCAGCGCTACGAGCGCGCTGATCTCGTTAAGTGCGGAGCGGCGGTAGGCGGCGTCGCTCTGTGCCACCTTCACAGCCACCTCCTTGCCTGTCATGGTGTCGTAGCACCTAATCACCTGACCGTAGGTGCCCGTGCCAAGCACCTTGCTGGGGACGTAGCGTCCCTTCTGGTAAGACGCAGGAATGCGGTACGACTTCATCCTTCACACGTTGAAAAACAGCAATAAAAACAAGATAGATGTGAAAAACGGGAAGAAAAACACACAGGTAGAGCTCCGCACCACTAGACTGCTTCTTTAAACAAAACAAAAAAGCAAGACCACGAAACTACGTGATGGTGGTGGAAGGGGGGAGGGGACGAAAAAAATCTTTTCTTTTCTTTGTTCTATTGGAACTTGATCAGCAAGAACGATCCTTTTCAACAACTACGCAGAGTTTTTTGGTGGTTTTTTTGGTTTGTCCGTTTTCGGACACTTGTTCTGCTGTGGACTCCCTAACAACACCGATTGTCAAGAAAAAAGAAGGCTTTTGCTAGCACCTTTTCTAAATGACAATGAAGGTCGGATGAAGAGAGACGACTAGCAGAACGAAAAGAGAAGGGTATGTAAAGCCGTTGAGCTTCACAAAACGAAAAGCAAAACGTATTGAAACACAGCTTCTCTTGGCCGAATCGAAGAGAACAGCTTTTTAAATGCCACCAAGCTGTGTGGTCAAGTAGCTGTTGTTCTCTTCGCGAAGTTCCTTACAACGGTGCAACTTTGATTTACCTATTCAACGGTTTGACAAAAAAGAAGAAGAAAAATTAAGCCAAAGACAGTCTTTTTGTTGTTGTTAACGGGAAATTAGCGTAAAACAGCAAAGAAGCACAGAAACGAAAGAGTGGAAATCAAAGGCGAAAAGAACGCGCAGAAAACAAAACAGAAAAAAGATCGAAAACTGAGATGTATGTAAAGCCGAAAATAGTCTGATTGATATCCAAGTACAGCGTAACGATCAAATGACAAGGAGATACAAGGTAAAGACTATTTTTAAAGTTCTCACCTGAAGGTTGACACAAAAAAAAACAAAAGAGGTAAGATAATCGATCCCTTTCGCCCCTACCTCTTTCCTGTTAACCTGAAAAGATCAAGCTTCACTAAAACTGATGAAAGTGGATGAACCAAAGAGAAGCAAAAGAAAAAAAAGAGAGCGACTTAGTCAAACAAAGAGAGAAAAATAAAGCGTAGGGAATCCAAGTGAATCCACGAGGGGAAAAACAAGAGAAAGAGGAATTGAAATCGATCTACACCTTCGACGTAGGCTTGTGTATGCAGGTGTGGAGAGAGCACTACTCAAGTTGAGAGAGGAATTGGAATGTGCAACGACGATACAGTAAAAGGAGAATTACTCGAGAAAAAAAAACCGGCAGCCCTTCTCAATCAGTAAATAGATAAATAAAGAAATAAAAGAAAGTCCTGAAAGAGGAAACCAGAGAAACAAACGTGTGACAAATACACACACCGGAAAAATGAAAAGAAGGGGAAAAAAGCAGTACTCAAAGGAGTACGCAAAGGAGTAAACAGAAATATATATATCACTCTACTTCTACTATGCGAGAAAAGAAAGGCGTTTTCCAGACTTTTTGTCGATCTTGTCGCCACAGGGATTTGCCAGTTTCACCCTTGACGAAAACGTAAAGCTGGAGTGTGAAGTGGAAGAAAAAGAAAACCACTTTTTCTCGTCTGCCTTCGCTCTTCAATTCTTTTCCTGCGAGGAAGAAAAAGAATAGAAAAAAAGGTATCTTCAGCCTTTCAGCTTCACCTAGAAAGAACTGGAGTTGGGATAGTCAATGTAGGTGTGACTACAAATACGTCTACGTTCGTGGGTAAGCAGGGAATAGTTTCCTCGTGCGGTGTGTGTTTTTGTCTTTTGGAAATACTATATGGCTTCTTCAGGACAACGCAGTATCCCAAAGACACACGGGGAAAAAAACAGAAATACGGGAATGTAAACGAGGAGAAGTGAAAAACAAAACCAAACAAAAAGAAGAAGAGAGAGTGAGAGGTAGTTTAGGAAATGAAAAAGAAAGAAAGGCGTTGACGTATTGAGCGCGCAATTCTAGAAATACCTCTCTCTGAATGCCCTGACAGAAAAGAAAAGAGGGGGGGGGCTATACAGAGATGTCGAGGAGATAGTCGCACCTAAGAAAGACGAAAGTTGGGGCAGAAATAAAACTTCAAAATCAGTGAACGAGAAAAAAAAACGGAAAGAAAAAGAGAGAAAAAGGTGACGTGAGAAGTGTAAACGAATCAGAGTGGAAGCTTGCTTTAACTTAAGGGAGGCAAATCGAAGACGAAAGCAAGATGTAGAGAAAAGAAAAAAAGAGCAAAATGATGAAGAAAAATCAAAACGTCAAGCAAAAGAGAGAAGAGAGAAGAGAAAAAAAGACGGAAGAGAAGAAAGAAAACAAAGCTAGGAAAGAATAACGAATCTGAAACTAAAACTAGAACAAAAAGAAGAAATGAAAGACTTGAATAGAAAAAAAAAAAGCGAGCGAAAACAAAAAAAGAGAGGTGATAATAGATTATTATCGAGTTGCAAGGGGAAAACAAAAGAAAGACTGAGGCGCCAATAATAGTAGTAATAATGCGAAAAATCGAGAACTGCTTTGGGAGCCACGAAAAACTAAAACGTCAATATGAAATGTTGCTTCCCTTGTGTGCGAAGATAGCTTCTCCTACTTGTTCTTCACGAGCCCTCGCGTGCCTGCTGGCCTTTCTCAGTCGCTCCTTTTTCTTCTACTGATGTTGTCGAAGTACAAAAAGAAGTGGAAGAGAGAGGGCAAACCAAGACGCAAACGAACAAGGTGGGTATCGAAGAAAAAAGGCGGGAGAGGAGAGCTCGCACGGCAAGACACCAACCGAAGTGGAATCGGTTCAGACGGCGATGTGTGTCTTGAAGCTTCCTGACAGTTTTGTGTTGCGTTTCAATCGGAGCGTTCGTCTTCTTCTTGTTATAAAAAGATAGATATAGAGACAGATAGATAACGGTAAGCTATCGCGCGAAACTATCTTCAGTATTTCACGCACAGGTAAACGTTGAATTTCGGAAACAAAATTCTTTTGTGGGTGTGTGTGTATGTATATATGATATCGTTCGGAGTGTGTGCTTGCTTAATGATATCACAGGAAAAAAGAGTCACTGATAGCTGTGACAACAAAAGCAAGCGCTTCTTCTTGTTCTTCTCCTTTCTCTCAGTGCATAAAAAAAAGAGAGAGAAAGAAACGTTTAAGGAAAAGGATCACGGCTCTGCAAAACAGATCGTCAATTCCTAACACGGGCGTGTGAAAAGGCAAGGCGTCTCTCCGAAGAAGAAACGCCGTTCCCGGGGCAAACGCGGCGCTCTAGTGTATCGATATGAGTGAATTGCGTAGCAGAATCCTTCTGAACTGCGTATCTTTTTTGCTTGCCTTCTTCTTCTACTGCTTTCCAAAGAAGGAGAAAACAGAAAACAAAAGAGATGCAAGCTAATAAGGATTCAAATCAACGAGATCTCCTTTTCGCTTTTTGTCTTTTGATGAGAGAAAAGAAAAAGAAGAAAGAGAAGAATCTTTTTCCCGTGGTGCGGACAATTTGAGAAGTACCTGATCGATGGCTTTTAAAAAAACGGTTGTTGGTATGTAACGCAAAGCTGTGTAAGACCGCGAGGAAATACAGTGCCTTGTTCTTTGATTGTGGTAATGAGAATTTCAGTAAAGCAGACTCCTTTTCGGTGTCTTAGCGGTGGGTACTGAATAGAAAATGTTAATGTTATGCGTTTACAGCCGGTGATAATAGGTTCATATCCAAGACACGTGTTATTAAGGAAAAAGACTGTTTGGGATGGGAGAATGCATCAAGAGCAAAGTGCACAACAGAGTGTAGCGAGTCGTAAAGGTGTGAAAAAAAAAAACAAAGAAAAGCAGTTCAGGAGTTGGAGTTGAGAACAGAAAGAGAATTAAAAAGAGGACAGACAATAAACAATAGCGAAGTGTCAATGGCATCCCCAAAGACAAGCGAATATTCATTTTGTTTTCTGTTATCGCTGTGCTCGGTTGTTGCTTTCTTTTCCAGTTGAGTAAACATGGTAGCGGCTGAACGAGAAAGAAAACTCGTAAAGCAATAGGTGGCCATTAGCGAGTCGCTCACCACTTTTGAGAGGGCGCAGTGGATAGAAAAAAAAGGAGCCGTTAGCAACAATGATGATTCGTGAGAGCGTTCACTTAACAGAGGAATGTAATACCTGAGGAAGTCAGAGGAAATCAATAATAATGATCACCACACCCGTCCTTCTGCAGTCCGTTTTACAACTTAAAGGACTGCGCTGCGGGCAATACTGGCTACTCAGGCAAGAGATTAAGTCGAGATAACTTTCAGAGCAGCCGTTTCCACAATCAGTTGCATGTCAATACGCCACAAAGCCACAGTTCCATCCTTGCTTGCGGACGCAAACACATACACAAGCTCCTCGTCTCCGTCCGCGTGATCTGGCGTGAAAGTGTTTTGTTTGCGATCAGCGCAGGTGAACGAGACGGCGGATCCGTTTTCATCGTGGCCGCAATCAATCGAAGAGGATGCGCCTTCGCTGCCACCCTGAGTGCCCGCAAGTGCCAAGAACGCGGGCGTTGCCGCATAGCAGCGTGGCTGACGGGCGTCAAAGCCGAAGGCCGCTACGCGTGCAACGGCCGACGGTGTCATGCGGACCTCGTTAATCGTTTCCTGTTGGTAGCTCAAAATGCTCACGAGTCGCCCGTCGCGGGCGTCGTAGAGCCGCAACGTGCTGTCCCAACAACCTGTGACGACTAGATTCGCTTGCATGCACACGCTGCCGATCCCTTTGCGAAGCGTGACACTCCACAGCAGTTGCAGTTGAAGCAGACCGTCCGTCGCACAAGACGGTGCGTCAGAAACGCTCTCGTGTGGCGCGAAGGCAACCTCATAGCAGTGAAGCCCACCCTCAGCAGAGCAGGCCAACACACGCCGCCCGCTCCACCAGCATGCCAAGGCGGACTCGGCAAAGGCACGAACAGCGCATCGCACGCTCGCACACGATGGTGTCACTTTTGCGCGTTGAAAGCCGGCATTGCGTTCAAAAAAATCACCTTCGGCGGCACCTACATCTGTGCAGCCTTCGTTATTTTTCTCAGCTGAGACGCGGAAGCGCGCGAGAGCCACGTGACCGCTTTCAAAGGCTACCGCAAGGTGTTGGCCGTCCGCACACATCGTAAGACGCATGATGATGCCTCCTTTAAAATGCGGACATGCAGAAAAGCTGCAAAGACGCCTTACAGAAAAGCCACATGCTGCCGTCGTCGCAAATGGCGCCACAAAACACAAAAAAGAAGCACGCTCAGTCTTGGTTACGATGGCGTCAGGGGTCACATGGCGGCGGCTTTGGGGCTGATTTTGGCGTTCATCACTCTCGGTCGCAGTATGAATATTTGAGTCGTTTTTCCGCGGAGTCTTGTGCCGTTTTTCTTCACGTTGCTCCTGTGCAGCGGCACGAGCAATTAGCGCGTCCATCGGAGTCATCCCTGTGGTGTCCACTTCTTCAGCATCGTCGCTTTCCTCTTCGCTGTTGTCTGACGTGGAGGTTGCATTTGTCACCACGGAGTCCCCAATCGTGGTTGGCCCACGGTCCTCTGATCGGTAAGGAGCGTTGTCCTGTTTTTCACTCCATTCTAACTCCCATATAGTGATCTCACCGTGCGAGTCATGAGGAACAGCCAGATACGTCCGTGACGATCCGTCGTCGACTGTCGTGACACTTTCCACGGGACAGAAGCCGTGCTGCGGAGCAGTCAGCGCTGCCATGAGTCGCAGAGACGAGGTAGTACTGGCTGAACAAGTGCATGGCAAAGAAATCGACCAGATATACACGCACTGATCGCGGCAATGCGTATAGAAGCAAACGCCAGATGGTGATGTCGCAGGTGGCTGTAGCGATGTCTGGTGAGTCGTGGCCCCAACGACTGGAGAAGAATACGTCGTTGCAGGTGGGCGCGACGAAGTGCGGCGAGTCAGCCGAAAGCGCTGTCGTTGCGGCCCCTCGAATGCGCATTTCGGTGTGTACAGCGCGATAACCGGAGAGGAGTCAGCTGCATCCTTCTCTGCCGTCTTTTCGGACTGTTGCTGTGGTGCTTGGTTCAATGAGAGGTCTTCCGTGGCACGAGGAGCAGCGATACCGTCGTGCAACGCAGAACGTGCTACAGTGATCGGGATGAAGCCAACGGATATCACGCTCCGACTATGTGGGCCTAATGCAGAAAAAAGTGAGTGGAGCGCCGCATCCGGCTTATGACCGGTGGCATCTTTGCTTCGCTTCCCCTCTCGCTTGTCTTTGCTTTTCTGAGCACCATCAAGAAGCTGGCGACGCGCCTCTTCTAAAACAGAGAACGACGCCAGAGGACGACGCGTCAACAAATTCCACAGTACGACAGTGCCATCAACATCCCCGGAGAGAAGCCAGCTGGATTGCTCTCGGTGATACAATCTGGAGGGATAGAAATCACAACAAAGCACCGAGCTGGAATGTTCGGAAAGCACGAACAACGGCGGTATCGTCTTTTCGCCATTATTACTCGACATCCTTCTCTTCCGCTCCGTCGAAAAGCATACCGCCTGTATTAGATGCTTTGTTTTCCGGAAAAGAGAAAAGTATTAGCTAAAGCAGCAACAAGAAGAAAGAATTGCAAACGCCTCTTCGACACCCGGGCATCAAGATAAACCCAATTAGAGGAAAAACTTAATAGGAGAGGGAAAAAAGAAGAGAACGAAAGAATGAAGCGAGAGAAAAACGCATTGGTACCATGAGCTATCAGATTCAGCGCAACCCCATGAGATGTTGTGAACGTCAACCAAATGCAATTACCACTACGCATATCAAACAGCTTCAGCCAGTTTCAAAGGCTAGTAGCACTAGTCACTGCTCGTCTTCAATAACCAGGAAGTAATAACAGTTTTCAAGACCTCCCCTCTTTCTTTTTTATTTTTCCACGAGCGCCAGGGGTTTTCTTTTTTTGCGTGTTAAAATATACATGGAGAGGAAAGGGAAAACTGTATGCTACATTCGGCAGACGTGCTCTGAAAAAGTAGAGATATATAAGCCTGATAAAGCACGGCTGCCGGCATTTTCCTTTCTTTGACGATTTCAATTAAGAAGACCTCTTTACAAAACTAGTTCATCGATAAAAACCAGAAAAAGATCACTGTTTCCATTTTGCTTTTCGCAATAATACTATCAAAAAAAAAAAGAGCGTTATACATACGAATGTTGAAATCAAAAATAAACAGAAAACCGATCTGCTCCAAAATCAGAAAGTAAAGAGAAATAAAAAATTCTTCTGGCGAGGTGGTAGTGAATCTTATAGTTGAGAAAGGCGTAAGTTACATATCGCGATTTCGAGCAGGCATAAATGCCCTATTCCAACAAAAGAGCATCGGCCCGCCTGCAGCTGTCAAGTGCCTCTCTTCCCACAACAGCGGTCTGTGCGGCGTGATAGTCCGTGGATCGAAATTGTGTTTCGTCAGAAATCTCCTCCAGCTTCGCGCTTTGCATGTCGACCTTCGTTCTGTACACTGTTTGATTTACGTGCAGAAGACTGTCAATGTCCTCGACAATTTCGCGAGGTATTGTCGTTCGATCCAGATTCAGACACTGCAGTTGTGGATTGATTTTCAGCGCCAAATACAGCGCCTCGCCTCCGTCGGCCCCAATGTTGTTGCCAGCAAGGTTTAATGCTTCGAGGGTGTGGTTTACTCGCAACACTTCCGCAATGGCTATGCAACCTGCATCTGAAAAAAGGTTGTTGCCGAGATCCAACGACTTCACCTCGCTGCGTTGTCGCAAAACCCCCGCGAGCACGATGATCTCTTCATCTGTCAGTTGATGCTCAGTAGAGCGCCCATTGAGATCGATTTCCTCATCCAGCAGCTCGCCACGTTCGCTGGAGAGAACAAGCAGCTTCAGCTTCTCCGAGCCAAGGTTCATCGCGACGAGTTGCATAACGCGGTCGTGAGTTTCTTTCGTGATTCCATTGCCTGTTAGCAGAACGTTTCGAAGATGGGTCACACGCTCCGCACACGAAACGAGTTCTTTTGCGCCGCGTTCGTCAATTTTGTTGTGAGAGAGATCCAGATGAGAAAGAGTTGGGCACAACTCCACCACCTCGATAACGTAAGGAATGGACGCCGTGGTAATACTGTTGTACGACAGATTCAGTATTCGCACTTGCTTATTCGATATCAAACTGGGGCACAACAATTGAAACATCGCGTCATTGATTGGTCCATCAGCCAGCTGGCTCAGCTCGATGTCTTCCATCACAGCACCGGCGTCCAGAGCCAGAACCGTTTCCTTGAGTATCTTGGGACCACAATTGAGAGCCAGGTTGCGACTCAGCAAAGTGCATCCTTTACCTTGCACGTGTTCGGAGATGTTCACATCAAACAGCGTAGAGTTGAGTTCAACGCCTTTCGCCAGCACCGCTGCTCCCGCGTCCGTAATGTTTGTTTGACGCAAGTCGATGTTGGTGAGTGTCGTATTGTTCGAAAAGCATTTCGCTAATTCGGCTGCGGCGACGTCGTCGATCGGGTTGTTGGACAGGTTTAATCTCATAATCCTGCACGCTTCCGCGGATAAAACCGATGCCAGTTGAGCGCAACCAGCTGCACCAATTTTGTTGCCGCTCACATCGAGTTCATACACAAAAGCCTTGGAATGCAGTGCTGAGCAGATGGAACGCATGCTTTCGTCGTCAATCGCGCGCTCATCCGTGAGGTTGTGCAAATGCAATTGAGACAGCGAAGTGTCATTGTCGCAAAGTGAGTAGTACGCGTTCTTCACCGCAGGGCATTCGCGGTTCAAAGCGCACGCCGTCTGCACCGCAGTTGAAAACTCCTCTGGAACGCGTGTTTTTGCCATGTTGATTTCGCGCAGTTTGTGGTTTTTCCTCAATACATCTGTAAGGCTATTTACGCCTTCCATATCCATCACGTTGTTCGACAAATTCACAACTTGCAAACCACGGTTGGCATAAAAGCAGTCACAAAGAGCTTGCGCGCCACGATTTCCAATTGAATTGCTGGACAGATCCAAAGAGGCCACAGAAGAGTTTTCTCGGAACAACGCCGCAAGATACGTTGCGCCTCTATCGCCAATGGAGTTGTGTGAGAGGTTCAGCGAGCGCACAACTGTGTTCGTGCGAAGGGCCTGCGACAGCAGCCACACTGAATCGTCGTTGACGGCAACTGTGTTTGGAGAAAAATCGATTGCGGTCACCTCCCGCGCGTTGTTCTCAAGAGAAGGGAGAATTGAACGGATTTGTGGAGGCGCCCGATTTACCAAGGTGAGGCCAGAAATCGCCTGCGCAGAATTTTCTGAGATGGAAGGGTTCACATCGACGTTCATGATGGTCAGTTTCGGATTTGCCTGCAGAGCAGCCACAATATACTGGACCGCGTCTTCACCGAGATTGTTGTTCGCGATGTTCACCTCCTGCACGCCGCATTTGCCGCGCATAAGGACCTCGAAGATTGCCTTTATTCCTACAGCGGTGAAGTTGCAGTTTGCGAGCTCAAGCGTCTTGAGGGAGGTATTTCGCTGCAGCGATTGTGCCAGCAACTTCAGAGCCGCGTCGTCAACAAGTGAGTTGCTGATATTTAGGCGCTCCACGATGGAACTTTGTGCAAGTGGCTCGGCAAGGTAGTTCATGCACGTTGGCAGCGGACCGTCCCATTGCAAATTGATATTCACGGCCGAGGGCGCATTGTTTCGCAGTTGCACAACAGCGTTTTTGATTGCTGTGGGTTCTTTGCTCAGTTCGCACTCCTTCTGGATCTGATTCCGATACAGCGTGGTGATCGATGTGCTGGATACATCGCACACAGTAATGTGGCTGCTTTTGTCGAAAAGTTCCGCGATAAGTTTCCGCACAAGATCATTTGTGAGATTCATGTTGCCGCTTAAATCGAGACTCTTGAGGTGTTCGTGATTGGGGAGATCCGCCGACTCAATAAGTTTCATCACTGCTTCGTTTGTCAGCATGCATTCGCGAAGACAAAGCGCAGATAATTTACTGTCCTTGAGAACGCCGCCAATAACCGTGACAACTGCGCCGCTTATATCGATGCCAGAAAAATCGACCGACTGCAGACCCTCCGTCTCAACCAAAAGGTACTGCAAAAGATCATGATCCAAATCCACGTACTGAAGACCCGAAAACGAAATAGCTGACACCTGTCCTGTAATAAGTGCCTGACGAATTTCGGGTGCATATTTCTCACTTCTGCTGAGATACAACAATCGAGATGCGGTCATCTCCGTGCATTCGTTGTTGTGCAGATCCAGCAGCTTGATTTCTCTCTCTGTATTAAAAATAGTCAAAAAAGAAAGGGCAGCGGCCTCTCCAATTTGGTTATCGCGTAGCACGAGTTCATCCACTTGACGGTATTCCAAGTACCGCAACAAAAACGGCACACCAGCGGATGTAATACAATTTCTCGAAAGGTTCAGTGTTTTTGTGGAAAGAGGAGCGTGCTCCATGGCCGTGAGAAGAAGATCGAGTTGGTCGTCATTTAACTCGAGCCCCGAGCAGTCGACATGCGCGATCCCTTTCTTCGAAAGGTCGGTGAGCACATTTTTAAAAGCTTCGTCCGTCATCTTTGCAGTGGTGGATCCTCTGTGAAGTTTGCCTTTTTGGTGTGTGTGAGTTCTTGCAAATGCTGTCAGAGGCAAAGGAGGTTTTGCTCTCGTTGTGTTCACACGAAGAAAAGAGTAGAGAAAAAAGACAAGTAAAACGGAAATCAGAATGAAGTGCGAGGCAAAAAAAAGTGAAAACACTGAAAGTGGTAAGCACGTTGAAACACAAACATGACGAAGACAAGAACGGAGAAAAAAATACGGAGAGAAAAAGAAGTGGAGCAGTGTAAAGTGGAGGAGCAAAACAAAGGCGCCCTTTTTTTGTGTTGTTATCACATCTGATATGAAAAGCATTAAGTATCGTCTCACAGAGAAAAGGTTTTTCAATTAATTGTCTGCAAACGTGAAACCTTAATGTGAACCACGTATGCGCGGGTTAATGTCTCCAGTGTTATTGCTTTCTCGTTGTTAGAGCCATTTGGACTGGAAGTAAAATAAAGGTCTTCAGTTAAAGAGTGTGGCGCTGCTTATTGAACGCCACCTATGCTGCGCCAGAGTCGTTGCACACGATTGTGCTGTCCAATTTCCAATAATCTTGTTGGGCTTCGTTTGCGTAGCTTGTGACGACAGAAGAGATTGTGCAGCACACAGAGATGACAAATCCGCTTGAAAGCCCGGCCGAGCAGCAGGACCGGCCACAGTTGGACTTTTTGAAGCCAGCTTTTTGTGGCGCTTCTTTCCACGCCGGGGAGACCGAAGAAGAAAATACCGCGATGATCACAGGCAGCGCTGTGCGTCTTTTTGATGAGGATCGCCTTCCTGTGAGAAAAGCAAGCTACTCGTTTCAGTTTTTGAGCTGGGACAGAGGCGGAGGGGGGGGGGGGTGGGAGAGGGGGCAATTATCGCCCGAGAAAAAGTTCCAAACTATCCCGCTCAACTCTCTCACCTAACCACCACCACAAAACGCCATGCGCTCCTATAGTGTAGCGGTTATCACCTCGGACTCTGAATCCGATAACCCTGGTTCGAGTCCAGGTAGGAGTGACTTTTTCCCGCCCACCTCCTCCCCCGGGGGAGGAGGGGAGGAGGCCGCTCGGCGAGGAGGGAAGTATCACAAGAGGCGCGCGGCGAAAGGGCGCGGAAACGGGTAGGAGGCAAGGGATGCAGAGGCAGAGGGAAATTCGACGGAGGCCCCGCGGCGTTTTTTTCCTTTTTCTTGCGCTCGACCCTGGGTACGTCATCGTCTTGCATTTGCTGTTCCAACGGCGAGGGGTTCTCGTTTGCTGTTGCCTGGAAGAAAACAGGGAAATGTCGCTTTCTTTTTGTTATTTTTAAGTCTGTCTAGAAGTATCGTACAAGGAGAGAAAAGCCTATGCTCTTTTAAGTAAACGCCAGCAGCTGCTCACGCAGGACGTTCTCAAGTCGTCGACACAAGCGGTCGTCAAGGTTGTGCGTCGCACTAAAGTCTTTCGCCACTTCTGCAACGTCTGCGCCGCGGAACAGGGCGATGCGACCGGTTTCCCCGCGTGGCAAGTCGACATCCACGTACAGCAGCGGCTGCGCTTCGGTCCTCCGCACGGCTGATTCACGCTTGGATGGAGCTGGTGTGTACATATCTGACGTGCTCGGTCCATGCTGCTGTTGCCGCTGGCGCGCAGCAATCATGCGCCGCACGGCCGTGTCGAAGCCGGGCGCCATCGGAACCGGGGTCGCTCCTCCTACGCCAGCTGCGGGTTCATGCTGTGCGCTACGGTGCAGGTCCTCGTTGGATGTGTACACGCTCCGCTTAAACGGCTTCTCAGCCCACCAAGCCAGCTTGGCACGCTCTTTGTGGTACTGCTGCGTGTTTGGCTGAAAGGACGGTGTCGCGTCCACGTGTTCGACTTTCCGTCGGTTCTCGGCCGCTGTGACCGAGGCGTGACGCAGCTCCTGGGAGACGTCGTTGATTTTTGGCGCGAAGGTGCACTCGCGCATCGGCCCGCCGGGCACGCGCTTCGCCGCCTTTTTCGATTCGCGGCTGACAGTGCTGGTGAGCAGGTGGGAATCGCTGGCCAGTACACGCGTCGCGGACCCTGCGTGCGGCACCCGTTTCATCATCGACGCCGCCGACGACGCGGAGCGCAGCGGCGCCGGTGTGGTGGAAAAGGGAGAGCGGTGGGCCGTGGGGCGGGACGTCGTACGCGCCGCGGGCGTTTCGTGCGGGTTGCGCGGCTCGGGGCTGGGGCTCAGCCCGGGGGCGTCCTCTGCGGAGAAGGGGGAGGGGCTGCTGGCTGGCTTTGCCTCGGCTTGCGGCGTCGGTGGCGAAAGGGAGGAGGTACGTGACATGTTTGTGTGCAGAAAAGACCCGTCCTCGCTCGACACCTCGTCCACCCCCACATGGGTGCCGCTGCCGCTGCTACTGTTGTCGGCACTTTCGTCAAGAGAGGATGATTCGCGGGAGGCAGACTCCGTGAGAGAGGCGTGAGGTTCAAACGACGTATGCAGAACAACAGTCTTGCCAACAACGCTCGAACCCCGCGCGTGGCACTGCGACACAGCGGACGAGGATAAGGAAGAGGTGGAGCGGGGCGTGGCCGCACCGCTTGAGTTGACGTTGCTGCTGGCTGCCGCATCACTCGTTGAAGGACCACGTCGTGCTACTTGAGGGGATATGGACGGAGAGGATGGGGAGCAAGAAAAGCGTTGGGCAGGCTGCACCACCGGAGAGACGCCTCGCGACACACAGCTACGTGCCAGTGCAGGACCCACGCGGGTGGGATTCGTAATGGCGGCTTTCCAGACAGTCGTGAAGACGTAAACGAAGCGTTCTGCGTCCACCACCGCCGTCTCCTCGCCAGCACCTTGTATATCCAACGCCATCAGAAACTTGTCAACCAGTGCGGCGTGCTGCGGGGCACGAAGGCCAAGCGAGGTCAACATCGATAAAACAGTGGCGACGTACACGACAGGCGGTCGTGGCAGCGCGGCGCCATCCGCAACAGTTTCTGCTCGCACGTACTGCAGTTCCGCAGCACGGCCTTCTCCTGCAGCCGCTGCCCGCCACAGAGCCCACACCGACTGAACAACAGTGTCATCATCAGAAACAGCGTTGTCGTCGTTCTTCGCGACGATCGATGGCTTTGCAGTTGGCGCACGAGCAACAGTCTTTGACGCAGATACTGGACTGCGTGCTGGGCGACTCTGTGCAGGACACTCGCAACGTGCGGAGTGGCGCAACAACTCCTCCTGCTCTTGTCGCTCGCGCAACGTCGGCGCGTCACGCGCGAGGCGTCGACTGCGTGTGTTGATTTGCGGCTGAAACGAGTACTCCTCGTCCATCTTGTCCGCTCTAAATGATGCGTGATTCTATGTAGAGAGATACAAAAAAAAAAAAGGAGAGAGAAGAGAGCTCCTGATGGATGGAGCTTCTAAGGTAGAGCTTCTATCGATGAGCCACACGCTAATGCGCTCCTCGTCAACGCGTCTGAAATGGGAAAACTCGGAGACGATCAGGAACCGCTTCGCTTCGCTCTATGCGGGCGTGTAGAGACGAGTACGCACGCCTAGCAGCGAGAAAAGAAGAGGCAGGAAAATGAGAAACGCTGAGAAGGGCGAGCGTTCGATATGATACATTACTTGGTAAACCTTCGAATGCGAATAACAGCAGCAACAACAACAAAAAAGGGTCGCCGAAAGCATTTTTGCCTTTGAGGGCTCTTTTGAGAGGATTCATGCACGCCTCCTTTGCCCGGCGTCCAACAGATGCAGTTCGAAAAGCAATCCGTCTGCTCCGTGAGGAAAGGGATATCGAAAGCGCTGTTGTTGTTCATTCGCCATTCCTTCCTCTTTTTGCTTATCTGGATGTTGCTGTAGTTTTTATGCGTTATCGTTTAGCTCAAATTATGAAGAAGAGGTAAGAGTTTACGCGAGTCACTTATTATTCAAACGAAATAATAACAACAACAACAAAATGTGGGACGCACACGATGTAAAGCCCGAAGGTACTCTTAGCCATAACAAGGAAGTATGTACGTCCATCTGCCACTAAGCAAGCGCACCAACGCGCGTAACACCCAGCGGACAAAGAAGAAAAAAGTGAGGAGAAAAAAAGAAGAGAAGGATCTCTCCCCCTCCCCTTATCCCCTTTACCGTCTTAGAACAGCGTGCCGGAGAAGGTTCCGGCGAGGCACGCAGGGTAGGAGACGAGATGATCGATCGAGTAGCGCGTCGTGTTCTGCACCTCCGCGAGTTCCTCCAGCGCCGGCACAAGCGCCTCTCCAAAACGGGTCACCAGCCCACCATGCGAGCGAATCACATCCGCCAGAATGCCCTGCACAAGGTCGACGTTCTTCTGCTTCCGCAACCACGCGGTGATGAAGGAGAGCAGGCCCTTCAAGCAACTTTGCATTCGCTCCAACTCCGCGGCGGTGTAACTGCTCCCGTCGACGTAGTCCACCGCGCGCTTCAGCTCCAGATCGATCGCCTGCGCGGTTTTGAGCGACAGGAAGTAGTCCATCAGAGCATCGTGGCGGTTATTCACGAGCATGTCCTGCACCGGTGTCAGCTCCTCAAGGTTCGCGCGTGTCATGCGACCAGCTCCGTCCGCCTCTCCCCCTGCTTTGCGGTTGTCGGAGGCAACGACGAGAAAGGTGGGGCGCAGCTCCTGCGTGGTCGGGAGGAAGAAGGGCACATCCTTCTTCTTAGGCGGCAGCAGCGGCTGATTCTTCTCCTTGATCTGGTCCAGCACCGTGAGGTTGAACCACAGGCTCTGCGGCACGCCGGCAAGCTCCAGGCCCTGCATGGGAATGGCGTCGAGCGCCGCCTGCTGCGCCTCACGCTGGCGTCGGCGCACGAGGGCAATGTCGTGCGACGCGTCAAAGAGGTTCGCCTCCGCGGCGGCCGCCTCCCGCGCCTCGGTCGCCGCCGCCTCCCGCTCCTCCGCTTCCGCCTCCGCCAACGCGGCAGCGGTGTTCAGCCGTGCCGCCCCGCTTCCGTCGCTTTCCTCCAGCGCGTCCTCCTCGGCCGCCCCGTGCGCTGTTGGGAAATGCAGCCACGGCAGCCGCTCCGTCGCCTTCGCCTTGGGGTCGGGCACTACCTCCGGCACGTAGCCATAGCGGATGTTGTTCACCCACAGGTAGGCCCCACGCTCCCCTGCGTGTGTTGTGATGAGGAAGAGTGCGTCAGGGTGGAAGCTGAGCGAGAGCGCGGGGGCGGCGAAGCGGTACTGCCCGACGCAGGCCGCCGCGGCGAGGTCCCACACGAGCAGCGCGCCGTCGCCCGAGGTGGAGACAACGTAGCGGTAGGTGTCGGGCGCCAGGGCCAACGCTGTGATGGGACTGTTGTGGCCCTCCAGCTCACGCACTGGTGTGCGGAGCTCCTCCGCGGTGAGGCCGACGTCGGGGTTGGCGTGGTACACCCGAATCGTGAAGTGCTGGGCGACGATGAAAAGCGAGGACGCCTCGTGCAGGCACGACTTCGTCATCGGCTGCTCCGTCGCAACGGAGGCTTTCAGCTTGCCGGTCCAGAGATCCCACATCTTGATGACGCCGTCTAAGCCGGCTGTGATGACAGTCGTGTTGCTGCACCCCACCTCGACGCACTCCACCGAGCTGTCGTGCGCGCGATCGGCGCCGAGGTTGGGGTCGAAAAGGTGACGCACGCTGCGGTTTTGCAGGCTCAAGGCGGCGACGTTGCCGCTGGAGTAGCCCACCACGGCGTAGTTGCCGCAGTCCGACAGCGCCAGCGCGCGGGCGGTGTGGGCGGACGTCTGGATACCGGAGAGCTTGAACTCCATCGCTCGGCTGTCCATGCGCCAGCCACACGCCAGCGCCGACGCAGCGTGCAGGGACACTAAGCTGGACCACTGGTAGTTTCGTGTCGTGGCGGCGGCGAGGGCCGTGGCGGGCGGCAGCTTCACCGCCTCGCGCCCCATCTGCATCTCGCGGCCGCGCTTGCCCAGCTTCCCCTGCGACAGCTCCCACGACGCGCGGTCTGAGAAGACGTGCGTCACGCGTAGCGCGCGGTCGTTGCCGGAGGTGACGAGCAGGTCCGTGTTGTAGAAGATGGCGTCGGTGCAGCTGCCCATGTGTCCGCGGCGCTCTCGCACCAGCACCCCAAGTCCGTCGACGGTGTCGAAGCGAAACTGCATGAGGGCGTTGTCGGCGCCACCCGTGATGAGGACGGCGGTGTACTCAGGAAGGTCGAACATGACCAAGGAGTGCACCGCGTCGACATGCGGCCGCTCCAGCGCCTCCAGCTCAGACCGGACCTGCTTGGACCGCGTCAGGGTGCCGTCCATGCATCTATTCTCCAGGTCCCACATTACCACCTCACCCAGACTCGTGCCCGAGACAAGCAGACCGTCCTTGTCGGTGCGGAACAAGAGGGAGGTGACGGCGCCGCCGTCCGCGTGGTCGAAGGTGGTGATGACCTCGTCGGTGGCGATGTTGCACGTCGTGACTTTGCCGTCGGCGGTGCCGTACGCAACGATGTTCTTGTACCGACTGCACGCAACGGCCGTGATGGCGACGGCACCGCTTCGCTGCGAGTACCACAGGCACGACCCGGAGCGGAAGTTCCACAGCTGCAGCGTGCCCTCCGCGGTGGTGAGCAGCAGCTTGTTCGTGTACCCCGTCAGCAGTGCAAGCGCCGTCACGGTTTCGCTCCTCTCCACCAGCATCTCCTGCAGGGCGTTGCCAGTCTTGAGCTCCCAGACCACAACGCGCTTGTCCTCGCCGAGGCTGAAAAGAAGGTCATCCTGGGCGAGCAGGTGCGTGATGGCAGGCTTCGTTGCCTCCTCGTGGTGCTTCGTCCACAGCGCCTTGTGATGGACAAAGACGTGTAAGCGAGAGCCCTCGGCGACGGCGCGGTACTTGCCGACCTGGGCCACCGCGCGCACCGGGCCTTGAAAGGTGGGGCCACCGCGCATCATGGCCAGTTCCTTCCCTTTGTACAGCTGGAAGGTACGACCAGTCGCCGCCATCAGCACGGGCGTGCCATAGAGCAGCGTGGCGCTGATGGGGACGGGACCGCAGATGGACCCGACAACGCGGAACGCCTCAAATGACTGCATGGCGCTCAAGCAAAAGCACACGTCAGATAAAAACGCTACGTGGCGCTGGTCCCTAAATGTATACGTTTAGGGAGAAAAAGGAAACAAAGAGATCAACTCGCCGCTGAATTCTTAAGACTGAAAGAGGCGGGCACGAATTGGTGGTAAGGAGAGAAGAACAGCAACAAAAAAGGGCAGAGCAGCAGGTATAATGGGGTACAGCCCGACAGGACTCTCAGAAGAAGGTGGACAAGCGACGCTTTCAATCTATTCCGCACGTGGAGCTCGTTGTACAAAAAAAAAAACTCGTGCAGCCAGCGGCGCGAGCTGCTTATCGGCGAACGCCGTTTTGGGTAGCGCGAGTCCCACGTTTAGTGACGTATAAAAGTGCCACTTTTCTGGTTCCCAGGCGAAGGACACCGATGGCAAGGATGTGTGAGGACTTTAAATGCTTTCTTTTTCTCGTTTCGTTTAAACGCAGTGTTCTCTGTGCCTGCGCAGCACCGTAATAATAGTGACAAGGAAAACAAAGAACACCGCAGCTGTCGTGAGATAATTCCAAGGAGTCAAAGAGACGTGGTAGACGAACGATGCTTCAAGAGAAAGAAGAGAGAGAGATAGCTTCGGACAGTCTGCACGCGTAGATGTAAAGAGGATGACTCACAAAACAAAAGGACTGGAGCTAAGAAAAGAAAACAACAACAACAACAGCAACAAAAGATGAAGCAGCTGCTGCCACGCGCCACTGCATCATCAAAGAAACAAACAAAACAGAAAAGAGTTCGCGCACATTCGACGCAGGTGCCGTCGCGACAACAGAAGACATCCAACAACAACAGCTGTCTAACAGAGACAAGTAAAAAAACAAAACAAAAGAAAAGCTACAAGAGGAGGCGACCAACGGCTTAAGGAGGACGAAGAAGAGGGAGGTAAGGGGAGGGAAGGGTAACGCTCTTTTCTCCTTTCCCACTCTTCCTCGTGGTCGATGAGTACGCACGCACACGGTTAAAGCAAAGGCACATCTAGAGATCAACAATAAAACTGAAAAAGGGGTAGGGGGTAGGGGGTGATGGAGCAAGAGACATCATGCAGCTGATGCAACGCATTGCTCATGGAAAGATGTAGCGGCGACGTACACTGAACGTTCACCTATTGCACTTGCACATGTACACAGAATAAAAGAGAAGAGGACAAAAAAAAGTAAGAAACAATCCCCAAACAAAGACGTAGCGAAAAGCGAAAAAGGAGAGTTATTATTACAAGATACTGAGCACACTCCTTTGATTACTATATACATTTATAACCATATTGAGTTAAGGAAACGTACAGTGTTGTGAGTCGCACGGATGGGCCCATTTTGCCCCCGTTCGAGTTAACGGAACAGAGGCGTTCAAGTATTGTCCATGAGTAAGGAAGTGGGTTTTTCTTTTTTTTTTACGGGTAAGCTTAAGGGCCGGCGTTTTCATATCGAGACCGGAAGCACCAGTAACAGCACGAGAAAGCGCGTGCTGGATTGTTGATTGGGTCGTTATTGCTGCTCGTAGTCGTCCTTTTCTGCTGAAGGAAGCGTGCTGCCAACGTTGGTGGACGGCATCGCGAATGGGTTCAGCATTGCCATGGGGTCCACATGGCCACTCGGGCCGGCGAAATCGTCGTCATTGACCGGTGGTACAAAGATGACCTCGTCGTAGTTCAGCGCACTCGCGAGCCGGCGTGCATCCAGCGACGGCGCGTCCTTCGACACCCGCCTGCTTTTGCGCATTATAACCAACGAGCGGCTCATCGCAGATGGCGCCATCGACGAGGCGTCCGTGCCGTTGTTGCTGTTGCCGAAGGAGACCGTAGGATTGTCGAGCTCTGCTGCGGGCATCACACGCATCTTCGCATTCTGCTCCGACAAGTTCACGGTCGGCGGATGCACGGTCAGCTCACGCGCGACCTGGTTATTTCGACGGCGGTAGAAGCACGTCCAGCACAGCAGCCGGCGACTATTGTTCTGCGAGTCCTGCCCCGAGACGAGCACGACTTCGGTCTCGACCGACTTTGAAAACGTTTTGAAGGCGGTGCCAACGTAGAAACGGACATTGAGGAAGGTCATCGTGCCCATGCCTTCTGTGAGCAACGTGAGCGGCGTCGACTCCGGCACCAGCACCTCCTCCTCCGGTATGGCAACAATAGTGCCTTTTTCAATGTTTACGTCGGTGATGAGCTCGGCGCTATCCACGTGGTAGTTGTACACCTCCGTCTTGGTGCGGATGTAGCACCGCGTGATGAGGGAGTACTTCACCTTGGTGATGTTACCGCCACCCTCGGAGTTGTCGACGAGCAGCTTTACCATGACCCTGCCGTGGCCAACGGAGATGAGCGGGCTGCGCAGAGACATTTTCACCTTCACCTTACCCGTGCGCAAGAAGCCACCGCGCAGGCTGATGTCGAACTCTTGGTTCCACGGCGGTGGCACGAAGCGGGGTCGGCGCCGGTGCGCCTGGGTCCCCTGCGACTTCTTCTCGTCCTCTTCGCCCCTCTCGTCCTGGCCACCCTTGCGTCGACTAGACTTCTTGTGGGACGCAGCGGCAGCGTCGCCTGGCGAGGTGGCCCCGGTATCCACCGACTGCCGCACAGCCATGTGAGCCGAAATAGGGACCAGGGTCTCACCAGGTGGCGTAAAGTCGAGCTGGTCCACGTTGCTCTCCAGCATGGCACTACCATTTACACCGTTCGCCGCATCGCTCCCTTTTCGGTGGTGGCGGTGTTTCTTTTTTCTTTCCTTTGTGATGTTCGTCGCGTCTGCGCCGGCGTTGGCGGCGAGGCTGTGGCCCGCCGCTCGGCTCAGGAGCGGTTTCGCCGCCTCTGGGGACGATGTCGCCTCGCTTTCCTCTTCGTCCAGCGCGAACGCGCGCACCTCGTCACCCATCTCCTCCTCCTCGCCCCTTTCCTCTTCCTCCGCCGTGCCGTTGCCTTCGTTGTCGTCGACAGATCGGCTGTCCGCCGCCTCCTGGCGGGCCCGGCGCTCGCGGTACGTCTTCGGCCGCGCCTTCCGGTTGTTCTGCCGCCCGCTGTCTACGAGATCGTGCACCGTCTGCGGCGAGGGCGAGCCGTCGCCCTTTTCTTCCTTCTTCCCCTCACGAGCCTCGGCGCGCTTCTCGTACTCGGCCCGCTCCGCCATGAGCTTCTGCTCGGGGAACTGCCGGTAGTGCCGGATGCGACGCTGGCACGCCACCTCGTGCTCTCGGTCGGCTGCGTCTGCGCTGGTGGTGCCGGGGGAGGACATGAGGCGCGACTTCAAACCGAGACGAGCAGCTCCGCCCTCCAGCCCGGGCGCGCCCATCTCCGCCTCGTCCCGCACCGACGCGTCCGAGCCGTTTTGCTCGTCGTTGTGCAGCTCAAACCACCGCTGTATCTGCACCGGCAGCGTGTTCACACGGAAAGGCGTCTCTACCGTGTACACCTTGCCGCCTCCTAAGATCATGGTGGCCACGGCGCGGTAGCGCAACACGGAGGTGCCCTCGCGTGGCCGCAGCAGTTCCCGTGACGGGGGAAGAGAATCGGGGAGGGTCACCTTGAAGGGAAAGGAGTAGGTGCCGGGCACCAGGTGCACCGTCCCCCCTGCTCCTGCGGCGGCATTGATAATGGAGGGGCTCAGATCACAGAGGCTGCTTTCCTTCGACGGCACGTCCGGCAACGACGCACCCGTGCCGTTGGTGCCGCTGTTGGTGTTGTTCGATGGCGGCGGCGCGCTAGGGGTCGACTTGCGGAGGAGCGCGTCTTGAGACACGACGGTGTGCCGCCGGCCAAGCAGGTCACGCCGCTGCTGCAGCGCATCGTGGTCGACGCCGCGCAAGGTGACAAACTGCTCATAGTAGAGCGTCCTGCGTGCCTCGGGGTTCTTGTCGGTGAGGAGAAGTCCGCCGAGGGAGGTCCGCTCCTCGCCGCTCAGGCAGACTTGTAAGGTGAGGAGGTCGACCGGGGAGGCGAAGTCGACAATGGCGACGCCCTGCAGCACGTCGCCGGGGTAGCGGGCCGGACACCGCAGCAGCACGCACATCTCCGGTTCCATCTTCGCCCTCTCAGCGTTACGCCTGCGGAACATCTTCACTTGCTAGAATTATTTTGCTTTTCTGTTAGTGTGTCCAATCCCTGCAACTGTCATCAAGGGAAGTTGCGTGTGCGCAGCAACAAAACAACAATAAGCGAGCGGCAACAAGTCACAGCTATGCAGCAAATTTGTCTTTTTAAGATGCTGCACGCGGACCACGGATTATTTTGATTACGTCTTCAGGTTTTATATAGGTTAATAATTCGATGCACGGAAATGGAAAAAAAAACTCAAACGTACCTACGTAGTGTTGATGCAGGTATGATTAGACGGAGCGTCGAAAACTAAGTATTCTACAAAGGGCAACGCACTGTGGTCCAACTTTGCCTCGTATTGTCCTCAATGCGTCCCACCACTGTATGTGAATACTCCGTGGGACGTTAAATCAACAACAAACAACAAGGAGAAACCCAGAAGGCTTTTATTTGATCCTTCGTAGAACCGTTCGGAGAGGAACAGCTTTATTGCGCCAGCGCTTTTCGATACCACCGAAAAGTACAGCTTCGTTTTTCCCTTTTAGTCTGTGCGTGCGTGGACCGCAGTACGTCAACAAGAAAGATGTGCGATGCGCCACTCCGACCTAAGGCGGCCCTCCCCCCCGTTCGTGAAGCCACCCGCGTAAGGATATCCGATCGAATGGAAAGAAAGCTACAAGGAGAACAGGGTTAACAGCCAAATTGAAGTAGCAAAAAAAAAAAAGAGAGATCTTCAAAGAAAGAAGGACAAGAGGCGAAAGAAGGTTTCTAGGCGTTATCAAAAGCAGGAGAGGCTACAATGGCAATAGTAGTCAACAAGACGCGATTGTGCACAGCTAACGACGCACTGAAAGTAGGACTCAAAGAACCAAACAGGAAGAAAAAAATGTGGGAAGTAAAAGCAGCAAAACAAAAAATGAGGTAAGGCACAAGGAAAAGTAGTAAGAAATACACAACGTCGTGGGCAGTGTTCTACCAACTGGAGCAGCTTGCAAAAACAAAAAAGACCGAGTAGGCCTGCGGAGGAAAAAAGTTTTAAAAATAGCTCTACACGCACCGAAACTCACCAACGAAGCAAGGAGACGATTAACGTTGCGAAACTTCCCAGAGAATTCGAATAACGTTCAAATTGACCTACAGTGACGCCATAGAAAGCTTTGTGATCCATTCATCGTGGATATATATTACAATGTTACCGGTCATCGAAAGAGAAAGAAGGGCACAGAGAGGGACGAAGAGATGAGGAAGAGGAAGTTCAACGCAAGAACTGTTGGGTGTGTGTGTGTGTGGGGGGGGGGGGAACGTCAGATGTGGCACCCACGCCAATGGCTCCCATCGGTGCAGGCTCGACGGTGCACATGGCCGTACAAGACGAAAATCAACGATACAGAGAAAACCCCCACCTCAGTCGTACAGTTTTATGAGGCCATTTAGCCTGAAAACAGGAACCAACTTACTCTTTTTTTCAGCTTCCTTTTCCAATTTTCAGTAAGCCATGAGTGAAGTTATTTGCCTTGCGCACTGCTTTGCGCTTCACCACGCTCACGTTCTCAGAAAAGATGGCCATATCCCCCACATACGGCACGCACAAGCGTAGAAGAAAGAGTTCTCTGACGCACAGCAACAAACCGCACTGTCGCGCCCCCTGCTTTCACGTCTGTCGCAACGTTCGGCGCTTCTTGACGGGCGGCTGCACCAGCGGCGTTACCTCGGGCGAGGCATCCGTCTGCTGCGTTGCCCCGCCTGGCGTCATGGCCGTGGTGGCCGTCGTCGCCGTGGTCAGCGCAGATCCCTGCGAGTGCGACACGCCGTCGCCACCAAGCTCCGAGACACCATCCGTTGCCGCGCCCAACGTTGTCGTAGTCCGCGTACTCGTTGCCCCGCTCACACCTGTGATGCCACCGGTGGTGGTGGTGATTGAGGAGGACGAAAGCCGGCCTGCGATGACGGTAGCGGTGGTGGACACGACGGGCAGTCGCACCGCTCTCTGCCGCTCCCGCTCCATTGTCGCTGCTTGCTGCAAGACAATCGCAAAGCTGGACCGTAAAAAGTGCAGCTCATGACAAACGATGTTCGTCAGCAGCACACCGGGAATAAACATCGGCGAACCCTCAGCCTCGAAGACGGTCATGAGGTTCTTCAGCTTCTGCTGCCGCATGGCGTGAATTTCGTTCACCAGGCGAATCACCTCCACGACGCTGGGGATGATGTCGCCGTCATCGGCCCCGCTGCCCCCGCCGCTCGACGAGCCTCCCAACCCACCACCGCGCTCCGTCAGCTTCTTTGCGATTTCATAGAAGTAGAAGGGCAGGCTCTCAAATCCCTGATCGTTCGTGCGCTCCCGCTCAATCACGTCGCGAAGGTACTCCACTCGGAGGTAGTCGGGGGGCTGGATGGCGCACGTGTCAGTTTGGCGCAGGTACAACGCCAGCCACAGCGGCACGTCGACGGGGTAATTCGGGGCAAACGGGCCGTAGCTGCCGCCCAGGCAGTCCACCCGATCCATCGAGAAGCGCGGGATGATCGTGGCCGCCACCTCCATCGCCATAAACGAGGACATGTGGTAGCTGTTGAAGGCGCGGTCGTCGGCGAGGGAGCTGACGGCGAGGTGAACGCCACCACTGCCTGCGCCGCCGTGTGCAGCGGAAGACATGAAACTGTGTGCACGACACTGCAAAGTCAAGAGCAACGTCAACAACAAAACAAGGCTTTTCAATTTGATTCAAGTAATGTTGAATGCAGAAATGAAGGTGAATTCAGCTTCGGCGCCAAAAAACAGAACCAAAAAGGAAGGCTCCTTCTATGGGGACACCAAGTGTATCGGATCTCTCTATGATAGCGACTCGCAAAATCTATAACTACTCGCCCAAAGCGTCTTTGTGCACCTATCGGAGAAAACAGAAGAAAAACAAGACAATACGCACTCCACCAACGAACACCAAAAGAGAAGGAAAAGGTGAGGAAAGGCTCAAATGGAAGACTGACGTCGTTGTATTAGGGGGAAACCTCCGACAAACGCCGGCATAACGCATTTCGTACATCCTTTTCTGTACGCCTCCGCGCACATCGATGGCATGACGGCGAGTAGCAGCCGTCAATAAACCGGTACACAGTTTTTCTTCTTGAAGTGACGTCCACAACAACAGCGACAAAAAAGAAGTACCACTGTCTGAATGAACTCACGGGTCGCTTGTGACGGCAACATTTTTCCTGCTGTTGTTGTTCGCACGGATTTAGTTCTACGCCATGCACACGTACTCTCCCACGCGCGCTGCTATAACCAAAAACTTCCGTTTCCGCAGTTTTTCTACTCTCATGGATATCATTGAAGAAGAAGAAAACCAAAAAGATGGAGTTCCCTCCCCGATCATGGAAAGCAAAAGAACACGCGGGATTCTCTGCGCAAACCTACCTTGACTTTTGTGTGCGTGTGTGTGTCGTTCGTCTCTCCTGCACCGTGCTGTGAACGCCTTAGCGCACCTCATCATATAAGAAGGAGCTCAGCGCGTAGCGAATAACAAAGCCCATCACACAAGCCGCCATCTGGCACTTCAGAACCACCCACGTCAGCTTTGACTCGTGCATGTCGCCGCAGTAGTACAAGATCACATTCAGAATGGTGTAGTTGTGGCTGTTCGACAGCAGGTCCGTCTTCGGATTCCACGTCGGCACACGGTGGCGCGGACAGACCACAATGCCGAAGAGCTGCGGCAACGAAATAATAAAGTTAAACACCTGCGGCACAAAAAATAGCAGCAGTGTCTTGCTGTACACGCCCGTGATGCCCGCCACGGCGAGCACAGTGCCCGCAAAGTACGTGTAGCTGTCGCCGACAAAGATGCGCGCTGGGAAGCGGTTGTAGCGCCAGATCGCAAGACTCACCCCAATAAAAGGGCCTAGAAGAAGCAAGGCCCGTATCTGGTGGTCGCTCGTCATTTCGCGAACAGCGACGACCTCCTCAGCGCTGGTGCCCGGCAACACCGTCGCCTGCTTCTCCAGGCGCATCTGGAGGAGGTTGTACACAACCGACGCCACCGCTATCACGATGCTCTGTCCCACCTCGACGCCGTTCACGCCGGCCAAAATGTTGATGCTGTTTGTACAGAAAATGCACAACATGGAGAGGTAGATGAGGTAGACGGGGCCCAAGAACACCAGGACAGACCCGCTCGCCGTCACCTCAAAGATGGATTGATTGAAGGCGTACGGCACCCAAGTGGAGGGCAGCGTCGCGTCGAAGACAGCCGTTTCGTTGCTGAGACCTGTGAAGCTCAGCAGCCACTCTGTGGTGGCGTTCAACGTGGGCAGCACAGTAGTGGAGAAGAGGCGCGGCATGAGCACAGATAAGCTGCCGTCGTAGGTCATGATCAGCGGAAGGGAACCGAGGGTGGTGAGAATGATCTTGTGCCGCCACCGAACATCCAGCACGTCGTCCACGAAGCCCAGCAGCAGCATCACGGCGATGGTCATGAGAGGACCAGGCAGCGTGGTGTGCATGTCCGTCGCTTCGTCGCGGAAGTAGCCGAAGCACACCATCAGTACCATCACAACAGACAGATACACCGCCCCCGCCAAAATGCCCAGCGACTCCGGCACCGCCTGCCGCTGAAACGCCTTCTCATCCGTCTGCCCCTGGCGTCGCTTTGCGGCAAAGGCTTGACGCTGCTCGGGGGTGGTTTTGTTGATGTCAATGCCGTAGATATTGCGTTCGAACAGCGTCCTGGCCACCTGTGGGATGTAGCGCAGGGTGGTGAGGTAGGCGATGACGCTGCCGGCGACGATCATCGCTAGCACCGGCCCGTGTGCCGTCACGGCCGCGGCGACGTCGTGAAATGACACCGCGAGACCGTGCAGCATGGTTGCTGTTTGTCGCTGGGGAGGTGTCCTAAAGTGCTAAAAATGAGAAGAAAAAACAAAAGAAGTTTCCTTTGACCAGAGTCTGCGTGACGCTGCCCAGCCAAGAGGACAACGGCTGTTGGGGCCTCAAAGAACGTTGTGGGGAAGCAAAAATCAGAGTGAAACAAAGAAAAGAGCCGACGTTGATAAAAGTGAGTTGTTACTTGCTCGCAAATCAGCAAATTTGCTTTGAGCTTCCGTTGATCGATATATATTTAAAAAAAGGTAAGTATTAATAAGAAGTACGGAGTAATACGATTGAAGTGAAGTAGTGCTTCAACATGCATCGTGGAAACCCACTGTTATTGCAAATACGGCTAATGAGGAGATGGCAAAATAAAAAGGAAGAGGAGAGGAAGACGTGGTGGAGAAAAAAAGGCGGAATGTGGTGAATTAGTCTAGACGTTTTCCGCCGTCTCTTAGAGAAGTACTTTACTGAGCGAGCCATTACGCATGGTCGCTTCTATCAAAGTACACCATTGACTCGGCAGCAAGTTCGACACTTCTCAAAGGAGAAAAACTACTTCGTTTCCTTTAAATCTATTCCGCTTCCTCGCTGTTCGCTGTAGGGTGATTGTTTTTCCCCCTCTTTTTCTTTGTTAGGACCACTTCTATGCAACTGGCTTTCCCACATCAGCATCGGGTCAAATTAAAGCGCTGCTCATTTTCCCTTTCCACTTCACTCACCCGGCCGCGTGTTTCTTCCCTCCATTTTGCGCCGAGTGGAGCTGCGACTCGTCAGACAAGTCAAACAGAAACCCAAGAGTAGAGTAGAAGGAAAAAGCAGCAGACGACTGTGAAACGGTTCCCAGAAAAAAAGAATCTCGTAAGGTGCGAGGGGTTACAGAAAAATAGCTTCAAACCAATAATAATGATAGTAGTAGGGCAAACAATAATAATCATAATAATAAATTCGTATAGAAGACGAACACGTAAAATCGCTTAAACTTGGGCACGAGGTGACACCTCTCCATCGACAGAGGAAGAAAAACAACGTCTTGCGTGTTTAACATGCGCGCACGATTGCAGCCGTGCGTGATCTGTTTGAGTAAGAAAACATGAAAAAGAATGGCTTTGGAAAACGGTGTCGGTGTCCTGGAAAAAGAAAAAGAAAGACAGAGAGGTGCAATACACTGATCGCGAGGGAAAGAGCAGGGGATGAGATGCGCAGCACCGCCATCACCGGAGGAGGCCAAAGCGAAAGCGTCAATTCTCACTTTACCACGTGAGGTCAGTCGCAGTTGATGCTGCTGCCATTAAAAAAAAAAACGAACTTGTCGCACACGTATACAGCCGCTGGATGTTCGTAGCCTTCCTTGTTTTTGTCCGTGACGGTGCAGCCGCTGCCTCCTCACTTCTCTCCTCCTTCATCCTGGTCTTTCTCGTCCTCTTTCGTCTTTGTCTCCTCACGGAGAGAGCAAGAGACGAGCCGAACTACTGGATCTGCACCACCACCTTGCCGTAGCTGGTGCCCGAGTACAAGTGGTCCACGGCATCCACGACGCTGCCAATCCCCTTGAACACCTTCTGATCCACAAACAGCTTCACCTGCCCCGCCTCCACGGCAGCAAGCACCTCCTTGGTGTACCTGGGAATGACGTTGTGGAAGTGGGGGAGGAAGAATCCGTTGAGAGAGGCAGACCTGCCTAACAGCGCCATCGGCAGCGACACGCCACGCGGGTTGGAGAAGGGCACCACCTCCCCGGTCTTGTAGCTCGAGACGGTGCCGATGACGATGATGCGGCCGTGCACGGCGATGCGGCGCACCGCCTCGTTGAAGATCTGTCCGCCGACACACTCGTAAACCACGTTTACCCCATTCGGCGCCAGTTCGCGCAGGCGGTCATCGACGTTCTCCGTCTTGTAGTTGATGACGTGGTCGCAGCCGATCTTCTTCAAAAAGTCCGTCTTCTCCGCCGAGGAACAGGTGCCGATGACGGTGCAGCCGTAGACGTGCTTGAGCAGCTGCACGGCGATCTGACCCGTCCCACCCGCCGCGGCGGTCACCAGCGCCACCTCGCCCTTCTTCACGTAGCCCACTTCACCGAGGGCGACGGCGGCGGTCAGCGCACTCACTGGCAGGACAACGTTCTCCGGCTTCGCGTCCGGTACCAGGGCACACGCCAGCGCCGGCGCATCGATGAACTCGGCGAACGCCCCATACTGCATGACGGCCACCGCGTCGCCTTCCTTCAGGTTCGTCACGCCATGGCCGACCTTCACAACCGTGCCGACGGCCTCGAATCCGCAGTCGAAGGGGAGCTTCGTCTCCTTGAAGTAGGAGCCGTTGGCGAAGTTCAAATCGCTCGCGTTGACACCAGCGTACTTCACCGCCAGGCGAACCTTTCCTTCCGGCACCTCATCCGGCAGGTGACCGTCCACCACCGCCGTGGAGTTGCGGAAGTCCCTCGACAGCGACGTCACCACCAGCTTCTTAAAGTGGCTTGGGGAAGACATGCTTGTTGCTTTGATAGATGTGTGTGTGTGTGTGTGTGTAACAAGAGAGCACAAAGTTTCCTTTCTCCTTTTGGGTAATTAACGGTGATAGCAAGACAAAAGATGTGCGATAGCAAAACAAAACAAGAATAATAGAAATACTATGAAACAGTCGATGATGTGCTGTGCATTCGAAGAGATGAGGTCGTTGTGTACATGCCATCGTACGGGAGGCGTTCAGAAAAAAAAAAGAAGAAGAAGCAATGAAGAATCAGGAAACTGACTTTATATGTCTCATCATCCGCGACAGAAGAAGAGCCAAACATCCGCTGCAATCACGATGAAGAATCGCTTTCTACTTGTTCATCTTCCTTTTCACCACTGCAGAGGTCCAAATCGGATGAACAGATGCCCCAAGCTGGTGATAACACGTGTATTACTATTATTATTATTACGATTATTATTAACGTCTCTTTCAAGTTACTCGATTTTTCTTTACTGATAACAGCAACAACAAAAGAGTCGGTGTACCGCCTTGTTAAAGAGAAAAGATGAGAGAAGCACGTCGAGGAAAGACAACGGCGCGCAGTGTACCTCCCCATTAGTTAAGTGGTCACCTCAGTCATCGTCATCGTCCCAGATGTCATCGTGGCTCTGGAAAAGACGTCCGCCGCCATTGTGTACGCCACGCTCATCCTTTCTACTTGACTCCCGGTCACCTTTGCGGGGCACGTCATCGTTTGCGTCTACATCGCTGTTGGCATCGGACGCCGCCCCAGATTCGTCCTCTGCCTCGTCATCTTCACTGCTGTCCTGCATCCAAGACGGTTCGCTGCTGGTGTCGGAGCTGCTCGACAGCGCATCACTGTCATTACTGTTGCCGTCATCGTCGTCGTCGACTTCGCGCACACCACGTTGCGACCGACCTCCCAACGCTTCTACATCGCCACTGCCGCTTTCCTCTTCCCCACTAGGGATGTAGGGACCGCCGACACGCCACAACTCCTCACCATCGTCTGCCAACGCGCGATTCTTCTTGCTGCGCTTGTTCTTGCCGACCTTCTTATATGTGGCCGTGGCAGAGGTGGAGAGAGACGACGAAGAAAAAAGGGCGCCTGCGGGTGCGGGAGACAAAGACGGCTTCACTGCTTTCGGTGCCTTGCCTTGAGCCACGTCACGCAGGCCCCAGAATGCCTTACTGCGGTTGGGGTTGAGGTGCTGGAGAAAGCTCAGCGCCTTGGCTTGTACGGCCCGCGACAATGCCACATCTTCATCGTCCTCCTGCCCAACCGCGGAGGTACCTGCCTTTTTGGCTTTCGCGCATTTTTTCTTCTTCTTCGTTTCGCCTTCCACCGCCGCGGAGCTCGAGCGACTCTGCGTGCCAGGCGTCTGCTGGCCCCTTCCCGGGCTGTCGGTCGATTTGTTGATCCTCGACTTCGCCGGGAGCGCGTCGACGGGCACGTCCGCAGACGTGTCGCGCGGTCTCTTCGTGTTGCTTTGGCGTTGCGCGGTGGCCGAGTTCGCCTTCACCAATTGCTCCACCACCGCCGCGTCGCCAATGAAGAGACGCGCGACGTCTTCGATAGACCGCGGGGCCGCGGGCTCACTCTCCGCCTTTCTCTGCTGCTGCTGTTGCTGTTGTTGCGGTGGAAGCTGACGGTCATCGCTGGATCGCGACGCGGCGTCTTGTGCGGCCCCAGTTGCGTTCTTCTTCGTCTTCCGCTGCTTTGAAATTCCCCTATTGTTCCCCATCGGCGGAGCAAGTTGGAAGATGAAAAGAAACGAGTGAAGTGAAGTGTGAGCGATTGTAAAAACTCAAGAGGTGGAAATGACGGAGAGAGGAAAAAAGGACCCTTATCCACTGTTCCGTCGTTTGACCGCGTATCCGGCGTGTGCTTCGGGTCGTCACAGAGGAGAGCAAGGGAAAATAGAGCAAATAAATAAATAATAGTAATAATAAACAGCGTTATTATTATTATTACCTTAAAAAGAAGACATCAGACATAGCGACAGATTAAAAACACCGGTCGTTAGTGGCGACAGCTGCGAATGCCTTCGGCAGATGTAAGTGTGGGGGACTTTCCGTCCTGGCTGCAATGCTCAACGAACGCACCTCTTCTTTCGGCGAGATAAGCAGGCATTGCAAAAAAAAAAATTCACTGCTTTTCTCTTCTGAACTGCCACCCGAATCATTAAAAAAGGTCTTGCTTTCTTTAATAAAAAAGAACGAACGAGAAGACATGTCGACACAATAGAGTTCGGTTGCTTCGTTTGTTTGCCCGTTCTTCGGACACCGAGCAAAAGACATCAGCATGCAGCCTCAATAACTGGTGCGTATCAAGTGATTATGATCTGAGTGGCTAAAAAACCAAAAGACACAAAAAGAATCTAAAGACTGTACATAATAAGGAGGCCTTCTTCTCAATGCTTTATTTACATAAACAGACAACATATCGACAAAGGACACAGCAATAAAACACTCCCACTGCGAAACTAAAAGACGAGAGCATTTGCATTTTTCCCCTCCGGAAAAAGCGTTCTTCGCATCAACTCTTCTTCTTCTTTTTCTTTGATCCCTTCTTCAGTTTCGCCAGCGTTTGCCGCGTCATCATCGCCTTGATGGCCGCCTCCAACACAGAGGCGGCGGTGTACTCGGCCGCGCGCTGATCCTCGGCTCGCTGCCGCTCGTCCTCCTCCGCCTTCGTCTTCGCCTCGCGCTGCTTCTTTAGCTCCATCTGTACCGACTGCTCCTGATCTAGATCAGAAAGTCGCTGCGCACAGCCCTGACGACTGTTCTCCACATCGATTTTGGCCGTCTCCTTCTTCTTCAGCTCTCGCTGCGTCTTCGCCTCCCATTCGCTCGCCAGTGCGTCTGTCGCGGCGGTGCGCTGCTGCAGGAACTCCGCGAAGGCACTGTGCGTGTCCGCCTCTACGGTGAGCAGCCGCTCGTTGCGTTGGGCCGCCTGCCGCACCTCGCTGATCTCGGCCGCCCCGTCGCGCTGCAGACCTTCCGTCGCGGCCTCCCCGCGTGCCTTCGCCGCCTCCGTGCGCTGCTGCATCGCGCCCTTCAGCCGACGCAACTCCAGCTGCAGCTCCGCCACCCGCGCCTTCCGCTCTGCGACCTCCCTCTCCTTCAGCTCCCGCTCCCGCACGAGGTCGGCCTGCAGCTGCTTCACGTTCTGGTTCAGCGCGCGCTCCTTCGCGAGCACGTCGTCCGCCCACTGCTGCGCCGCCTTCTCCTGTAGCACCTTCACCGCAAACTGGTGGTAGGAAGAGGCGAGGGGGATGCGGGGGGCCTGATACGCGCTGCGGGACACGCTGCGACGCTGCACCGTGCTGCCGAAGCGCTTCAGCGTCGTCTGCTGCGACCCCAACTCGCTGTTCGTGCGGGTGAAGGGGGACGCGTTTGCCCCGGCGCTGTGCGAGGGGGGAGAGTCGGCGGTGCCACCGAGACGCGCGCCGGGGTCACCGCTTTCGCCGCTGGCGGTGTGTGTGCGCTGCATGACGATGCTGCCGGCACGGTTCGTGGTGTTGCTGTTGGTGCTGCCCATATCGCTCTTGCGCCCCCGCTGCTGATGATACTGGAAAACATCCCTGTAGCCGGTGGTGAGCTCCGCAATGACCTCCTTCAGCAGCGCCGTCAGCTCGCGACGCTCGTTAGATATTTTAGCCCAGTTGTCCGCGTCCTGCGGGTTGTCCTCGAGCTGCGTGCACAGCAGACGGTTTGTGTCGCGCAGCCGGCTCGAGACGTGCGCCAGCTCCTGCTGCAGCGCCACCTGATGGGCGTCCTGCACGTTGCCGAAGCACTGCTTGCGCATCTGTGGTTCGCCCGGTCGCAGCGACACCACCGGCTGCGTTTGCACCAAGAGTTCACCGTAGCGGCGCTCGAGCAGTCGCTGCTCCGCCAGCAACTCCAATACGGTGGGACGGCCGCGGTTGCCCTGCTGCTGACTCACCGCGAGCGCCTCCCCTACCTTCTGCGCGGTGGCCAGGGAGGCGTCGTGGTTGTCGCCCTCCAAAATTGCGGCGCCGCGCGTGGCAGAGAGACCGGCGCCGCCGATGCCCATCAGCCCCGTCTTTGCTGCGCCGACCGAGGCGGTGGCTGTCTTTTTGCTGTTGCCGTTGCTGTTGCTCTCCGCGGCCGCTGCGTCGTCGACTGGGCCGGTGGCGTCTAAAAGACTCAGCAGCTCCAGCCGCTCCACCGCCCGCTCCAGCGCAGCCACCGTGCGATTCGTCGTGAGGAAGTCCAGCTGCGTGGAGAAGTTGGGCTTCCCGGTTTGCAGCACGCCGTCGATCGGCGCCGTCGCCGCCGGGCCGAGTTCGCTGGTGGGGGACGGCGTGTCCCGCATCGGCGCGGCGACAGCCGTGGTGTCGGGGAGTGTAGCGGCGGGGAGGCGTTTTAACGTCTTCGTGTTGCTGTCGCTGTTGCTATTGCTGTTTTTGTTGCCGAAGCTGACGTTGACTGTGTTGCCGCCGCCGCGGGTCAGAAGGGAGCGAGGCGGGTGAGGGGTCAGACTCGCGTGGGATGAGTCCGCTGGCTGCCCTGTTGCGGCCGGCGTTGCATTCGACTCGTCCGCCAGCATGGCTGGAGAGTTGTTTCTCTCGTCCGCTTTTCTTCTGACTGCTGATGTGTTTTAGGAGAGTGATGAGGGGAGATACACGAATATATTAAGATACAAAAGAAGCACACGCAACTCGAAAAGCTGCCCGCGGGAGGCCGTCAGAGATGATGAAGGACGTAGGGAAAGCGTCGCAGCAGCAGACACAATAAATCGTCGAGGACTCATCAACGCAGCTCATTTTATGAAAGGTGGTTTCTTCCTTTCTCCGTCAACAAACAGGAGCGCATGAAATAATAATAATAAAACATGTCGATTCGTACCGACACAAAGAGTCACAAAATAGCTACACGCGCAGATAGAGGTGAGTACGCATAGCGCCGAATTCAAATTCAAGGTCACCCAGTAATGACACTTGCAGTAGAAGTACAAACAGCTCCGAGCAGGCTACAAGCCAGAAGCACTTATTATTATTATTATTATCAATAAATTCAACTGTTGTGATAGTACACATGCCGACTACGCGTAAAGTTATTTAAATGCAGGTCAACAACAATAAAACAACAACAACAGAAAGTGACAGTTCAATTACCGCTTTAGGTGCTTTCTCTCTCTCTCTCTCTCTCTTGCACGAATTGTTTAACACCGCGCATGATTCAAACGCGAAACGCTATCCGCCCCACAGCAAGGAGAGTTGAACGGAGAATCAGAGACACATTCATTCGCATAGGCAGCGTAAAAAAGGAAAAGGTGCCTTCGGTCGCTTCAACACAACGAGCGGCTCTGTCGGAAGCGTGGGGGAAAAAAGTCATTTCCAGCAGTCGACAGCAAATCCAACTTACCAAAGCGTGGTGCTTCTCTTCTCGATTCGGCTGCTACTATCGTTTTAAGAGTTCTGCTGCCACTCGGAGCCGCACTTCGAACACTGGAAAAATATCGTCTGTCCCTCATCAGCGCTACGCGTCTGGCGCGCAAACGTCTTGCAAGGACGGTGCACACCGCACGTTTCACAGAAGGCGTCCTCAATCACGCGATTATCGACTTCCGTCTGACCGGCGCGCTTCGTGACGTTGCCCTTCGCTCCGGCTTTCGACGACGTCGCCCCGCCCACGAGCTCATCGCCGAGGCTGTCATGAAGGTACTGCGTCGCCAGCGCAACTTCCTTCTCTGTGAAGAACATGGCCGCAGCGGTGTTCGTGCAGCACACCTTGTTGTTCACACGCACACCGCCCGCGGTGCCACGGGGTGCGCGGAGCTGTCGCTGGAAGGCGGAGTACGCACCGGGCTCGTGCAACGTACCGCAGCAGGTGCACGTCGCCGTCTGCCACGCGTTCGTGTGAATCGGGAAGGCGTGCCCGCACACAGCGCAGCTCAATGTGCCGAGGCTGAAAACGTTGTCGGAGACGTAGTGTACCTGCCGCTGCTCCACCGGAGTCTGCAGCTGAAGAGACGAAGCAGCCGGCATGGTTTCTTTTGCTGTCGTGTGACAGTGTGCGAGGGTGTTTCTTTATCTGTCTTGAAGTGGGGTGGTGGTGGTGGTACCCGATGAAACTAATAATAGGAGAACAAAAGGGAGTCGTGCTAGTGGAGAGGAGAATATCCGCAACAACGAAAAGATGAGGTGAGGTGGGGATACGCAGATTACACATTGATACGACGAACCTGGTGAGGAGAGCGCACTGCAGCATCTTTCACTTTCACGTTTTGGGGGCTTGCAGCCCTACCTTTTCCGAACCGTAACGCACACCAAACAGCATGAGCCCAAGTGCATGCATGCATGCGGAAAGGAATGAAAGCCACAGGGATCATGTTTAGCTACCTGCGTCTCACAGGGCCTTTTTGCGCGCTCTCTGAATGTCAGACAGTTGTCGAAAAACAACAACAACAACAGCACGGCAGACGTCGCGTTTCTATTGGCGGGCAGCTGTCATTGTTAGTGCCAAATGCTCATCGAAGAATAGAGCTTCATGCCACGTTGAAAGTTGGTATTCTCTTCTTCTTTTTTTGTGTTTGTTTCATGCAAAAGTAACAGCTAAGAGGCGCTTATTGGTAAAGGGCAATTTAGGGAAAAGGAAAGGTAATGGAAAAGAAAAGCAAGGAGAGAGAGAGAGAGAGCACTATACGAATGCGTCTCCAGCATCGAGCCTCCATCATTCTTTTCTCTTCTCTTTTGGTAGCGGACGCGTCACGCTCAATTCGACAGTCCACTGGATCAGCTCGCCTTCAGAACTTTCCTTTCTTTTTACCAGTCACTGCATCATCGCTTCTGCATATACGTCCATTAGATCCTCCCACGCTGCTTTCACAAAACACGCGCTGGAAACAAAAGGAGGGAAGAAAAACTGGAACGCGTCTTCGATCGTCAGGCATCCAAGCGTCCAACCCAGCAAAGAAAGTAAACGAAGAAAAATACATCACTTTTTTTTCCTGCAGAAAGCCGAAGCGGAGGTTATGTAGCTCCGTAAAGCGGTCGAATAAATCAATAGTGGAAAATACTTTCAAAAAAAAATGGCACTACAAGATGGAGGCGCAGGAAGAAAGATGAGAACTGTGGAAAACAGAAAAACAATAAAACGTGGCTGCGCATTTCATCTTACCTAAAAAAGAAAAAGAAAGAGCAACCCTCATAGTCCCACTTCTGCACGAGTTTCAGTTGCTGCGTGTGACATATGAAGCGTCATTACTCTTTTCAACACATATAAACAAGAAAGGAAACAAAAAAAAAACGTCAGAAGAGAGGCGGATGAGAACGAAGGAGTGGCCTTCGTGCTCCTTGTGACACTGCATGCCACCTTCGTCCACCTCTTCTCCGATCGCCGTTCTTCGCAGCACGGTAAACACATTCTAATACATTCAAAGAGAGAGAAAAAGAAAAACGTGTAGCGAAACAACAACACGCATCTCAGCTCACATAACCAGAGGGATACACATTGAGGACGAAACAAAGAAAACGAAGTCAGAAAAGCATGAGAACAAGAAATGGTAGCATAAAGGAAAAACGGGAGAAAAAACGATGATCATATTAAATAAGACACGAAATAGATAAGCAAACAAAAGAGAAGTAAAAAACAAACATCAGCTGCCGCAATGTGCGCAGGGGGCGGTCCAACATCATCTATTAATTGCGAAAAACGAAGAATGGCGCGCACATTATGGAAGAGAGAAAAAAGAAAGGACACCGCTGCAACGGCGTTCATCATCTCTGATGTTCATTTTTTCTTACCTTTTTAGATCTAACAATCGCTCTCAGCTTCGCAATCAGGTAGCCCAGCACACTACTTTTGTTGCTGTTGCGTCTGAGGGGCCTTTGACTTCCACATAAGTTCCTACAAAACAAGTGAACATAGACTTGCGAGAAGAAGAAAAAAAAAAGAAGAAGAAACAAATAAATAATGATATTTATACTAGCGACGCAACCTTTCACGTTGTCCCTCGGCAAGATGGAAGATGAAAGCCAGGTGAACGACAACAGCAAAACCATTAAAAAGAAAATACTGTACATATCTTCCCCCCAAAAAAAGGCGACTCTGCTCTTTTACAGAGAGCGCACGCGTAACGGACGGTTTTCCACCGCAGCAATTTGAGCCATCTGATACAGAGGAGGAACACGGAGAGAGAGAGAGAGCTTAGCAATTACCACACCACAGCTGCTGCGTAAACGGGGTGATGAGAAAAGTAATAAGATAACCGACTGCAGCCACGATCTGGATGATGTAGCCCGTGTCCAGCTTGTAGCCGGCACCCTTGAAGACGACAGAAGTCAGGTTGCTTTCCGTACTCATCTTCGAGCAGAACACTGTGCCGTAGGCAACACCGCCGATGATGACGAGAGCCGCCTCGCTAATAAAGGCGAGGAGCATGAAGAGGAAGAGGGGCAGCTTCACCTTCAGGCGACAGAAGCACTGCAGGCACGAGATGAGAAAGGCGTAAAAGCCGAAGACCGTGCCGGCAATGGCGAAGGCCTCCATCGCGCGAAAGGTCGCGCGGAAACTGCTGCAGCCGGCGTAGTTGATGCGCACCGGCTGCGACGACGGCACCTCCGTCTCGTTGACGCCCGTCAACGACATCTTACTCATGTGGATCTCCCATAGCGACACCTGCACCTTACCATTCTCAAGACCGTAGGCGCTGACTTTCGCTGAGAAGATCGGGAGCGTCAACGTACCGACGAGGGCAAGCACGTCGAAGATCAAGATCAGTACTAAAACGAGGAAGCGAACGAACAACATTTTTATTGGCGAATAGTGTTTTTCTTTCTTTTTTGGCTCGGAGAAAAGGAAAAAAGAATTGTTCAGAAAACGAATGAGGAGATGTGAGACTCTGCTTGAATAATAGCAATAATAATAATCGAGTCGTTGGGGTGCTGTCTTGATGGAACTGTGTGCTTGAAACAAAACAAATTACACGAGGCGCTTGTTATCTAGCACCCGACACGAGCAGGCAACAGGGAGAGAAAAAAACAAAGACCGAAAGAGGGAGTGGGGAAAAAGCATTTGCAAGTCTGCAAGAGAGGTGGAAATGGTTCGGGTTGCAATATCTCCACTCGAGAAGTCTCATCTGTCAGCATGGTGTGGTCGACAACAACAGAGAGAGAGAGAGAAGGTGACCTTATTCTTCATTTTTTGACCCGCTTGAAAGAAGAAGACACGCCGCTGTTTAACTTTTTTACTTTTTTATCTTTCAAAGTCAGGCCTTCGAAGAAGCCGTCCAACGAAACAACCAACATCCAGCACAATCAGCAAATATATATATATATATATATATATATATATGAGTGAGA